AAATACCTTCTCAAACATTATCACGATGGGTAGAAGCAGATAGAAAAAAAGAGGGTTTATTGCCCGTCGATAATCCCAACAATATGTGGGGGCTATGTGAAGGCTCTCCTAAATGACGGACAATTTCGTCCAGCCATGACCTAAAAAAAAGAAGTTTGTGTATATAGCACTAGAGCCGGAAAGACATAAAAGCTCGTACAGATAGGCGGTGCTGCTCTGACGAGCCCTCGAGAGAAATCATACAACGATTTACGTCGCTCATGTCTTAGAGACGACGCGTTATCAACGGAGAAAAATAAAAGAAAAACAGCCAACAGCGTGTGTACGTCGATCGAGCTTCAAGTCGCAAAAATAAGGCGTCGGCGGCGCAAGCAGAGTCCGGCAAATTGCTCAGACTACTGCTACTACGAATAGTATGCATGCAAACGGGAACTATAAATCAGCGGCACAAGTGCATATGCAGGCGTCGGAGGTGGCGTATAGCAATTGACCGCCTTGCGCGCGCGATGTGTCTCTAACCTAAATCGCACGATTCGCAGATCTACCACCAGCGTAACAAACCAGTGTGGGGAAGAGGCCAATTTGATGCGGAGTTAGGATTAGGGAAAAGTTATTTTCCAATTTATCTGTTTCGCAGTTGGGCTGAATTTTGTTTTGATCGAGTTATTATATATCTACGCTGCACGCACGCCTCCCTTTCGGGACGAAGTTTGTACTTGCACAAATAGCGATTACTCGCTTTAGCTCTACGGACGCTTTATAAAGAAATTATTTGCCATAAAAACATACGACGAACATATCTATGCGGGATGCGAGCTCGCACAGCTGGAGAGATAGGTCTCTTTTAATTAAGTTTTTCCACCCCGACTTTACTCGTTGCTAGTCTTTTTTTTTTCATTTGGCCGGTCTAATACAGGCGTACTTAAGCCAGCGGTCGTAATTGCGAGGCTGTATTCTATCGTACTTAGTATATCGTTGCCCTCTCTCCTAAAACCCGTTGAAATTCCAAAATGCTCGCGTAAGCTCTCCAAGCGGCTAGCCTGTCAGTTGAAAATAAGTAAATTTTGCACACACGCATATACGCGGTTGCGTAAGCTTACTCTACTTTTCAACGATAATAGAAGAACCGAAAATACTACGCGAAAGAAGAGTGTGACTGACAGCTAGGTTTTCTCGGGCGAAAAGCGAGAGTCGAGGCACGCACGCGATGCTAATTATCCGTTATACGTGAATAATATGGGTGCGAGCGTGTTATTTAAGAAAAGCTGATGACTATCGATTGGCCTCTTAGGCAGCTTTACCACCCGTGGTTCGATCCGCGTTACGACGAATTTATTGTTTTTTTCCAACTTTAATAAAAAGTAAGCGTTTAATTAAAATAGCTATAGGTTGATACACATTGATGCTAATCTAACTAATGAATTTGTCCACTCTGCATGACAAGCGGGTAGTGCGCTTGGGCACATAATGAACATTACTAGAAGCAGTGACTGAAAGCAAAAAAAAAAGGTATTCTCTACACGCGACAGAGTAATATTTAATGAAACGTTTTGTGATGTTGTAACTGTACAATTCTGTGACAATATAATACCAAGTGTCCTCATATTCATTAGAGCAGACAGGCTTCACTGGTGAAACCGATAACGGATTACACCACGCACGATTAAAAATTGATTATTCGCATTCAATTTGAAAAAAATATCGACGGGGAAGCAAAGAAAAAAAAATCAATAGTCAGCTTGCAAGCAGACGCGACTGTTATCGCGTTTCGTACGCAACACGTGTTTTAGTCACCGCACCCAACGTCGGATCGAAATCTCGTCTCTGTCTCTTGCTCCGTGAATAAAAAAAATCGCTTTTTTCCCCGCAGTCGCAGTTCACTCAATCCATCCAAATGTATGTACTTTTGCAACTCGTACAAGGACGCGAGGGTTGGAGATGCTCTCACACGCACGCACTCTCGAGCGCGCGTACACGTATACGGTATCACATCGCATCCAAGTATTTACATTTTATTCGTATTATTCTTTTCTCTCCCTGCACGGCAATTCCATTTCCTTCTACCTATTTCAATACATCCTGATCACAGAACTCTCGTTGCCGATGTCGGCGCACGGCAGAACTGCATAAAATGAAAAAAACAAGTTAAATTGTGTACAGCACAAATTCAGAGAAAGAGAGAATTTTCACTCGGCGTTTCTTCAACAAACTCTAGTCGCACTGATTCTTGCCAAGAGAGTGTTGAAAAGAGCGCAAAAACGCAAACCTTTTCAGTCTCTCTCTCGCCATCTCTCTTGTTCGACAGAACGAACACCGCCGCGCAGGAAAAGAGAGAGAGAGGTGAAAAAAGTGTGTAGATGAACACGAAGAAGAATCGCTTCATGCACCGCTAAGCACAAGCAGCACAGGGCTCTCCTTCCGAGCGGCGAGTAATAACACGATCATAGCTCAAGGAAGATATGCTCTGTAAAAGGTAAGAGAGAAAGAAGGAGAGAAAGACCGCACGTAGACACAGGGGGTATTAACCGCATATCATAGGTACCAGTCCGTCATGCCGCACTGCTTTTTTGTCTTTCAGGTGTGCAACGCGTCGAGTGCGCGCTTTTATGCAAGAAAATATCCACCGGATGTATTTCTCGTATATACGTTGAGCAGCTAATGTAATGATATGTAATAGCAAGATATATTTTACATAAACATACTGCCGTAGTCTCGAGCTAGACACGTGTAGCAAAGTACATCTTCTACTGCGCTACGCACCACCGCTGAGAGAAATTTCCATCTCTAACGCACTTTATTCTTTCTAGCGCTGTACGCAAGTGTTAAAGCAGTCGGAAGTTTTATTTTTTATTTTTGAAGCTCTATTTATTTGAATAGAAATCCTAGAAATTCGTGAGTTGCCATGATGATTGCGTAAAGAGGAAAAAAAAATCTTATCATGCGAAAGGAATCACGCGTGACCGAGTGCTTGAAAAAATCCGAGGATCAGAAAGCTCGAGCTATTTTCTACATAAAACTTGTATTAGAGGTAAAAAAAAGTAGAATGAGTTAGAGATTTGTCGACGCGACGAGGCAGTATCCCGCTGAAAAATGACTATGGAGAATCGTATTTCGCGGATAAAGAATAGAGACTCGTGAACCGCGAGTTTAAGAAGCGGAAAGGGCGTAGTCGTTTCCCTGCCTCGTTTTTTTTTCTTGTTTTTTAACAAGTTTCACCTGCGTGAACGCATGTCTAAGACCTTCGGCATTAAACTACTCGCGCGGTGCACTTACACGTAATCATATATGCTCACGCACATATGAAGTAGTACACACGCGAGTTTCGTCAGGCATGTATAACGTAATATTATACTTTCAGCCTTATTAAATTTTTCAATTTTTTTTTCTCGTTTAATTGCAACGTCGCTAGATTTTTGATCGCGAGCAAGCTGAATTTTTAAAAGCCGCAAGAGTGAAGGAAGTACAACGAGTATACAGTGAAGAGAGCTAGTTCGAAGGAAAAGAAGAATTTCCTGCTAAACTTTTCGATTAACTTGCAGAAAAGCCGCCACGTTCGAGGAATTTTACTCTAAATGCTAAGGGAGGCAAAAATCCTGACTTTTCCAGAGCAAAATTATTCATAAGGGCTTCTCTAATTTCCAACGCGAGTCTATGTAGACGATAAAATATTGCCTTTAACCGTGTAGCTAAATTTTGCAACGAACTTATCTTCTTCTCAACCCTGCACTCTCAACTTCCGATGAACTAAAAAAAAAGGAAAATATCGCATACGCAATAAAGAAAAGTGTAATGACAAAAGCTGTCGTTCTATTTTTTTTGTGGTTTCTCAAAGTAGGTGACTGGTCGTCATTTTCCCTCTCAATGTTGGTGATTTATATTGCCAGCAAACTGTCGTGGATCGAGGACGATGCGCGAGGGATACATAAAGCGCGAGCGAGAGAGAATGAGGTATATAGCTTTTTCATGCCTATACATAACTCTGATATAGCAGAGGATGCACCTTATTGTCTCGAACTCGTCGGCGCGCCGTTTCTCCGATATCCTACAAACATTATAATGCATACTACACGTGTCCCTATCTTCCTCTTTTTTTCTCTCTACATCTTTTGTCCGACTAACTTTATGCACCCTAAATAGACGAGTCGATATTTACGGTAAAAACTTGTTCGGTTGTTATAATTGATTAAATTTACTAACAAAAATAATAAGCATTATTTTTCACAGTCTAACGTCAAGCTTTTATAAATATCGGTTAAGGTTATTTAATAATAACAAGTGACACAGCGAAGTACTTTTGCGTAAAAAGCATGAAATAATTAGCTTGGCTCGATTCACTGAGAGCTTCAATAAAAAAAGCAACAGAGAAATATTCTTTTTCATTTTTCATTTTTTTTTTACTGATTCATCGAAGTATCGCGCTCAACTTTGATCCCGCTAATTAAACGTTATCATCGCCAGAAGAGAAGGACGCCAGCTTCTCTGATTTCTCGCAGCAACTATAGACTCGCATCTGGCTGTCTCGCGAGCGCATAACACAAAAGTTTATGCAACGAATATCGAACTACTAACGAACGAAGACGCGCAACTAATTTCCACAACGTCGTGTGCCATTGTCATCGTCGTCGTGGCACAACACAAAAACTCGTGGGTAGGATTGGAATTAAGCATATACGGCAGTAGTTCGGCGTGTATGCAGAAAAGCGTATTTAACGAGCCTACGTGTGCGCCAGCAGGTATAGTTACAAGTAGGGTTGAGCTGAGGTCTTTCCTCGTTAGCGACGCCGCCAGGCGTACTTCGGCGTGACACAAAAATACAAAAGTTGGTTCAAGCTTCGTGTAAATTAACACTCGGCACATACGTCTATCTCGTTCTCTTTTTGCGCTTGCTCTACGTGACGTTTTTAGACTTTTTCGCCAACGTTACGTCGCACGTTTGAGCTCAAGTTCGATAACATTATGAACATTGTAGATATGAAAATAGCTTCAAAAACGAAACTTACCTGCACGTCAAAGTGACCCGTCTGGTCTTGGGGTTGAGGTGGACCTTGTTGTTGCTGGTGCTGCTGCTGCGACAGAGGTGGGCCTTGCGGGGGACCTTGGGCTCCGAAGAGTTGAGCGGCGTGAGACGGAGCTTGCTGCATATGATGCGTCGGTGGAGCTTGATGGTGCTGCATGTGCGGCGGTGCCGGGGCGAAAGCTTGCATGAAGTGCTCCTCGCCAGTGCCCATGACGTCCACACCGGGCTTGAGCAGCACGACGCCACCGGCACCCGTGCTCACGGCCAAAGTCGCATTCTTCTGGAATTCCTCCTCGCCAGGGGATGGCTGTCTGCTGCCGGGCGTGCGACTGCAAAATTCGATGTAATTTCGACGATTAGAAACGCGATTTGAATTTTTCCGACAATACGGAAGAAGCGTATATATCGTAGAAAGTAAGTTTGTTTCTATTCGTAGCGTAAATTTTGCGGTTGGAGCGGATACTCGCTGCGAGTAATTCGATACACTAAGCGAGAAAGTTTGAGTTGTAAGGAATTTGGTTGATTCAGCACCTGCGAGCGAGCAACTTTGGCCTTTCGCAAGTCCGGCTTCGATTTTTGCAAGCTAACTCAGCGTTTATTCATTTTTTCTTGTTAGTTACTCGGTAATTAAAAGTTTTTTTCTCGTAGCACACAGAGCGTAGAAAAAAAAACAATTATTATTCGCGATTCATTACGCAACATTGACGTTTGGATTATCTGTGTGATGAAGAAAGTAGTCGAATAAATCGGCCGTGTCATTCCAGCGAGTATAATTGATCATTAAAGAAAGCCGTAGAGAAGTGAAAATAACGGCAGAAGATTAATCAACAAAATATCTTATCGAGAAAAGAAAAATTAGATCCTGCAAAATTTACTCGAGTCGGGTCATTAGTTATGGGCAAACAATCTCTCTCTCTCTCTTTCACTTTCTGGCACGGATCGATGAAGTGCGGCTCACTGCTACTATTGCATATATGTATAACTCTTTGCATCTACCTCTGACGCCGTCGTCTATGCTAATCCATACAAAAGTTGATACGCCTCGTGACATAATGCTCTACTCGTTAATTCATACGCCTAAAACGACAAATTTCGATTCCAAAGCCTTGTATTTCTCGCATAATATGCTAATTTCTTCGTGTAATAGGATTCAAACAGAGTTGAAGTTGATGAGCAGCCTCTGAGGGGTGAATCTTACATCTTTTCGATTAGTTTACGTCGTTCAATTGATCAAAAAAAAGTATCAAGTTCTTGGCTATTTTTATTTGAAAATTGAAGATTACATTATATCAGTTGAAGAAATTTTTTCAACCGTTGAAAATCTTTGAAATAGATGAACTATAAAAAGCTCCCACAAATACTGAGACGGCGAACCATTACTATAGAACCAATTAAAAGTAGTTCTTCAATGTGTAACATCAATAATGTTCGTAAAAGTCAAGTAGAGTAATCGTAGGTTTCCACGATAGTAGCTTTTAAAAATTGATACTCGAGTTGATGTAAGTCTACAGTTACCAAGCTCGGAGTTGAAAAATTGCATCCAGGGTTTCGAGTATCACCTCGAGAAATTTACAGGCATAATAACGGCGAAGCTAAGCAAAAATGAAGACGAGCAAAGTACCGCAAGGTGCATCGAAAAGATTTGGCTTCAATAAATGAGAGTAGCGCGTGTAGTTGACTATGCACGTCTGCAAACGTGTAATATTTCTTCTTAGCTACGGAGGTGACTGATATTCAAAGTGATGGATGTATTTGCATATCATAGCACAAGGTTGGCTGGTGTTATTTTGAAAAATCAATTTTTCGTTTTCTCAAGGCACGGACATCAGTATCAACAACAGCTTGTTGAGCAACTTCAACGCCTTAAAAAGTAGGTTGAAATGTCTAATTTCACTGGAGGAGACAAGAAAAAATAGAAAGTCCAGACATAGTTAATCAGTATTGTGAATTATTTGTTCCTTAGCATAATGAAAAGAGTAGAAATTTTTTTAAAGAAGAGTATGTGTATAGTGAAATTTACTTGTTAACTGTGACGATGTAATTGCGTTGAGAGATTTAACAAGTTCCCTTCATGATGATTACAAATTTTAAGAAAAACATTTTCCAATGCTTTCTTATGAGTTTTGAATAAATAATATAACGAACAAATAATATGAATGTTCATATTTACATTAAATTAAATTTGTGATTGGAGTATTAAATTTAATGCAAACTCGTTTTAAGCTTTTTATACTGTTAAGATGCATTCATTTCTTGCAAGGTTTACCGTTCACACGACTCTCCAGTAAAGATTGACTAATTCGTAAAAACTAGTTGACAAAAAAAATCTGCTATATCGAGTAAAAATGTTCACCTTTAAATGTCAAAATATCGACTAGCGTTACTCGTACTGAACTCGAACATAAAACCTTTTTCTTGCACGTACTCGCGGTCGGTAACAAAGTTTTCTGATGCACTACAAGCTTCCAGCAGGTGTCGCGTCAATGCTCGAAGTAACCGACAGCTACATACTATCGTTCCGTCATAGATCGCAGGTCCCAGGGACTTGCAGCAATGTTGTTTCAGAATAAACAGCGTATGTATACTTTCCTCGCACATTATGACCTCGCATGCAATGCGTAGCGTGTGCGTGCACAACAGACACCGCGTAGAATGCCATTTATTGGCTGTGCAAGGTAATGTGCCCTATAAGTGTGCGAACGCTCGCGCCCTTGACAGCGATCCTCGTTGTTCTTATGCACTGCATATATACTCTTCGTCGAGCATTGTCCCTCCTTCTTAACCTTCCATGGTTACCTATCTTTTTCTTTGCATTTTCCTTCGCGAGTAGTGGCAAGTGAGCGCACGCGACCGCGAGAATAGAATATAAAGAAGCCGGATGACATTGAATGATACTGCGTGTCAGCGGAGTCGCATCCTAACTTCACCTTTTTCCTTCTTCTCCAGGCTGCGTACTTATACAGCGAGTACACATTGAGCGCATTCAAGTACTTTAAAGCAAAGAAGTATATACTATTTCTTATATACCAAGTGACATATTTCAAAATTGGTCGCTTATGCAAGGTTATACAGTTCCTCAAGCACTACTGTCGAATCTCTTTTGGCTATGGGTATGCCTGTCGTTAATTGATTTACGTAACGATAAAATTGAACGAGTAAGTCTATCTGGTGCTCAAGAACGCATACAGAAATGGAATCAAGGCAATCGAGAAAAATATCAGAGCCTTCAAGTTTTTAGAATTTATACACATATGAAACTTACTTGAATCCTTTATCGTCGTCAAGCCCATTCTGAGAAGTCAATCCGTTTCCTTGAGGACAATTGTCATCTTTTGAGTTATCAAAAGGACTCGCTGCGCCCTTATCCTTGTCTTTTTTGTCATTGTCATTCTAGTATAAAAAATATGTCGTTATAATGAAATATTTAACTATTAATTATTACCATCTACCTATGAACTGAAATTGTCTACATACCAATCTCAGCGACACCATCCGTTGGTCGAGTTCCTTTGAATTTGTCGGACTCGATCCTAGAACGTACTCAACCATTTTGACTCCCAAACCACTGGCTTCACTGTAGGTGTACATGAAAAAAAACGAAATTAATGAATTACAATAGAAATAATCATATTGTAAATGTATTCGAGTAAAACAAGCTTTTAAAAATTTTCGAACGCATTTTATAAAAATTTCACTTCAATTATTTAAAAAACTACGCTTTTGTCTAGAAAATCAGGAATTCAAAACAAAACACCCTTGCGGCTTTTTATAACATTTTTCAAGTAGAAATATTCAGTAAAAACCATAAAAATGTGTTGAAAAATAGTCATTTTAGCCTGGCTTTGGTATATCATTGACGAACAAGAAGACCTCATAAAATTCAGAACATATGTTCCTCAACATTTAATTGGAGACTTGACACACATCAAAAAGTTACTTGTATTTTTGTCCCCGTCAGTTTTAAAAGATTTTATAAAAAATATTTTGGATGTTTTGTTTTTGTCAGTTAATATAATACATGGTAAAATAAATACCAATTTATTAAAGAATTGATAGGAATTTTGTCAGTATATTTTTAGATTTCTTGGAAAAAATTTTTAGGTCAAATTTTTTTTTCTTACGATGTAAGAATGTTTAATTTTAAAATTTACTTGAAAAATCTACAAAAGTTAAAAAAAAATGTTTATTGATTACTCTATGAATATCAATGACTTCTTATTGTGTACATTTTTTTTAAACCAATGCATCATATACTGACATGTATTGTATTGATTGATTGAAGATTAAATGAAAATACCTTCAAAGTAAACCAATGAGATTAGTAAAATAAATAAGGGTATTTTTCAATGATTTCGGTATACAAACATTAAAAAAAAAACAGTTACGGATCTTATGTGGTTTCTTGAGCGCAAAGGATAATTAATATTCCCTTTCTCTTACGGTCAAGAGAGCAAACATAAATAAAAGTTCCTTGGATGGCTCTCACTCACCTGCTTCTTGGGCTGAGAACTGCACCGACTTCAGACGTTTGATGGTATCCACTGCCGACTCCAACCCGTCTGCTGCTGCCCATTGAAATGGGTTGTGAAACTGCATGATCTGCAACATATACATTTTATATTTATAGAGTAATTCAATTAAATAATAATGATATACTTCATGAGATCGGACACACGATTAAATTTGTATAAAGAATTACGAATTTATTTTTGGCTGATAATAAATGTGTATCGCTACTGCAAATATTTACATTATAAGGTTTAATAACACTACATGTTAGTATACAAAGTAAAGAAGTTAACGTTAACGTCAAAATTAATACTCAAAAGTGTTATGACAAAATCCAAATTTCATTCGTTCTCTTTCTTTTGCTCTATGTAATTGCATTTTGAAGATGATACTCTAGTCAAGTTAAGTTTTTTCAATACCATTACTAGTTATTGAAATTTACCATTGTGAATATATTATTGTTTAAATATTGTCTTTCTCTCTATGCAGAGAAACTAGCTGACAAAGCTGACAATTTCATAAATTGATATGCACGTTCGAGACTATGCTGTTAATAATTCAAAACGCTTGAAAATCGTCTGTATGACTCTCATTGTGTCATGCGAGCAGCTCCAGAAGAAGGAGGATACATTGCATACACTCACACACAAGGAAACTTAAATATCTTGATTATCTCCAAATGCATTTCAAGACGATTGTCAGGTGTAACCGATACAAAAAAAATACGAAAAATAATATACTCGTTCAAAACCAAAGTGCATAGTGCAAGTTGCATAGTATGGAGAAATAAAATTGAAGTAATGATAAAGGGTTTACTCGTTATTTATGAAATTTCTGGAATTTAAATCCGACATCGAGGCTTTGAATTTGAAAGATAAAAAGTCTTGTAAATTTATTCTATAGTACCGAAATTCACGCTCATCCATGTCCGTGCAATGGTTTTGACAACGATAAAAATAAATCTCATGTTTTTTCATTGAAGATTTCAACCACCAATGGCGACAAACATCTTATTTTTCTCCTTTCTTTTGTGCTCATAAAATGAGAGAAAAATATCATGAAAAAGGAAAAGACAAAAGGGTAAGAGGTTAAGCAAGCTTCCTCGTCAGAAAACGCATAAATTTCCTATTAATATAGAGCAATGACAGTAGCAAAGGCATCTTATGTTCGATGACAACGATGCGTTCTCGGAGAAACACGATGAAGAAGCGAATTACGCAAACAATTAATATGGAAGTTATCCATGAATTTAATCCTATTTAAGTTACGTTGCTATGCACATGCGAAAAAAATAATATTGGCAGCATAGACAAGAGTAAGAAGAAGAGAAAAGAAAAATGTTAATTAGAGCGCGCAGTGTGGCGATGGCGACAGGGTGCCGACGACACGGTTCGCAACAACAACATATATACATGTGCATATACTTATATATATACTCAACACATAGAGAAAAGGTGGAATATCCGCAGGGTGGTTGGACGTTGCCCCCACCGTTTTGTATATCGATATATATGTATATACGGAGCTGTGCCGCCAACGGGCGTCTATCGCCATGGCAACAGCAGTGTTGCACCCATACACGCGGCTGGAGCTGAGATAAAGAGAGAGAAAGAGAGCGCAGCGATGTATGCAAGGATGTACACTACACACACTCACATTCGCACGCACACGATGAATGAAAAAGTAAAAGGGATTTTCTGATTAGCCTGCGGCCAACTTTTACCCCCGTCACGTTATAGGACTAAAAATAAAGAGATGTCTCGCATCCATCCATCCATCCTTGTCGTCGTCCTCGTCGTGAAGTATGATATGAAGACGACAACGTGACAGCATGACTACATGCGAATTAACGTACATATTCAAAGGATTGGCTCGAGTGATCCGTTTCTTACGAACTATGAATTCTCTCTGTCGGTACTAACACGTCAGTGGTATAACTCTTTTACGCGCAGGAACTGTACTTATATGCACGATACTGTGAATTGATACGTCCACAGATTACTAATTTACCAAAGTTCCATGCAAAAATGCGAGTGTTGATTTGGGATGTTGCTACTGCAGCTGAGAGTTTTCATTTGTATTTTCAAAGGATTCGCTGGCTGTAGTAGTTTGCTCAATCAAAGTTTATATTGATGTTTGGTGATCGAGTAGAAAAGGTAAACGTAAGAAAAACTAGATAACTAGACGTGCTGCTGATTTTCCACTCTTTTATTCAAATGTAGAAGAAAGAGCGAGGGATATGGTAGGGCAAGTAATGAGCAATCGATTATGTAGTAGTTAACATTACTATTTTGTTCATAGAATTCATAACTAAATGTATGTACTGTAAAAATGTGACGTGCATTTATTTATGGTCTATTAAAGCATTAATTTATCTCTAGTACACATGAATATAAAAAAACTGACATGTTTTCTTTCTGTCTCTTTTTTTTTATTTTCATATTGTAGGCAATAGTGTAAAGAAGTTGTAGTCGTATTTTCAAGATAATATCACACCGTTGCAAGTAACGCGACGATTCCGATCTATTTTTTTCGTATTATTTGCATAATATACATTACCTGAGGTGCTCCAGGTCGAGTCTCGCCACATTTGTTCACCTAAAGGGAGTATTCCGCCACCTTTTACGCCTCCATCGTCCTTGGAGCTGCCATCGTCGACACCCCATAATTTTTTTGCCGAAGGAGCAATCTGCAAAATTTAAAAAAGTAAGAATTAATATTGAGCACTATTACTTATGCATTACTGAGAGTGATCATATTCGATAGTTTTTTTTCGATTTCTAACTTTACAAACTAAACAAGAAATAATTACAAACTATGGCAATTCATTTTATTTTTTGAATTTTTCTTATGATTCACGAACTTGAAAGAAATATTTACAAGGCATCAATGCAGTATAGTTTTAATTCATATATATTAAAAAGGAATCAAGCCTTTTGGTTTTTGAACGGTTGCTTTGCAAAAACAGAATTTAAGATAATTAAAAATAGATGGACGCACTTAAGTGCTTTAGTGTTAAGCGAAAAAAATATGATTCTGGCACGTGTGGTCATTATGTTTAAATACGATAACTATTCCTCTAGAGGTTAAAGTTTAATGACTTTTTCAACTGTCGAAATTGAATTGTACTTCCAAGTGTGAAAAAAGACAATTCCTCCACCACGTTAGTTATCGAGTTCGAAAAAAAAAGAAACTGTTGAAGAATACCCAAGTGGCTAATCGACGACAACCGAATTTTAAGGGCATATCAAAAGTTTTCCTTTGAAAAACTTTTTGTTGCTGCAACTGTTGTTTATACACTATCATAATAAGTTTAGTGCAATACTTGATTAACTAGTGTATGTTCTCGCTCTTCAATGTGTTCACGACTACAACTTTTATGCACCAATATCGTTTTTGTTTTGTTTATTTGTCTTTTCTGATACGTTGTTTTCATTTCTTTTGAATTTTATATCAATTAACATTATACGTTTAGAAAATGAAGTATTTGAAAACAAAGAAAAAAATTATTCTCTCGTGTTTGTATTAACAATTTATATAATTTAGAAATTTATGATGATTTTATTTGGCGAGAAACTAGGACTTAACCTTTTTTCCCCGCTTTTATCCTCTTAAACATCTATCTAGTTAGCGAAAGCTCGATGAATTTCCTAATTAGCAGAAATATCTAGACTCGTTGTCGCTGTGAAGAAGTTGCCGCGATTCGACCTCTGTAAATTTGAGTGAAAACTCGATTCGAAGTAATAATAAAAAAAACAAAGAAAACCCAACAGTTTTCAGGGGGGAGACGAGCAAGAGATAAGTAAAAGATGAAGAATCTTTATTTTATAAGAAAGCTAGGAACGAACGATTTTCTCGAAGTCTAGCGGCTAGTTTAATTTGAGAAGAAAAAATTGTCCATCAGTGTAAAAAATATGGATACGAGAAATGATCGATTTTTTTATCAAAACTGTATACTTTAAATGTATCAGCACGAGTGTATGATAACTTTTACCTCAGAAAAGTATTTATTGAAAAAGTTGTCTTTAAAAGTGTCAGTAATTTAGTACTTTACGATCAAGTGCCATAAGTAACACTTTTTGGCACGGTGTTGTTTAGGGCCCGAGCGCAGCGAGGGTCCTAATAGCTGGGTCGAAAAGTGTCCCCATGGCACGAGTATCGTACAACATTTTATAGCACTATGCTAAGTTCACATTTATGCCCCCTTTTCCGAGTCATGAGTCGCACTTTCTGGTAGTGCGAAGTGAGGTTAGCGCACGAGCGTATGCGAGTGCGTTGCGAACGCAGCGGTGCTGGAATGTGCGACTTATGCCACAGAAAAGCGTGCCATAAATGTGAACTTATGCCACACAGTGCTATAAATAGTATATTACGTGCCTAGAGCACGCTTAATTATCGGGCGAGCCGAAGCCGAGGCTGATAAACATGTGCTCTGAGGCTTTCCAGTTTTTCGTTTCACAGGTGCGTATACTATTTTTCGTGAATCCCCCAGCAGAAATTAACTTTTTCGTTTTGGCCGCCGGGACGAAAAAGGTTAGTTTTGGCTGGGGTAGCATGAAAAATAAACTTTGAACGAGTGAATTTGTTGTACTTTAGAACTTACACGTTTTTGCTGTTTTCAAAGAAGTTATGGAAAGCAAAAGCCAAGACTATTTGACAAGATTGACACATGGGTGAGCATATTATATGGTGCTTATGATAAGCTGAAGAAAAATGTTCTCTGTACGTAAGTGCTATAGGCAATGTCTAAATACGTTTTCTGAATCAATACTTTTATGTTTTTTTCAGAAAGGTATCCCCTACCGTAAAGGAGCAGACGCGTCTTTGAGTAAGAAAAAAAAAAAGAAGTACGTAGCGTGAACGGCGGGCAGTGCAGTATATGAAGGTGTGCGTGCGAGTGAAACGGGTGCACACTCACACAGACGCAAACTTTTATAAAACATCGAGCTTTAAGGTAATGGGTGTGTATAAAGGGGCCAGCGACCCCTTCTCCTGTGCTGTGCGGCAACTGACTTTTCGCTCCACACACACACTGTGATAAGTCCAAGTCTTGAGAGCTAGTAGGTGTCTGCACACAATGACGCAGGTCACGGCCACTGTCCTCGCTACCACTGCCACCAGCGCTCCGAGTGTTATGTTTCCTCTAGACCACCTTCTCTCTTCTGTGTGTATCTGTGCGTATGTGCATATAAACGTGCTACACAGAGAGAGTCACAAGTGCAATCGCACACGTAACGCACTCTTATGCAGTAATGCCCTTGCGCTTAAGCTGATATTCGGAGTGTCTTAAGATCTTCTTCGGAAAATTACGATTTTTTACACCTACAGCACAGAGGCAGATTTTACTTCCGCTTTTTTATTCCCTGACATGGCCATTTTTAGATCTATACGGTATCTCACCTATCTAGCTTATTCTGTGGTACAATTTGAATTCTCTGTTTAATTAAAAAGAGTCTTATTCAAAACTATTTTCTTTGAAGTTGATAATATAGAGAAACCTCTAGATGATAATTTTTAATTGTTGCAAAGCTCCCAAAGCTGCATGTTGGATCAACTTTCTCAGAACTTTGTAACGATTTCCACATAGCGTGAAAAGCAACTTACAGTTAATTTTTTGCCCTTTTTACTTTCCTCTGAATCGACTGTGCAATCGCAAACTATTTCTCAAGCAAGAAAAAGAAAGAGAGCAAAAATTAAATGTAACATTATCCGAAATAAACTGTGGTTCAGGAGTAGAACAATCGCTGAGCAATAAAACTCATTGATTGCATTCGAAATGAAATTTTCTCGAGGGAGCCACGCAACTGCACGAGTTTAGCTTCTTATTTCAATTGGATATTTACACATATATGTATACAACCAGGCGTTGTCTTTTTTGTCTTCCTCTTGCTGACCGAGCTGAGAGTGGCTACATAAACTTTTCGTTACATAAACTTGTCGCGCGAGGCAAGGCGAGGCCATCCACCCACGCTCTCGTTACAACGACGACGGGCGCCTCTTTCCTTTCCGTCCGGCTAACTTTGAAACCTCGTGTAAAGAGAGAGGGAAAGAGAGAGAGAGAGAGAGAGAGAGAGAGAGAGAGAACGCAGAGTCAATGACTCGCGGCAAAGACGTGGTCTATTGTCTATTTGGTGCGTATCTTGTTGTTACTCTGGATAAAAACAAGAGTCGATGACACACCCAAAATAATCTAGTACGAGATTTCGTGACGCGAAGAATAAAAAAATTGCAAATTCGGGTCAATAGTGTACATTGATAATGTAGAAGTCTGCATGCGTGTAAATTAAACCACCTCAGTAAAAAGAAAATTAATTTTTTTCCGACCATCTATAGGTATAGCTAAATTACAATTACTCGGTGAATGGCATGGGTAACATAAAAAAATCATCAGCCGACTTCACTTAATACCAGTATCATATAAAGAAGAAACGAAAAAGGAGCTATTTCATTTTTCGTTCAAATTAGCTCGTTTTCTTTAATGGCTAAATGAGTTTTGCCATGAGCAACAAAGTCATTGAAAAAGCGGTGAATCGGTAAGTGTCAATGATTCTATTTATTCAACTTATTCGTGAAAGAGAATCTTTAGTGCGTAAATAGGAAAATTTTTTGAATGAATTTCAGAAAACTTGTTTCAAAATTTTCATTCAACTCAGGCTTCGTAAGTCATGTAATTTAAAACAGCAAGAACAAAAGATTAAAAGAGAGTTAGAAAAAAGAGGCTGAATTCACCGATTGAAAAAACGACTAAGTGAGCCCGGTAACGATTGGGCATCATTGGACAACGTAGTTTGATTGTATAGAGGACAGTCGAGAAAGGGAGTGCAGGGAGTTTTAGTGGACGCACATGCGGTAATTCAATTTGACGCAGAGCCGCTGTTGCTTTCAAGAGTGAATCAATAAATGAAAGATTTCGCACACACTTACATAATTATGTAAACATGTAGAGCTTTGAACTTGAGTAATAGTTCTAAAAACTTTTGCAAATTAAATGTAAGTATTAAGTAGTTTAAAGAAACTTTCGCTTAACTTGTAATAATAGAAAAATTAACGAGGGCGAATATTTATCAGTTACTAAGCAAAGTACAGCAAAACAAGCTAGAAAAAAGTAAATGTATGTTTGTGCCAAATAAGATCGATACGCAATGAAGTTTGATATTTTATTTCTCCGCAAAGAGAGCCACTCTCTGCGCATTGCAGATTATGCTGGAAATAAACCAAACCATCGAGGACGACCGTTTGATCTTTAGATAAATGATAGCTATTTAGGCGCGGACAACAAAGTGAATTCAAAAATTTAATTTGGACAAATGTAGACATTTTTGTTGTATAACTTTTTTTCAACTAAAATAATTGTGTTAGGAATTGAGAATATGACCCAATTTATGCTTCGTACTCCAGTGATGTGACCTGAAGCGGTCAATGAACTTTTCCGACTGTAAGTCAAGTTTTTTCTAATATTTATTTTTAATGAATTGATTATTATTAAAAATGAATTGATAGTTTCAAAAGGTTCATCGCATCACTCAAAACTTCACTCGCCAAGTACGAATTTTTGACACAATAAAAAAATACGATTCAATAAATAAATAAGTAAATAAATAAAATCTAGGGCGTTAAAAAAACTGACACTTATAAACATTTTCGTAGTATGATCCTACGGGTAATCATTTATGCAGACGCTAAGCTATCGACATTGACAAATTGCTGACCGTGAAGTATGTCTCTTATTCGCAAATACACAAAAAAAATTATCATTGCAAAAATGGTTCAAATTATTCTCATAAGCTAAGTATAACGCGTGTGACCAATCTTGAACACAATAATTAACAAAAAAACTAAACAAAAATTGAAGTCTCTCTCAAATGAATGACTAACCATTATCCAAACTTGTACATCCGTCAGGTTTTAATGAAAACAAAAGGGATCAGCTCATGCTTTACGATATGCTTTAAACTAAGCAGAATATTCAATATACGAAATGGTATTATATTATTATCGTTATCATCGATAGAAATCTCAGCTCATGCGTCACATATCACAGCTAGTCTCGTTAAAAAGAGAAAGAGAGAGTAGTTCAATCGCAATGCATTCAAGTATACAACATATCAGAAAGAGTCGCGCACAGGCTTTGTGCTTTGGCTGATAGATTGATTTAATGGAATCAAAGGCTTCAAACCTCTGGACTATGTTCTCTCCCTTCTCGATTTTTCTTCGAGCTTTTATATCATAGTAACAACGCGAATGTACGCGTGCGTACGTATTGCATATAAGACTAACTTTATTGCTGCTGTTCATTAATTTAAATAATAGCTTTCCTAAAAAGCTCAACCTATATACGCTTTACTGTTTAATTCGAATAATTTCGATGTCCCTTCAAGAGAGGTTTACTTTTTCATTTTAGATTTTGAATAATTATACAAGTCGCACAAAACTATTTACTACATACGCGCGTGGACGAGCATCATTGTGTAATTTGATGAAAATCCAATTAAGAGAGAAGCAATTTTCCGAGACTCCTTCTGACACTTGTAATATATAATATCAACGCATGTGCGAATGTGGGTTTTTGGAATAAATTTTCATTAAAATCAATAAAATCATTTTATTATGAGTAACGTTACACGTACACAAAAACATACATACGAGACAAATACATTACTAAACTGCTGAGTAAACCATTCGATTCAGCAAATGAGTTTAATAAAATAATTAGTCTAAATGTTGAAATAGACTTGCAAGGACTTTGTGAATTAACGATAAATAATTAAAACTCTGGAGCTCGGAATGGCATATGAGTTGCATAATGAGAATCTCCTTGCGATGGTTCATCCTCCTTCATCGAATGCTGTGTACTGCCGATATTTGCATCCCAAACGAATGATAAAAGCAATAATTTACGATTTCGCACACCTACTAATATTGCATTAGACGATGAAATTAATATCAAAAAATAGCTTAAACAAGAAGAGGAGCGAGCGACTAAAGTGCACGTAAATATATTATAATTGATTTAGGATTCAAACTATTTAGTTGATCTTGTGTAGTTTGAAGATGAATATATGCGAGAAAATAAATATATCGTGAGAAAAATGTATAGTTATAAACAATAAGATTAATCCGATTTATGTTTGATAAATTTTTGTGACGACATGACGATTCCTCAGCGCCTATGTATACACATAAGTACTACTATACTCTCTTTGTATCAGGAGTCACACTCTCCTCTGTTATTATCCTTTGCGTTAGCGTGATGAGATAACAAGAAACATGATACTCTGAAGTAACGACGCGCCTAACGTCGCCGAAGATGAAATACAAGATTATTTGTGCAAGTGTTCGATTTCCTATTAATATTTCGCGATAGACGCAGCTTAGAAAAAAATAGCGACCCAAAAAGAGAAAGAAATCTTTTAGTAAGATAGATCAAAAGTAGATGCAAAAAGAGCACAAGGCTCCAGGAAAGATATAATGTGTTACAAACGCTACAGACAGCGTGTCTTTTTCCGGTCGTATGATAAAGATCTTGTACTCTCTCTCTCTCTCTCTCTCTCTCTCTCTCTCTCTCTATCTTCGATGAGTGCGAGAATAAGAAAAATGTATACAAAGCCACGATGATCCAAGCAGTTATTCGTAGCTTTTACACATAGGTAGCAGTCGAGAAGATGTAGAGAACAGTTAAATGTTTATCTTTGGCAGCTACTGCTATAGTCATGTTCAATACTCAAGATTTGGGAAAGGAGTGCGCGGCGACTGGGTCAGTTTTTTGATTTATAATTCTGTACAAAGCAGAGCAGTAGATAGAAATGACCGACTTTTATCTTTTCTCTTTAGCCGATTTCATTAGTATACGAGTATTCACACTTTTCTCTTTCGGCTTATTATGTCAAGACTACCTCACGAATCGGAAAGACCAAGCCCACACTTTCGTTAGTTAAATGTACATACGAAGTGAGTCCATCTCATTTATATACTTAAAAAATTTGAACCTAAACAAAGGTTTTAATTGGCAATAAATTTGTTCATATCGAGCATTTAAGTATCGTCTAAGACGAAAATGTAACATTGCTTCTTCGCGCGCCTGCTCGCGAGCCATGCGATTATGGCCGCGCATACGACGCTGAAATTGTACGCGAGCTAAGAAACCATAAAATGTATCATTATAAACAAAAGGTCATTAAAGCCACGCACTGTATCACCCGAAACGCGAATTCGTACCAGCTATGTACATAATTATAATCATGAGAGTAAATATGAATCGGTTTTGGTCGTTCAAGGTAAAATATTATCGAATTTTTGTACGCACTAGGCTCAAATACAAAAAAAGTCTTGATGAGTGGGTTCAACGTTATTCAGAGAAAAGTACCACCAATCCACACCATGACCAGACTTCTCTAATAATAACAATTTTTTTCCCAAAACGTCCAACATAGGATTTCCGTAGGAGAATGAGAAAACGAAAAACGTTTTCCTAAAACAAGAAAATCACTACACGCGCGCTTTTTAGGTAAACGTTCATCTTCCTATAGACAAAATCATTACTTTCCAATTATTGATTACATTTACTTGGCAAGCAACAACATTTCGTGACGTTACAGATGATGTACACTTGAATAAAATAATCCACCTTAGTAAATGACAAGCAATCGAATCGCCGAGAAGTGTAGCAGCAGATTATTCATATGGATACGTTGGTACAATGGGCGAGTCGTGCTTTAAATTATTCATAAAAAAGTTATTGGCTAATTTTTTTCATAGCTCACGCGCATTGTTGACATACACGCAAGCTCGCACGCATATTCGCACGACTCTTTCTCTCGGTTTCTCAAGCAACTTTAAATATAAAATCAAATCTCACGCCATTTTGGCAGTGGCTCACCACCGAATCTAACGCCTGATAAATGCGTGAATATGTGCATGTATATAGAAACATACAACTCGGATATTTTTAGCTTGAATATTCACGCATCGCGCGCGCGCGTGAGATAGAGAGTATAAGAAAATTCCCTGCGCGACGTGTGTATGTGTGAATGTGAGTGTGCATGCGTTCCTTTTCCACGACTTTATTGTGCTCGTTCCGAGACTTTTCGAGCAATTTTAATGACGCATAAAAATAAAACTTACCGACCAAAATCAGTATTATACACGGAGAAAAAAAATTGCGTTAAAACTGGAAAGCTAAATACAGAACGGTACTTGTATATATATTTAAAAACTTTGCATGATCTATAATGGCAACGACACATGAGTTTCGTAATCGCGAGTTCGATAAGCCTCATAATGAATATTTATCGTGTGCACAATCGTACTTGTACACATTAGAGTACACGACGAGTTCGTTTGTTGTGGGTACAAATAATAACAAAAAGTAACCTTTTCTTACGTAAGAAGGATATCTTAAACGAAGGATATAAATAATTTTGTGATCCTGAGGATGAAAAGTTTTGACTATTGAATTTCAAACATTAATAAAATGCTTTGAAATAATTTCAGAGATTCAGGATACAAATGAGTCGTGCCCCCAGCAAAGTTTTGTTATTTTCTAACGAAACATTTTAGTGTATAAAAAAACAATATTGGTTTTACAGGAGTTTTTTTATGTCTCGATATCGCTTAAGCTTCGCAAAAATATTGTGACAATTTTTTAATACATATGTGATACGTTGTCATTAAACCAGTTCAATAATTAACATTAATATGAGAATACATAATTAAGAAATTCAAGGACAACCGTATGCAGCATTCATATGTAGCATAAACAAACGAATCTGTAATGTCTACAATTTGAGGTTAGATCCAAACTGTAAGTGTTCGCTGGCACAGGGATATATACATATTTATACGTTGGAAAGATAAGCTCGAGTGTGAGTGTGTGTGTGTGTGTGTGTATGTCTAACGTGTGGCAATGCAGACTTTACCATGTCAGCTCCCAGGTCTTTCATGTCACAGTAGAGAAACAAATCCCCCGGCGGCTTCATCCAGCCGCCTGTGTAACTGTCCACCGTCTCCAATGCTCTGTCCAGCCGCGTCACCTCCTCGAAATTCAGCCTCGTAAGGGCCGCTGCCTCGCCGCGAGCCGTAGTCGTAGTCGTAGCACGACTGTCACTGACAGTCGTAATGACAACAACAACAACAACAACAACAGAGGCTGTTTTTGATACTCCTCGACGAGTCGAGCGAGAACTAGCTACTGCTTATCTGATTGCAGTGTTCGCGAGATGTGTTAGAAGCACTGCCACTACCGAAAGCCGCAGTAGCGTCTACCGGCTGAGCTGCTGTTATAAACTTCGACTATGCGTGCAGCACACTTGGCTGCTGTTCCTTTTTTTCTTCTGTATGATTTCTGTATCAACACACACTTTGCAAAACACCGATAAAGCACTGCTGTCGATGCTGTTGTATACTGCTATAGGATGCGCACTACTGCCACCCTCGCAACGACAGCGACGACGACGACGACGACACAGCACAGCACCAACGCCGCCACCCTCGATGGACAGCACACTGTATTATTATCAATAGACTTTTATAAGTGTGCGCTCTCACTCATAGGCTTTTACCTATAAGCAGATATATCAACACAATCGAAGAGATTTCATAAAAACAACACACTTTTCTAGGCTTTTTCTTTTGACGTAAAAAACTTGCACTTCGATCGGAAGATCGATAAGACAGCTACTGTCAACGCGTGTGGCACACAACTGCACTAGAGTATATGTGTGAGCGAGTGTGTGTACATGCGAGTTAATGCTCGGCCAGTACAACTCAGCTTCGCCGAGTCACCGAATTACCAAATGCTCTCTTCTGTTTTCGAAAAATAATCATTGGATTTCGGTCGTTCTAGAAAGAGAGCAAATATATGGCAAGGGAGAGAAGAGGGGGCTCTTACGCCTTGAACAACAGCAGCAGCCGGCACTGTGCACGATTACATACACAGCTTTATGACGAGTGCGTGTGTGTGTGTTCTGACTGTCGCTATTGTGTACACCGCTGCGATATGGATTAGGCAAGGAGTTTCGTCGCCTCGTCCTGCAATGCTAATCCGACTTGATCGATACCGACTGCGCGGACGATGATGCAGCTATACAAAGAAGCGAAGCTCCGTCTTTTGCACTTGCCGACTATCTGCAGAGCCAGCTTTTCTGCCTCTCTCGCTCTATACGTATGTGTGCGTTTCAACGACACAGTTGCACAAACTACACTTGGTTTGCGCGCGCACACAATTACAGCGTAGTTGTATATTTACATAGGTGCACGGAGCAGCCGTCGACACAAGACACTCACGCACAAATGGACACTGCTTGTCAGGTCGTCGGGCGATGGCGATGCTCAACTTTTTGCCACTGAGAGCTGCACAATTACTGCATAAGCACGAGGCACTGTCAAGATTTTCCTTCGGCCAGTCGCGCGCTCTACAGCTCTTCGACTTCTCTGTACTTGTCTTGTGTGTGGACGTGGGCCGGGCGGTCGGTCGCACTATGCTGCTGTGCTGCTGCTGCCTCAGCGCAAATGTGCGCTAAACGTCTATCTGTCTCTCTCTCTCTGTTTCTCTTTCTATACCTATATAGCTACGCACTTGCTTGTGCGCGCTGCCTTTTCGGATGACGACGACGGCGACTACGATGATGCATCAACCGCGCGAGCCTACAACCGTTGATTCCACTTTCGATTCGACACAACAACACAACGACACAGTCCTCGCACTCGTTCGATCAACCCAGCATCAACGCACACCAACGCACTGCACTCGTTACTTTTCACAAATCCAAATCAACTTTTATGCGAGTTATTCCGTCGACTTGTGATTAATGACAAATCGCGCAGAGAAAAGTCAGACTAGAAGACTAGCTGCTGTGCGCGTGGCGGCTAGCGAGTCTCTGCCTTGCTTATATGTCTGCGTTGCTGGGATAGCTCGTAGCAGCAGCCGCGGCCACAATATATATGTTTTGTATATACGTATACATGTGTATGTGTGGGTAAGTTTATGCGTGTGCGGCAAATCGCAGGCATACAAACGCATGCGAAAATGAGCGAAACAAAGAACGACGCGTCGATCACAGCGCCATCCCGGCACCGAGCGACTGCGACCATCCGCCACTTTGGCACGAATGCGCCTCTCTGTGCACGATACATCTATACCTGTAATGATGATGCACCCGGTAGCAGCAGCAGCGGGTGGGTGCTTTACATCCAGCTATATGCGCCTATACATGCACTCACCTTTCTGCACTATGCCTTACGTATGACTTACGAAAGCCAACTATACTCTCGTCATTTCGTTTGATATACATGTCATCCGTTTGGCAGAATGGCTTTTGGCTTGGAACAACGTCTTACAGCCCATGATAATAGGGACGATGTTTTCCGAACAATTAATACCGATTTGGAAACGCAACTGATGTTAATATCAACTTTAGTTGATCATCTTAATGTACAGCTAACTTGTTTGTTTACCATTGCTAACCTATTATACTTTAAAGATCTGATAACATCCATTTATTCTATTGTATCTAAGTTTATTTTTATACTATATAGCTAATATTCATCCCATTCTTAAGTTTTTAGAGGGATTAATATTGATTGATAAAAAAAATAAAGACAAATGATATTATACAATTAAATAGTAATTAACAAATTATTAAGTTAGGCTAATGATGTTCTTTATCCTAATCTCCAATGTGATTTTCAAATTTAAATTAAATAAAAATTGGTTGATTTGAACTTTGGAATACAATATGTATTGCATAATTTTAATATAATTAATGTCAATTCTTAAATATGGGTTATATTTAGAGTGTTTGAGATGTTGAATTTTGATTGATCCACTATCTGTCTTAACCTCATCAACTGGATATTTAAAACTTGAATAGTTAAAGAAATAATTATCTTGTAGTAAAATGAGTATCTTGTTTGATTAAAAATAAAATTGTTCACTCATTATATTTCAGTGCATTTCTAATACTGATTTTGTTCCTAGTTATTAAATGCATCATATGCTACTCATCTAACTATTATGAGTTATAAATTTTTATTACTCACTTGACCATTACTGTACTGCTGATGTTGATGAAATAAGGCTAGTTGTTGTTGTTGAGCAGTTATTTGGCTGTTCAAATAAACCATATGTTCAGCACCTGGTGTACCACTCTAAATTGTACATAAAATATATGTTATTTTTGAAGAATATATAACCTTTATTTTGTAATACAACATTTATTATAATAACTTACTTTTAATTGCATAGGATGTATTTCATAAGGCATATGTACATTATTCATAGGTTGAATATTAAGTTGAGGTTGTTGATTTTGTTGAGGGACACCCATTTTATTTACTGAATATTTCCATTTCTCTTGATTCTGAAAAAAATAAAATGAGTTGTGAGAAATTTTATTTCTTTAGATTTCATTACTTTACAAAACTATGATCGCATTAAGATTCAATTTAGTAAAATTTAATTGTAAACTAGATAGAAGATTAAATTAAACAAAAAGAACATTTCATCAAAATATAAGCAGTAAAAGATCAATAACAAAAAATTAATAAAATTGTATGATGATAACTTACATTATCTACAATTCCTTCATCGGCTAATGCCCATGCCCGTGGAGTTTGCTTATTTTGGAAAGCCTGTACACCAAATTCATCTGCTGTTCTTTGAAAAACGTATCCCACCATACCATCATCCTGAACTCTATTTATTTGACCAGGAGGTAAGCGAAGAGCATCGCCGCCTGCCATAACCTGAGGACAGTTTTCGTTATCCTGAAAAAATAGCAATAAAAATTTGTTACAGCAATTCAATTTGTAAAAGTGTACAAGATATTAAAGACTCAAGCAAGTTGGATGTATAAATTTCAATCTCTTAAAGAAAAGGTACAATCAAGTCACAAATACTTTCAAGAAATCTAATTAGTAATAATTTTTTATGTTTTTTATCAGTAAATTTAGGGAAAATTAATGACAATATTTAAAAAAAAATGAGATAGTCATTAGTTGAATTCATAAAACTTTTGCATGAATTATTATATTACTCATACATGCAAACTCAGCATTATCGTATATAATACACACGCATACACGGACATGCACGCACTCACACAGTCTCTCTCTTTCTCACGTCTACATGCATCCAACTAGCCACACTTACGCACCTACACACACTCTCACAAACGCATAAAGTCAAACATTAAATATCCAAAATTGAGGATCAAGTTTTCAATAAAAATGCTGCAACTACTTACTGATGGCAAGTGACCGTTTCCTTGCTGGAGCTGGAGCTGCATCGGGTTTGGGGCCGGTTCGCCTGCCCCGGCGCTACCCGCGCCATGCAGCCACTTCATCCCGGCACAGCGTCCTCGTAGCCTTGACTAATTGCAGTCTTAATGTATTGTTGTTGAGGAAATTTATTGCACACACGTATTTACAGCTATGTTATAGCCAACACTCGGGCGACGGAGTCAGCTAACGAATAAAAAAATGTCGGGATTCAGTAAGTAACTTTGCTTGTCTTTTTACAGTTGTTTGACGTTAAAACGAGCAACACTCACTGTGCGAATGTGCTTATGCACGAATAAATAGGTGTACGAGGTGTGTGCGTATTGAAGGAGCAGAAAGATTGGGAAAAAAAGAAAGAGACAAAGAATGAGAAAGAGAGATGAAAAGAAAGTGTAAGAGAAAGAGAGAGAGAGAGAATTGATGAAAGGCAGAAAAAGCAAGGAGGGTACTTAGGTTATGATACAACCTCCTCTTAAACGAGGGGGTTTGTCGCGGCAGTTGAATCTCACTTTTTGGAGTCGCCGTTTACTTTTGGAGTCTCGAATCAGGCACACTGCGTCTGCGGCTTCCGTCTCTTGGTTGCAGCTCCTTCAGCTTCGATATTAACTATAGTACACCTATGTACAAGAGCGCACCGAGTTTGCAACTGCAAAGAGCCCAAGCTCACTCACACACGCACGAAATGACGTCGCCAACACAGCCAACTGCCTATATATGTGTGCTGTACTCGTTTATGTATATAGTCACACTGTACTGCTCGTTGGATTTTGCTACTGGTATAAGTCCAATGCAGCACACACACGCATACGCGCGCACTCGCGCACACACACCGACACGTACACACACACAGTCACAAGAGCAAGTCAAGTGCACGTACAGACGAACAAAAACGTCGCGTTTGCTGTAAACCGGCCGACAAATGTATATATAAATATATATACGCAGGGTGGTATGTGCTTGCGGATAGCGAGTATATATGTTGTTGCAGCCGGGGTTGTGGGTGATGCTGCTCGCGACTGCGCCAACGCTCGACAAAAAGGGCCGTAGAGTTGCAGAGCGCCACTACCTATATATATCCTTTATACATATAATATATATGTATACAAGTATATAGCTATACACGTGTGTGTGTATATGTATATATTATATACATAGATATAGTTATATATATAAATGGTAAGGGATTCGTATGTACACTACTATACACTATACAGAATTTATGTCTATGTACACGACTTGGTTATATATACAAAATGTATAAATTTCGCAGCGTTAGGTGCGCACGCGACTGACGCGGATCAAAGTTGAAAAAGTACGTGCGAGCGGAAAAACGACTTCGTAGTCCGCCGAATGGTAATTCCGAACGCGCCGGTACTTAGCGCCACGTAGCGACATCGAACGACCCAAAACTAAACTTCTCCTTTGAATGAACGCGCCTCGAGCCGACATATAAAAAACATTGCTGTATTTTTGTATCGATCGATCAATTCGTTGGTGCAGTAGATTTTAGGAGTTTATTACATGGGATTCGAGCAACCGATTATTGTCTTTTTTTGAGCCAAATGATCAAATAAATTGGATTGGTAAATAAACTATGAATGAAATTGGTGGACATGAGTTTCATGAGTAATTTAATAAACACATAGTCGAATGTATCTCGTTACACAAGATTATATTTAATATCATCTGCATACTCTGACATTCTTAACTTTTATGTTTCATTGTTTTTTTCTTTTTTTATTACTTTATATACAGAACTACACAGAGTCCACGTATTTTCTAAAAAGATTCATTGCAAAAGCTCTAGCTCACTTCTAAGAGCTGAAACACTCGTATTTTCTTTTGTGTGCGTGGGAAAATCGACGTGTTTTTTACGTTATACATTACTATTTTATAAATTGTAAAAAAATCCCACGGGTGCACACATAAAATTGTAACAAAATTCATCTTACATACTTTTCATCTCTCGTCCATTGTGCACACCATGACAATACATTCGTATGATACAATTGATTTTTTTCGCTCAGTTCACAAATTTTTCTAATTTTATTTTTTAATTACTCTTCGTTCTGATGAATTCTATCATGATGGACATACAACATATTTCACAAATTTGGATTGACTGACCAAATTATAACAAAGTGTAAGCAATGAAACACTAACTTTGATTGAAACTCAGTAAACTTTCGTTAAACTTTTTATTTTTAGCATTTTTGTTGCCCCAGATTATAAATTTGAAGTACAGTTTTTTAAATCCGACAATTGATATTTTTTTTATTTTTTGAGTAAAAAATTAAGATTCTTTGTATAAAATATAAGAAAATAGTGCTGGGCGGAAATGACGCAATCCGTCCTCGTGCTGTGCATTACATTGGCATTTTTTTATTTTTTCATTGTTAAAAAAACAATTGAACTTGTTTAAATTTTATTCTGTACTCTTAGTTCATTGACTATATAAATCAAATTAAACAACGAATATGTCGATGTAGCTCAATACTCCAACATCGTAATAGTTTAATATAAACTTTTGATTATTATTTTTACTAACAAAATAAGATAAAAACATCAAATAAAGCTATGATCTTTAGATATGAACGTAGTTTATTGTAGAAAATTCAGCGTGAAACGGAGAAAAATAAATTTGAGAATAATATTTATCAATAGAGACTACAAGAATTAAGTTATTCACGTGGAATTTCATACTTCTAATTTATACGAGTACAAACTTTTTTGAAGGCTTGTGACCACTTCATAATAATATACATGAGAAATGAAACTCATCTCGATTGTCATTTTAATTTTCTTTTCTATAATGAACACAAATATTTATCTTTACTAAAGAACTTTGTCGAAGTATAGCATTTGATGGTCAATGGTGAGTACCTTCATTTCGGTGTGCAGATATACCGTACTATTCTTTTATAATAATTAAATCGTATTAACTAACATACTTCCGTTTTTTGCGATTAAATCATAATCATCATTATATTTTTATGATAATAATAGTTTTAATTATGTGATAATTATAATGTTGAGAATTAAAAATAATTAATGCTTTGATACAGTTGATATAATTGTGATAAGCGTATACTGTTTAAAGTTAAACAGTGTCGCCTTTTTATTCTTCGTTCGTACCGTTACGTCCTTACAATATTACATACGAAAGTATACAAAGTATTTACAATTGCAGAGATGTATGATCTTAATAATGTAGGCACTATGGCTTGGACATACACTAACTGGTATATTAGATATACATCCTCGAGGGTTTTCCAAGGAAAATTAGATCAATTGATTGATAGTGATAACGCTTAAATATATAAGTGTAAGAATCTTTTTAGAATCGATAAAAATATGTCCTGGGCTAAAACATTGTTTATGCTATGTATAAATTACACGCGTTTTTATATTTAATAAATAAATATTATCAAAACAGCGTTTAAAAGGTATTATATAGTTAAAGAATTTGTTTTATTCTTTCTTTTGAAAAATTCTTTTTCCTTAGAAGACCCCTTGGTTACAAAGTGGTGACATTGTTTCTTGAATAAATCTTGGAAAATCTATACAAGTATCATATGTGATTAATGTGACAACGTAATGATTAAGATCTTTGTTCTTTGATCAGTTACCTCGTAAATTTCGATGTACTGAGTGCTTTTTTTTAAAATGCACACCGTAATATAAAAGTATCACTGAAGTAAAATTCAGTCTATAGTATATTGAGGTACTATAAAGTTTGTTACATATCAAGTTTTATATGCTATGTAAGCAAGGTACATAGGTACAAAACCAACCACGAAAAGTAATTATACAAAAATCTATTTTAAGACTAAGATTCAACAGATTGATTCGAATTTTATAAATCAATCTCTTCAATACACACGCATTCGTCTAAAATCATTCACACACGCAGTTATTCGACTTTACATGTTCACGCATTAAATAAAGAAAATACGATCGATCACCTTTAAGAATATATTTACCATGCAACGTGTAAGATTTACTTACTGAAATTGCAATGTCTTAGATCCAGAAAAAATTTTACGCGTGAGAAAAACATTAAACAAAGAAGGAATATATTACAGTGTCAGATCTAAGACGTTTTGCGTACTTCTTCATTTACGCGAGAAAATAATAATATAGTACATATATAATATATATAATCTAGAAACGAATATATTCAGCAGTCTCGCTACAGCATTTATACACAATGCTGGTACATTTTTTCAGCACGTGAGCGACTTTAAATCGCTCTATTATACACAAATCTAAATTGCACGGAAAAACCCTTGACGTGAGTTTGAAGGCTTTGAATAGTTCGCTAATTGATCATCTTATTAATTGATTATTCAATATTGCGAGCTGAAGTCACCTGAAACTGGTCATTTATACTGCCGTTTTTTTTCGTGATATGTGTACTCTATTCTGACGTAGATAAAAATTATTTAGAACAGAGCCCAGAGTGCGGTGTTGAATCTAGGGAATAATTTTTATCGATATCGACTTTCAAAAAGCCTCAGACAGGTACTGATAAGTACAATGTTGTGTATCAGTGAAGGGTAAATGGCATACCCTTGCCCGCGTCAACGCAACTCAAAAAATAAATCGATGCAAATCATACATTCGCAATATTAATTAATTAATTAAAATAAATCAAAGAGATCTGTTAGGCCTTCTCCAGTGCCCAGGGTAAATGAATAATCCGATTCAGACAGAGGTGGTTCCAGCGCCAGTAGAGGATCCCCAAAGTGGAAGTCCATAATACCCATATCTGAAATAAATGAAATAAATATGTATCACTCATGTAGATATTTACCTGTAAAATTATTCAACTAAAAAAAGGTTTTCAACGTTTGAAGATACGAACCTGTGCCTAACTAGAACTCTGCCTGTGATGTGAATAGATTAAACAACACAAGTCACAGTCAGAGCCCCGTCAGGTACCGGCTACAATTTTTCAGATACTTGCTTGAATTTTGAAATATTTTTTCAAAAGTAATATATAAATCATTTTCATACCAGCGGCCCGAAAGTGACTACTTTCCTGCCGCTGCGCAAAGCGGGAAGAGTGATTTTCGGGCCACTGGGTATGAAAAATAGTATACAGGCCTATGCCGCGAAAAAAGAAAGCCCCAGAGCACGTGTTTATCGGCCTCGGCTTCGCCTTGGCCACTAATTACACGTACTCTGGGACTTTTCTATTTTTCGCGGCCTAGGACAGTGATATACTATTTATGGAATTTTATCCTAGCTGACTATTATTATTGTTTAATTTCAAACGAACCAAAGCAATGATTAGAATATTTCTAAATGAAATTAATATTAAATTGTACAGAGTACAGTTTTGAATATTATTATGCTGACATTAAACCCACACGAAAATACAGAGATGATCATCAAACTGCTGTCTAGTCTCGTAAGAATAACGCGAAATCCGTTGAAAAAAGTTCAAAAAGAGGGATTTATCTGTATCAGTCATTATTCAATTTTTTTTATATTCATATGCATGTATATATATACCTGATGACATATGCTGATCTTCCGGCGGCATTTGTAATTTATTACCCATAAAGGTGAAATCGTCAGACTCGCAGAGAAGTGCATCCCTCATACCAGCTGAGGTGAGGGCCGAAAGCATCATTTGATCTGTCATGTTGCAACTTTCTGTCACCGAATTATTGGAGAGAGATTCGACTTTTATGGCGGGGACATTGGACACCAAAAATTCTTGAGGAAGCGATGCCATTTCGTTGACATGTCTCGTAACAACTGAAGTCTGTACTGAAGGTGCTGTCGCTGTTGGCGTTTGCGGCAAAGACATCGACGCAGCTAATTGCTGTTGCTGTCGTTGGTGTTGTGATTGTTGTTGTCGCTGTTGATGCAGAAGTTGTTGCTGTTGTTGGTGTTGTCGTTGTTGCTGCTGCTGCTGTTGCTGTTGCTGTTGTTGTTGCTGCTGCTGCTGTTGCTGTTGCTGTTGCTGTAGCTGTTGCTGCTGCTGTAATTGTTGCTGCTGCTGTTGAGGATCTGGTACAACTTCAATAGCGTTCATTACCGATGTAGATGCAGCAACCGAAGCCGTAGAAGACGTTGAAGCTGCCGTTGCTTGGGCTTTTATAGGTGCTGGTGTGTCTTCGGCACACAAGAACACTTCAATTTCTTCGGTTGTCGAACGCATGTGTATTTGAAGCTGAAAGCATAAAATGATCGTTATTTAATAAAGTTGTTAGGGAGAAAACTTTTAAATCAAGAGTAAATTACTTTTGGCTGTCCATAATTATTAATCGGTTGAGGAACGTGAAGAGTTGCATCGGGTGGGGCTTTAACAGCCATAATTGACTGATCTTTGTAAGCAACCACTGCGCGCAAATCTTGGTACGTCACGTAGGCGTAGGTTTTGTCGCTTGTGACATCGTTCAAATCTGACTGCGCTCCAGTTATCAGCCTGTCGAGCAGATTCTCTTTCGCTTCCAAATCCGCTAGCTCTTTCCTCAGAGTGATAATGTTGCTTTGATTGCTTGGAAGACTAGTGCCTCTGCAAAGATTAGGCAGAAAATCATCAAGTTTTGCACAACGAAGTTACAAATTACTTCATTTTATTCATTAGTAAGTTCAACCTACTTCCACTGTATATTGTTTTTACTCTTTTTTTCGAGTATACCGATGCCTTCAAGTACGTTCGTAATATCGTAAATGCGTCGTTTTTGAACCTCTAGCTTTTCCGAAGCTACGTTTAAATCGACAACACCATCGTTGCTTTCTTCGACTAAATTGATAAATTTTTTTGTAAGCAAACTAAGGGAGGTATCATAACGCGTCCTCTCGACAGTTTTGCTTTTGGTAGGTGTGTGGGCACCATTGTTGGTAATAGAACCCGAGCGTTTACGCTTGACTCGAGGAGCTTTGAAGGTAGACTGGCTTGGGCCCATTTCCAAATTCAGTCTTCTTTTGACTGCCGATATCTGCAACGGCGACGTGCATCGTGTACGTGAGTTAGAAGAAAATTTCAAAGGGTCGCATCATGATCGTTTGGGGATCATCCTTACCTCGGCACGCGGTGTCTGTGGAGCTGGTCGCTTGTTAATTTGATAACAAGGCGTCTGTCCATATTGGTGATCCTGTAAATGAGGACTGGGCGTCTCCTCGGCCACTTTTTGGGCCTGCATTTCATCGAAAATGGTAATGCCATCCATATCGATGAACTCTGGCTTGACTGTAGAAAAGAAGGAAATAACATTAGTCGAAGGGTCGGAAAATGAAAGGAGTGCGAAAAACAGAGCTGCGTGCTAGCCTTGGTTGTTCCAAGCACTTACTCAATTTTGTCTCACCCATGTCAGGCGTTACCGGCCTGTTGATATCCTCGACGAGCATTATTTGCCTCTTAACACGTGGCATTGCGACGGAGAGGAGCAAGACGGCGACGGAGACGACGACTACAGCGAATATGCACTGGCGTGTACTTTTGCTCGTAAATAAGCCTCGCACTCTTTCTCTCTTTCTGGTAGTATATATTTATCGCTTTTCTGCAGTGCTGCTGAGCCGTTGGCTTGGCGTTGCTGCTACTATTGTGTATCTGCTCTCGGCCTCTTCTTGCGAGTCTTCTCGTGTCGCTATTCCTGCGTAGCGCAATGTGCGAGCGTCTGCAAAAAAAGAAAATAAAAGCGATCATGCTTTAAAGCTGTTGTATAACTTTGATAGACGTACATGTATACATGCATGCTCTCTCTCTCTTTTGCTCGTACTCTAAATATCTATATAACTATATCTATACCTCTATCGCTCGCACTCACTTACTCGGGCGTAATTTCTGCCTGCAAGTACAAGCTTATAATTATCATTTCCTAAAAGTGCAAAATTCCCACGGGGAAGTCCTACAATATGAGAGAGAGAGAGAGAGAGAGAGAGAGAGAGTAAACGAGCTGAGAATCACATCCTGGTGCATATAATGCGTTTATGTATGTGTGTATATATATGGCGTAGAGAAGGTTGAATATCTCGAGTGCACGATTAGCAAAAGAGAGAAAGAGAGGAGGGAAGTATTTTCGCGGGGACCCCCGAGAAAGAAAAATAAACCAAATGAAAAAAAAATTGAAGAAGAGCGAGAGCGAGAGAGAGCGAGAGAGAGAGAGAGAAATGTTGATGATGGCGTCGAAGAGAAGTAAGGGCGTGAGTAGATCACATATAAAATTCGCAGCAGCCACACATACATGCATAAAGGACTTTTGGGCGCATTCCGGAGGGAAGAGAGAAAGAAAAGATCTTTCTGGCAAGCTAACTCTTGCTCTCTCTTTCTCTCTTGTGCTTTCTTTAATTCTCATCTCTCCTTTCGCCCGAGCCTGTACGTGTGTTCTCGCTTACACTTTCGTATGTGCACGCACACACGCGCGTACACATACACACACACACATACACCAGGCACGTGTAGGTATAGAAACAGACGGAAGGATTCCTTGTAGCATGCTCTATGCGCGGTGGGCATATAACCGGGTCCCTCTATAACATCCACTGAACCACGCAGAAAGAGAGAAAGAGAGAGAGAGAGAGAGAAAGAGCAGCAGTACAACACAGTGCGCGTACCCATGGACATAGGTCTCCCTTCTCTTCATTTTTGCCAACACACAAATTCCCCGTGCTGTTCTGCTGCTGCTGCTTCTTTCCGTCCTTGTCTAAAGTTACCGGTTTCTCTCGCTCTTTCTTTCGCAAAAAGTCTTTCTCTTTCTTTCTCGCACTAGACATACACGTACAAACACATGTACAGCACATATATTGAGATTCCTTGCAGTGAGCGAGTAGCGTTCGGGTGTGTGTGCGTGTATATGCGCGCGCGAAAGAGAGAGAAAGAGAGAGAGAAAGAAGCCAAAGGCTCGAACGCTTAAAAAAAATGGCATGTATATGATATATTGAGTGAGAGGGAAAGAGAAGCGAGCCCGATGACGATAACGACACGATGTACGTACACATGCTGCGGATGGTATAAAATACAAGACGGAAGTGTTAACTACGCGAAGATAGATTTGTTTTGTGTTCTCCACTATGCTCTCGGCTCGCTCTTCTTATCGATGTCAAATTCAGATATTTTTATAAAATAGTTTACCCTTCTATCGAGTTTTAAAAAGTTCAACCGGACAAGAAATTGGTAGTAACAATTTGCCAAAAGACTAAGAGTAGAAAATCGTGTGCATAATTCCGCGTAAACAAAAATTATAAGAACATAAAAATCGTACAAGGTTGACCGGGTATTTAGTAAGCTGTATTTAGTAAGACAGAGAGCACATACATCTGGCCCGCGACAACAAGCGCAACCGAACGACGACTGACGAGAGCGAATGGCAGGAGCTGCCTCGAGTGTATGTGAAATTGATAAGACAAGCTCACCGCACTAATACGCGCAAGAGTCGCACAACCCGCGAGTTTGTATGCTAGTATTTATGTGTCGATGAATCCCATTGTCATTCACTTCAAATGACAAAAGTTTTCCTCGCTCGAGTCGCTGCTGCTGCTGCTACTGATTATGAATAAATAAATAAATACTTGCATGACTTATTTTGTTTAGGACTTTTCTCTCTCGCACGTGAGTGTGTGTATTTGCGGGACAAATTCGCGCGAATACTCACATTGAAAGTTGTATATCCTTTGACTAGAAAAGTCACAAACTATAAGCTGTCATTTGTTTATGTATGAATGAACGAGACAAGTTTTATATGCCCGCATATCTATTGGGCATATTTTCGCTCGAGCACTTAAAACTAACGCATCGTGCGAGGCCATCTTCTTGGCTGGAATTCGATAAAAAGTTTCTAGCGATTCAATAAAACGCGATATATTATTAACACGTCGCGAAAATTGTGCGCCTGGTACGTTGAGAAATTTACGCGTGGTGTGGTCTATTTCATAACGGTTACGAGGTGTAATGTAGCGCGTTAAAAACAGCTACACGAGTCGCTCATCTTCTTCGCAATCGATTTGACAAAAATTCGAAGGTGAGTTGACAGGAAATTACTAGCTAATTCGGCCACGCGCCCAACAGAATCTCGCGCATGCACACGCTATTACAGCGGAGTAGCGATGCGCCTCACTTTTCTTGTACCCCGTGTCGTAAGTACATAGCTTGTACTTTAATTCTGCACCAGCGAGAAAAAGTGAACATGGCGAGATAGGGCCTCAGCCCAAACGCTAACTATTGTTATCGTTACAGCGTGTCTTTAATACAAACGAAGCGTCCCTTCTACGCTATGTTCACGTTTTCTCTCTAGTAGAGAATCTGAGTACAATACGTCTCGTCGGTGCACATCGGCCGCTAGGATAGTAGTTAGTTCGCGCGACAGACAGATAACTGCGTGCCGTACCGCGGCCAGACGAACATAGCTCACTCACACGCACTTATATATAGAGCGTCCCCTCAGAATCGGGGCGAAACTCGAACTTCGAGTTTCTCATCCCTTGGAAGAAGAAGGGGAGAAGGCGACGAGTGCAGTGGCGGTAGGGCCAGCTGCGAAGGATCGGCCCAAGACAGCGACGGCGCGAGCGTCTACGGAGCGTCGAGGGGTCATGACCCGAGCGCGCCTGCCTACAATATTTGATAATGCGCTCCCGTTTTTAGATAATAATAGAGAAAGGGAGAGGGAGAGAGAAGCCAGGTGAATGCGAAAGAATGCAACAACACGCGCGTATCATGCCCGTAGAAAGCCTTTATTATTTATTTCTTTCTTTCGAAAACATTTGAATACGCTCGGAGATTTTTCGGCCTTTATAATAGCAGTACATTATATTAATGAATGCTCCCCGTCGCGGCCGTGGAGTCATTAGTTCGGTCGGCTGCAAAGCTAAATTTCTTGCAAGCGAGTAAAGTTTTTCGACACTTTAAAGGCAATAATACAATGTTTCGTCGACGACGCAACATTGGTGTCGTCGTTCGTCGACCAAGCCGAAGAATTCAAAGAAAAAAAAGTAAGAAAAAATGGTCGAATCGCTGCAGTGTTGCGCATACAGCCCGCGCGACACGCGACCAATAAGTACACCCATGAAGGGGTTGAAGAAATGTTTCAGGGTCTTAAAGAATAATCGATTCCCTGCTGCTACTGCTGCAGCTGCGTAAACGAGGCACTAGCGGCTCCCATGCGACGGTTCATTTTCTGCAATTGCAATTGGCGCGTTGAGGTCCTATTGTTACATACGATTCGAGCGAGTTTCTTTCTTCCTTTCTTTCTCTCTTTCTCTCTCTCTCAGTGCCAAATCTCAGATTGCTTTTTCGACTTTAGTAAGTTTACTTTTGCCTTCATTTGAACTCGTTTAAACAGCTCGTGTGCGTAAGATTATTTTAATTGGACTGCGCTACGGTTTTTTTTCATTCTTTGCCGGGAAGGGACGAAAGTAGCCTATCCGAGAGACTTCACAGCAAGTTTATCTATTACGCAAATTATTCAAGATTTTTCGAGAAAAATGAGAATGCCGAGTATATGTTAGAAATGAAAATCATCGGGGAGCACATACTCATAGGCCGTGCACGTTGATACAACAGAGAAAGCTGGCGGAGAAGAACGGGACGTTGTGAGCGTACACATAACACAAAAGGTCATGGATAATCATAACAATTGTCGGAGAGAAAAAGATTTGCTTCTCTCCCTTGCCTATATACATACCCTATCGCGAAACTAATTCACCTGGCCGTATAGACGTTGAACACATGCATGCACACGCAGGTCAAAGGGATACATATACACATGCATGGAGCGGGATAGAAAGAGAGAGAGAGAGAGTTCGCGGACAACAAAGGAAGCAAGAAAAAGAGAGCGAGACAGTCTAAACGATGTGGTAAATTTTTTTCGTGAAAATATCGATCGACTGCGACGGAGAGAACCATCATAGCAGAAAGCTCTCACGTGCAAATACGTGCGTACAAGTGTGTATGTGCGATACGTGTACTTGGTCGCACAAAATCCGAATACGCCAAGGGAAGCGAGTACGAGCGACCCCGACTCGAATGTGTGTAGGTATACCTACGGCACAAGCTGTGACGCTTACGCATACGCACAGGCACCGGAAATCCCATTCGTCCGTTCGATGCGCTTTACGACTTTGCACACATCGCGCAAGTATAGCGGCCAGAATTCCACATAACAACACAGTTTGCGAAGATAAACAACAAGCTCTATACGCGTCATTTTTCCGAAGCAGCCGAAACGTTGTGATTTTCTAGGCAAAGTGTGTCCACGTGCCCGAGAAATGCAGCTTGCCGGGAACTAAGCGCGAGAGTGTTCATCCTCCGGGGAGAAAACTCTAGGAAGAAAGTCGACGAAATTTTTCGGAAAAAATAAATCAGTTCTCCTTCTCGCTCACTCTCTCTCTTTCTTTCTCCGTATAGTATATCAGTGCTTTAACGAGTAGCAACGCGCGGTGTCAATTCCTTGAGTGATGGTATACGCAGATGCGCGCCCCACGACGACGACGACTGTGACCTATACGTTGTTATTATCATAGGCTATTGTTCAGAGTAGAACGAGGCTACATTGAACTCACCCTGAGCAGCTAGACTAGATTTGCATGAGTTGTCTATTTCACTTCGAGACTGCTCGATCGCTTGGGCTATTGCGGAGTTGAGATTAAATACCTTGTTGGTTTGCTCGCGCGACTATTCATGTCTTCATATATTACATGGTCCACTCATCGTTATTATCGAGTAGCACGGCCCGATATTATTATATAGAAATAGAAAAAAAAACTTTCCAAAAAAAGCTTATAAATACAAAGAAAGCCGTTTTCGAGCGCTTTAATGGCAACAGTCGGCACGCACAGAGCAGCCGTCCCACTTTCAAATGTTCATCATAATCGTGTGAAAAAACATGCGTGTATGAGTAATATTATAGTTGGGTCAGAAGCGCCGCGCACGTACATAGAAGTCGCGCGACCAGCCTATTGCCAAATTTCCGATTGTCTATTGTGGCTCGCGTAATGCTCGGCTTTGACATTTCTAGAGGGACGCGGCTCACGGCGTATCGTCGAGTATCGTCGACCGGCCTCGCGCAGCAGCACATAGGCCAATTAAATTTTCGTCTATCCGAAGCTTTTCGCCTTATATCGCTGACCATACCCGAGAGTATACTCTTCTTACTACCTGTAATCTACCGAATCAATTCATCCGCATTTATTATTCGTAAATCTTTTGCAAGAGAGCTTGAGAGAGGGAGAGGGAGAAAGAAAAGAATCACGAGGCAAAAAAAAAGAATCGCGAAAGAATCTCATCTTTCCATTGTGCCTAACACAGAGCCGCGCGAACCTGTACTGTGTGCGGGAGAGAGAAAAGGATCTTCTTTGCCGGTTCACTTTTCGAGATGCCAAGTTCAGCGGCGGCCGCAGCAGCTACAGCTCTCAATGCGAAGCACGAGAGAAAGAGAGAAATTCGCGACACACACACAGACGTTAAAAAGAGATAAGCTCTTTTGGGCAAAGCAGTGGGTATATATATATATGTAAATACACGTAGGTATGGATGTGCGAGGCTCGAAAGTGCACTTTTGGCCGTGACGAGCCGACGAGAATAAGCGAATGCAAAAATGTCGCACGCACAAGAGAGCAAAATTGACAAATCCAAGCGAAGCTTCCCAGCTGATTACGAGTCCAGCAACGAGCCGGGCTCACGGGCTCTCATAGCACAGCCATCTACCGGCATTAGTATACTTGCAGGCTATGCACACCATTCAATGCTTTCACGCACACAACTCGACGCAGGATCACTAGAATAATCGGTCACTTTGTTGGGATAGAGGCATAGAACACAGCACTTGACACATGCAGTAGCATAACAACACAATTTACTCACACAGACACAAAGTCGATTTTTAACTAGAGAGAGGAAAATGCAGCGAAGCACGGGAAAACAGCAGCGACTGGCAGCGACAGGCAGCGACGCCGGGAGAACACGATGGCAGGCAGCGACGACACTTTGCCTAAAAAGTAGCAGCCGTAGCGTCAGCCAGAATCGATCCTAAAACTCGAGCAAGCCAAGCAGCAGAGCAAGCAGCAGAGCAGAGGCAGCGAGCCAGGGAGCTGCCTATTAAACTGCGATATAATACTCCGAAGCTGCTCTTGGGCGCCACTCGAGTCGGCCGCGAAACGAGAAACGTGCCTGTATACAACTATACGGCCATGCCAGAGACAAAGATAGAGAGTAGCGGAGCGAGAGCGAGATAGAGAGGGCGAATCATGCGGATCCAAGCAGAGCAAAAGAAACAGAGAAGCTCGATGCTATGCCTCTTCGCGCGGATGATGTAGAAGAGTGTACTGCTGTAATCCGCTGTATAAAAGGCCCCCGTGCTTTTATTTGTCTAAAAAAACAAAGACGGATCTCCATGTGGGAGTGATAAGACGTAATCGTGAAAGGCCTGAGATAGAAAATCCTCGTATGTAGATTTCGTGTTGCATGTATGTGTAGCGGTAGAGGCCGACTGAACTAACTATGCCTACATAATACATGTGTGCTTTGGCATGCATGTGTAGCTGTGAGCGTGTATACATACAAAACTTACCTCACAGTCGCGCTAACAGTCTCTCTTTTCTGCCTCGCTCTCGTTCGATCGTACTATGCGTCGTACGATATTTGCCAGGCGAAGAGGTACGAAGTTAGAGACGTCGAGCTGGCTCGGAGATGGGATGGCCCTCGGGCCGTACAGTAACGAAGCGGAGGCAAAGTCGGGGCTAAACCGCTGCTGCCGCGTCGAGCAGCGAAAGTGCTCGCCTGCCTTGTAGCTGGGCCCGAGGAAGTGGCGAGAAGCCGTTGCTGCTGCTTCCAGCGCCGGCTGTCCTCTCCATCTTTCGATTCCGCGACGTCGATTGCGAATTGTCTTGTGGCTGCAGAGGAGCACACGAATGCAAAATCGTTAGAGCATCGCACCGATGGAGGAGGGCCTCATTACGTTAGGTATATGAAATACAATAGACGAACGTATGCGAGCGAGAGAGGTAGAGAACAGCGCGAACGAGGCCCGGCCGAGTTACGGGTCTAGCACACGCGAATACGAGCTGAGAGAGCGACCGAGCGTCTGCCTCTGCTCGGAGTTGCTCGCAGCCGTCCTCGTCGTCTCGTCGGGTCGGCCGACTGTATTTTAGCAGCACAAGTATGGACACGGCCGCGAGCACGTCGCACAGAATCGAGCAAGCGAGTCGCAGAGAGAGACTATGGTAGGCACCAGCCGGTATATATGAAAGGTCTCGCTCTCTCTCTCTCTGCTCTATACATGCATGCACATTATATACATTGGCGTATCGCACATACACAGACGCAGATGCCGTGCGGCGGACGGATATATATTATATACATGTACGTTAACGCACACACACACACACATACATGCGATTCAACACAAACACGCGTGACTCGGGAGAACTACTATATGGCCAGACGCACACAGAGTAGCAGTCAGTATGTATCAGCAGCGTCGCGAGGAGCACGTAGAACCGTCGTCGGCTTTTGCGCTGCGATAATCAAGCCATCTGGTGGCAAGATGTTCGAGACTGCGTTCTGCGCGCCAAAAACGCAGCGCTCGTAATTCCCGCTTTATGCGGCGCATTCGCGTGACCGAGAGCCACTCTGTGCTCTGCAATGCGCGTATATGTATACGCCAACCAACCAGCCATAAGCTATACTAATTCTCTCTGTCTCTCTCTATATGCGTCTGTGTGTATATGCCCGTGTGTAAAAGTGCCGTTTAGCCTGACTGTTCCTTCTTTTTTTTTTATTAACTTTTCGCGTCATTTCGGATGAATTCTGTAAAGAATGACTACGGTGCTAATTCTAAGCTCGATCGTAAACACCGACCGAATGTTTCACCTTTTCCAGGTAAACAATATCGTAGCACAATTACTCGCGTTCCGCATCGATAGAGGCTGCCTTGCCATGGCTCGTGTAATAGCAAAGAATCACCGTTAAATAAGTAAACAAACAACAAACGACGTACGATTGTCCCTTTAAATTTTGCTTCGTCGGTCAATCGAATTTCCCTACGACAAACTCGGATAAACTTATATGGTATGTATAGCGATCTCGCGACGCGATCGAGGCAAGAAAAAACCGTTTCGAGCCGAGAATACGACGAGGCGATGATACGATTCTACGCTTATATTACGTCGTCGACGATGAATAAAGTAGCTCTGGCAGCTGCATTACACATAAGCGCGTCGCGTTTACACAGCCACATATGTGTATAGCTGTCCGCGTACCGTACACTCTCTACGAGTGTGCGTATATGTGTGCGTACGTCCGACTGTGTTGTGCAGAACGAACCAGCAAAGGAGCGAGCGAGAGAGAGAAAGAAACACTCGAGCGGTGGAGATAATAAAGGTAGTATGTGTCTGTGTCTGTGTGTATGTGCATGTTATGTGCGCGAATGTATGCGAGTTTTGTTCTATATAAGTGGCGCGTCCACAAGCGCACGCATATATATATATACACACCGAGATCCACACTCACACGCACTCACTTTTCTTCTTCTGTTTCCTTGGATTTCAAGAAACTCCTGTACTGCTACTGCTAGTTGCTCCTTCTCGACCAATATCTGCGAGGAATACACTTACACAGGCAGAGCCGCAACTCTTCTACTCGTTCTTGTTTTTTTTTCCTTTTTTCCTTCTAAAAAAGGCAATGCAGGTGCAACGACGAGCTGCGAGTTTTTCCTCCTATGCAGGCGCGCTTAGCGGCGTTGCGTACGTACGTATACGCGCGGAGGCGTGGATAAATGCTGCTGCTTCTTATGAATATATGACTTACATATAAAACTACGTAAACACGCGTATCGTGACTCCGTATACGTTATTTTTAATTTCACATGTACACTGGAAATACTCGAGGGAAAACGCGTGTCTGTATGTGTATATAACGCGAAAGTTGGTAAAGATGCAATGCGCGCCAGGACGTATGTTGTTATTAAAACGCGAGCACATACGTCCGCTACGGTGATAGCTTTTCAACTAAAGGAGAAAGAGCTAAACAGCCCCGGCTGCTGCTACTTTGGCTTGACGCCGCGGCCGCTTGCTCGCTAAAACGCACACATATACACACGTACACGCGCGAGTTCTGCCAGCAACACATACATTTATATACATGTAGGTAGTGTATGTGGTACTTACCCACACACACTCGCATGGGTTCGCGCATAAAAGAGGAAGAGAGAGAGAGAGACCCTTCGGCCTGCTGCTGCACCGGTGTTTGTGCGTAATGTGTGTGGTAGTTTGCACATTTTATATACACATGCAGCAATGTAGCATATTACATGTACGCGGCCCAAGCTACGGAAAAAATATCCTGTATACCTTTTGCTACATGCCTTCGCTTTTTTCTAAGGGAGAGGGAGAAACGAGAGAACTACGCGACGCCCTGTGTAGCTTTTGACAAAATGAAACACACGCAGAGCGAGAGAGGAGAGTGAGCTACAACGAGCGGGGGTGACGATGGCGAAAGATCTGATGTGTTTTTTTTTCTGAAATTTTAGACCCTTACGTTGCTTCGAGTTCCTGCTTTTTGTTTATTTTCTTCTTCGTTTTTTATTCACTTTCTCATTTTGTCTCTTTTTTGCAACCCACCGAGATGTGTCATTTCGGTAACTTTTATGCTTTATTGCTATTTTATCGAGCATAAAAATATAATTTACAGCTGGCATTGACAGTTGTACAGGAAAAATATAGCGCACATGTTTACAATATGCGTTGAAAAATTCATCGTTTAACAAACAAGCGCTGAATGATATCGGCGCGCAAATTTCGTACGTTCACTAATTTTACTTGGTATTCAATAAAAGTACAATATAAAAATAAAGTGTATATTTAGACGCAGAATAGACCCGCATATTAACACGTTGATCGACCTGTCGCGTGTGTGCATGTGCACCCATAAATACATTGTATATCACTCGCGTGCGCAACGTTTTCTCTCCTACTTTGCGTTCGTACAAATGCGCCCTGCATGTGTGTGCATTATAATACAATTCTTAAAGCGAAAAATCGCAAAATGACTCGGCGTCGATGCTCCTATCGTGTAAAAACGTTCATTGGCCAAAGGAGATCGATTATAAAGGCGTCTGAGGCGCCGATACGAGTAACTAGGCTCGTTGGGCTTTTTCGATCGTTCGTACTTGCATCGGTGCAAAGAGAGAAAAACACATACGCAGACCCATACGCGCCATGAAAAAGAAACGCCGAAGAAAACAAAAGGTCTTATAAGCGCATGAAAAGAATAAGTATATACGTCGCTGCTGTACGTAGCAGCAGCAGTAGGGCGAGCGAGTGAGAGAGAAAGAGAGTAAGCGCATACCGAGTGCAAAAAGGGCCGACGCGTTTCTTTTTCACACACACACGCGCGCGCGTTTGCACATGTGTACATGTACAAGCAGAAAGAGAGAGAGAGCTACATGTGAAATTGGCCAAGAGAGAGAGAAAGAGAAAAGACGTCGTTGGGTCGCCGTCACACCATCGTCGTCGTTGAAGGAAAAGAGAGAGAATAAGTCGAAGGGAGAGAAGTACGCGTATATAATATATACGAATAGATGCATCTGACTCTAACGCGGGGCCTTATAACGCACACTCGGACGCACAGACATGCACACACACGCGCACACACTCACTCCTTCAAAGTACAGTACGAAGAGTAGGGAGAGAGCTGCATTGTACAGCGTACAACATCATATATGTACACACAGACTCGGGTACGTGAGAGCCCCGATAGTCATAGGGCACCCTTTTGTACTTTTCTCACATTTTTCTCTTTTTTTGGTTAGCAAAAAAAAAAGTACCCAAGCTTCTCTCTCCGCTTTTTTTCTTTCTTTTCTCGTCATATGTCTATTATAACGAAGATCTCTGGCCGCTCGACTTCCGGTCTGTCGTGTATCTGCATGGCGGAGTAGGTGATGGCTTTAACCTCGGTGCCCTGGCTGTGCTTGCCGATTTGAAACTCCTCACCGCAGGCTCGAGCTTTGATCTTGAAATTGTCCCGGTCGAACTCGACGATTTTCACGACCTGTTGTGGAAGCAAAGAAAGAAAAAACGACTCATTAATTTATACGGTACATGATACATCGCGATGATGATGGTTGGATGCATGATATGTAAGCGATACGAATTTGCCAATGGCGATAATGCCAGGGGCTTGTAGTCGACGAGAGATGCGAGTCTAGGAAGCGGCGTATCGATATTTCGACCATGTGCAACTACATCGGGAGATGTGGCAACGCCGTGTATGTGTCACAAACATAATGCCGAGTTGCGTCTCTCTCTCTATACGTATCGCTTTATATTTATCGTTTTTTAAATACCGCTCGTACTGATAAGAAATTAGGAAGTTCATTCGTACGATTCGGCTGTGAAGCTCTCGCGACTCTCTTGGCGCAGCCCATGTACAGCGAGTGCTGCGTACATGTAATATCCCCCTGGCACGTAATACATATTGATTATGTCGAGGGAGAGGCGTCGAGCGACAAACACTCGACGATTAAAAATAAAATGCATAAGAGGGCGCGATCGCCTGGTTTTCCAGAAAAAAAACGAGCTTTTTCGCTCTCGCGCCCAAGTCACGTCTTGCGCGTAAATGTATACACGCCTGCGACAGATGCGTCAACTCACATCGTCCAAGTTGTTTTCAAAGTTAAAGGCGCCCACGAAGCTCGGAGCAAAGCTCGATTAGCTCGTGGTCGTGAAACCCCACGTAGGGGACTACTTTGACGTTATGCAATCGGATTATTTTTTTTTGCTTCTCATGTCTTAAGAAACTCGGGCTTTGCCTGTACGTGACTGAAACGCGCTACAACATACTCTTATATCCCGAAATTCGCGAGAACAAAACAACGACAGAAAGTGAAGTAAGCTCGTTGACTCGTTTACCTTGGGTATGAGAAAAGGCTCGGCGCTGAACACGAAGAGGAGCTCGTCAAGGAAGTGGTAGAGTAAGCTCATCATGTCTTCGCCCTCGGCCTCGACGATGTGAACCTGCTTGACCTCGACGCGCTTGAGATCCGTCATGTAGCCGAACATGGCCATGGCGCACTGCTCGAAAGCTTCCTCCATCGTCTCGCCCCACGAGTGTAGCCTGCAAGGAGAGAAGCCATGTAAGCCATGCTAGCCAGGATGTGCAACGGCGAACGACACTCGTGCCGAGGGAATTTTCGCAAAGAGAGACCACCGCGTAGCCGAGCCTCGCTCGCGCTCTTTGTAGGTTAAGACGCGAAGCCGCCGCATAACCTCCAAAGACGGCTCTTTACCGGGAATCGCGAGCCGGAGCGGTCGCAGCGAAGGCTTAGCTAATGTTTCGCAGGATTCTCTGAACTCGAGTCGCTTCGGAGCACTCGACATACACCGAAGCAAGTTACGTAGGTGGCAGCGTTGCATCGCCGAGTGGGCAGCGGCCGAGGCTCGCACTTGCTTCGGCGACCGACTGCTCTCTGGATTCGATTCACCGGCGAAGGGTGTAGAGAGGCCAAATAGATACCCGAACGACGTATACTTACTGCACGTCAGCCGTGTGGTCCAAATCTGTAAAGAAGAGCGTGAGAGAAGGTCGTGAAAATGGGAGAAGCGCGAAAGCCGGCGCTGCATCGAGTGCTGTTTATTGACAAGTAGCGCAAAGTCGACTCACATTCGTATTTGCAGGGCTGAACGAGAAAATCCTCGTCTCTGGGTTCCTGTGGCTCGTCCATGGCTTCTCCGGACACGATGCTGCTCGATGCGCCTGCCGTTCAACTAGGTAGTCGGAAAAATTGCCACTACGCGAGGCTATTCGGGCAAACGCGCGCGGGCGGATCGTCACAGCTGATCGAGCTTCGGAGCAGTACACGTGAACCGCGAGAACAGCTGATCGCGCTTGGCGCGCGCACGACCCCCACTCGGCAGAGTCAGGGGACTGGGGCAGACGCGCGCATCGGCCCCTCCAATCTCCTCCGTCCATGATGCAGTTTCGCGCGCAGAGCAGCATCGCCGCGGCAGCAGTAGAAGCAGCCGACGCAGCAGCAGCGCGAGTCTGACAGCTCGCAGGAGCAGCGCCTCTCTCTCCTCTCTCTGTCTGGCCGTCGTTATCAATGAAAAATCGGAGCAACAGTCAGTACGTGCTCGGGGACGCTGGCGGCGGCGCTGCTGCGTCGATGCTGCGCTGGGCATTGCTCTCTGCACTCGCTGCTGCAGAGTCTGCTGTGCAGTCCAGGGGGCAGCACTTGACTACCGACGTTCGAGAAACGGTCTCGCGTGGCGGCCCACCTGATCGACGAGTCAGTCGGCACTGGTCCGCCGGCGCGGGTTCGTCGTGATTCCGTTCGCTGATTCGAAGCTCGGCTCGTGCTTGTATTCTCTCCAGGATCGTTTTGATGCAGTTGGCTTTTTTTTTATGCGAAATTACTCGTCGAGATGGCAATCGTCATCCTTGTCCGTACACGATATCATCTCGCTAATTTTTTATATTTATTACATACGCGTCGCTCACGTGCCTGCATACGTATCTCATATTGCATCAGTCTTTGCACGCGTGTCTGTCTCGTAAACTTGCCCGTGCGCGCATCGTACTTGTGCACTGGCTGACTCGTAATCGAGCGAAAATCAAAGATTATTTTTATCCCGACGTTTTTCTCCTGTTGTACTGGACTTCGGACGACTCGTCGATCTCACTCGCGACCGCTCGGACGCTATGAGTTACGGCTCGAGCGAGATAAAAACTGGCAGATAAATAAAACGACACTTTTCAGCGAAGCTCAAAACAAAGAGCGAGCTATTGGACGCGGAAAGACTTGCTCCGTGCACTCCACTAGCATATATCCACCTCGTGCGTTACGAGTCGAGATCGGACTCGAGTCAAGGCGTATTTCCTCTATCGTCGTCGGTGAAGAAATCTCGCGTCCTTATACCTTCCTCCGTGCCAATGCGTAACATCTTTATACGCTCTGCATGCGTGCGTGTCTATCTGCGTTACAACGCCCAAGCCTCAGAAACTGCGCATTCCTCCATCTTTTATAGGAATAATCGATGAAGAAACGTAATTGACTCGGGCCGCGGATCGCTTTACATATCATCCACGCGTACAGAGGCGCAAGAAAAGCGTCGATACCGAGCGCGAGAGGGAGAAGAAAAAAAAGAACGAGACTCGCGCGCATTTATTGTTTATTATGGAACTAGTGCAGCTAACGCATAAATATGTAAGACAACGGCGTCACATCTTTATGGATTCTGCAGGTGTGATGATGATTGCAGCTGCGCAGAGACCTACATAAAAATTCCTCCGACATATCGAAATCGGCGCGAACGAGAGAGAAGAGCAGCGCGCTTACCCGGTCGACCTTTTTCTCTCCTGCGCGCAACTGTGTCGCTGAACTCCTTGCCTTTTTTTCTGTTATTCTTTTTATATTTAATAGCAAAACAAACGCACTCGGCAGCTTGACTTTGCGCGACTTTTATTTAGGATTGACACAACTTTGACCTTTTTTCGCGCTCCAAAGCGCATATCGGTATTCGTTCGGCTCGATTAAATGCGACTACTCGCCGATACCGATTGCGGGCATTTCGATATGTTCATCAGCTTCTCGCAATTGAATTTGAATCTCGAAATCTCCTCCCTCCTCTTTGTTGTTTCCTATATGTAAAACTATGCTCGTGCAAAGCCACGATCAAACCGGTCATTTAATTATAAATCGAATGATTTACCGCTGCGTCCGGATAAAAGTCGCAAAAACAAATGTATGTGCCAAGTGGTGTTGAATCGGCGATGCATCGATAGGCTAATTCTCTCTTCCACGTGGGTAATTTTTTCCTCGAATCCTTCGAAAGACCTTTAGCCTGTCTAATTTTTTTTTCTCTCTTCTCTGCATTCGTCTCGGTGCGCGGCTTCGGCGATGAGCCTTCGCGACTATATTTGCAAAGATTCCCAAAGTCTTTACGCTTGTAATTACCCCGGCTTCGACTATGTACATGCTAGTGTGGAAGGTCCCATTGCGCGACGCAAACTTATTGAGTAAGATCGTATCTGTCGACGACGTGTAAAACTCTCTAATTTCGGTATAGCCACGCGCGCGCACGCACAATAGCCTCTTTTTCTATTCCGTCGACTGCGCGTGTGCTATTTCTCAACTTTGCGCGTGGCTGCACCACCACTCTCTGCCCAGGCGACCTTTTTTTTTTACCGATTCGGAAAACACCGCTTATCAATCGATGCACTGATTAACGTTTTTTTTTTGTGGAAAATCTACAAGCTCGGCAGCTTCGACTTTGTTGCGCGATGCGAGCGTGAAAAACCTGTTTTCTCTCGATGTTATGCATCGTGCATCAACGTCGCACGTTTTGTCGACGAGCTATTAAAAATAATATCTTTCGTTGTTTGGGACGCCGTTCGTTCGAGAGCTCCAACGACGAGTCGAACGAAGAAAAAAATTGCAACGATCGAGCGGAAGAAAAAAACCAGTCAAATGTTTTTCACACGAGCGTGTCAATTTTCATGGCTCGCTTTGGCTTTGATTTAGTATTTCCATATAGTAATGCGAATGAAAATGATTGAAAATGGCTGAAAATCCTTGACTTTTTTGTCGACGATGTTGTGCGTCGTAAGCGATACATCGTCGAGCGAGGTAATTACGGTCTTATTCAACCCTTGCGATTCGATCAACAATAAATAAACATCGTATCAGATCCAAACGAACCTATTTTCTACACTCACTAGTTATCTTCTGCACTCGGTCATGTCCGCGCTCATTCTCGTACATAACGCCGCTCGCGCGCCTATGCGAGATTCAAGGGCAACGAGATTACCGTATGAATTATAACATAATGACAATTGAAATTCATTCTTCATATAATAATCGATAGAAAAATCCAACCGATTCGTATAAACGTGACATTCCATCAGTGGCGCGATTGTAGCTGCATCGCAATTGATCTTTCTGAAGATGCTTGTAAGGCATTATTTTACCTCGTTTTCTTTTTCACTGTTAAATGCTCGATTTTTTTCACAACTTTGTTGTGCCGTTAGAGAGCACAAACAGAAATATCATGCCTCAAGACGTCCGTACGGATCTGACGTTTTTTTTTTTTCGAAAACTGTTGAGTGCTCGTTAAATAGCCGCTGTCGTCTGTTATTACTTTTTTGGCGTAATAAAGAATATTCGAGACATTTGTGTATTAGGCGAGCATTAAATAATAGGTACGCGATTATGTACGAAAAAAAAGGAGAAGAAAACAACTGCAGCGAGCGAATTGAAGTCAAGAACGTGTGCGCGCACATTTCTCGATCGAGACAATAAAACATTAATTGTAAATTTATACGCTTGCTGCGATCGATTAGTGCACGGCAATGCACGAGGAGGCGAAAAACTATTTATAAAAAGTTGCAGGCGATGCATAATCTTGGCGCCCGATAGGATCGTTGACAATTACTCGCGCAGGCATTTTAATGGCAGCGATCGAAAGGCTCTGGATACGCGTATACGCGAATCGGATGGATGGTACGCGTCGCGTCGCTTGGGAAGTTTTCCAAAAAAGCCTTACAAGAAGATTATCGCGCAGAAGCGATGCAACCGATCCGGTTCACCTATACGTATACGTGTCTTTCTCTCTCTCTCTCAATATCGACATATCCTCTCTCGCTGCTCTAATGACATGCAATTTTGCAACGAGAAAAGATTTGCAGCGGCGGTGGCAGGCGCGTAGTATGCGCGATTTTCCTACTTCTACTTGCAGTTCAGCTCCAAGTGTGTGTGTGCGTGTGTGCTTGAACGTGTGAGTGCAGCAACGCGCCGAGTCCTTGGCACAGGCGACTATATAAAGCCAAGTCTTAATTGGCCGGCCGGCATAGCATTTTTGATACGTGCCGAGTGTGGTGGTGTTTGTTGTTTTTGTTGTTGTTGTTAGTTTTCCCTTTGACATTAGAACGAAATTAATCCGATCATGTCGAGGATCGTCGGTGCGCTCATTTGCCTCAGCCTCGCTGTCGCTGGCCTCAGCGCCGAAGAATTGCGTGAGTTCTCCACTTTTTTCACTTTTTATCATTTTAATCAACGTCGAATCGATCGTTTGCTGATCGAACACGATTTCTTCGAGAAAATCTCGAATCTTTAAATTTTCTCGTTGAATTCAAAGTCTCGTACACGTATCGGTCTCGCTTTGCGAATTCATGACTTTCCAAATAACCAAAAAAATTGTCCAACTATCGCAACGCACGTGAGCGTGTTGACATCAGGAAGTCATGTCAAAATGACAGTGGAAAATGAAATTTGATGATAGGCCATTGGGTGTAATGCGGCGGTAACTCTGCGCTTGCGATTACGAGAGAGCCGCGCGTGCATATTATTAAATGAAATTGTGAGCTGCTCGCGCATTAAATATTATAAAATTTTTGCCACGCGCTCGATCCTTATAAACTCGAGCGTTGGACGTCAGCTATAATATGCGAGATAATTGCCGAGATCTCAACTTTCGTGTGCACGAAATTTTCCTCTCGTTGATTAGCTACCATTGATGTTTTAATCGCTCTCCGTTAGCATTGCCTATTTTTTCGAGCGATAAGAAGCAAATTATGCAATCGATTGTACTTATCGAAATTTTTTTTCAGCCAAAGGCGTGAAAACGTGCAAACGTGACTCGGCCGATTACACTTCCTGCTTGAGGTTAGCCATTCAGGAATCATGGCTCACCTTCGTCAAAGGTAGGGGCTACCTCGATACATTAATTCGTAGCAAATAAACTGCCAACGATAATTGACAATTTTCTCGTCCTCGATAGGCATTCCCGAAATCGGCCTGCCGGTCCTCGACCCTATGGTCGTTGATTACATGGAGAACCAATACGACTTTGGCGACGTGAACGGTCGATTCGCTCTGCGCGACGTCAAGACCTACGGCATGGCCAAGATCAACTTCTTGGCCGTCAGGCCGAAATACGACGGCGACAAGATGGACATGGACATCGATGTTGCCATTCCCAAGATCTACATCGATGGCTACTACAAAGCCGACGGCGCCATTGGCAACTTCAAAGTCGGTGGAAAAGGTAATCTTACAATGTAAAGCGAGGAAAAGATGGAAAATAATAATTATCCTCCTCGTGCGAATATTAATGAGCCGAGCGCGATCTCGAAAGAGCTGCGGCATTATAGCTGTAGCGTAGTATGTGTACCGAGGTCGGGTAGAAAAAAGGCACGAGAGCGTCGATCATAACGATGCGTGCACCCGATATATACATAATAACGTCGTGTGCGCACATTAAAAACGATGGCCTGCTTGTTCTCTCGGCTAGGTTATTTCAACATCAGTATGGAGGGCATCCGTACCACATGGAGCCTGAAAGGCCGCGTCGAGAACGACCGATGGGTCATCGAGCATTTCTACATGAGTCCCCAGGTGGAGAGCATGAAGGTCTACTTCGACGATCTATTTAACGGCAACCAAGCGCTCAGTGAGTTTCACAATGGATGCTGCCTTTTTTACCCGAGACAATTTTTTATGCTCATTGCCCTTCTTCATCTCTCTCTCTTCAGATCAAGCCGCTATGGTCTTTGTCAACGAGTACTGGCCGGTGCTCTACAACTCGATGCTGCCGGTCGTCAGAGATCATTGGGACCTGCACTTGTCCGACTTTGTCAATCGATTGATCTTCTCCAAGATCTCCGTCTCTACCTATTTTCCCTGATGAGCTCGTCTCAAGGATTTTTTTTTATTCATTGTAATTAGGACGTATTACACACAGCAAAGCTTCTGAGTGATGTTAGAAACTGATTTGTTACAAAGAAAAAGTTCAAGTACCACATTGATATGCAACCATACTTTGTAAATAGACAAAATAAAGACACTTTTTTGTTCAATTCCTGTTATCGCTTCATTTCCATTATTGGGAAATATCTTTTCTTTGCCGATTCAAATGAATGCAGATTACTGCAGAGTTAGTAAAAAAGATTAAAATTTGCATTTTATGGAAAAACAAAAGCAATAATAGTCCAGGTTGGATTCGAATAAAAATGTAATTTTATTGAAATATCTTTACTATCACAAATCGTAGAATAAAAATTAAAGTCAAAGTATCGGCACATTAGGTTGGCTATCGCATTAAATTACATTACATCATCGTCTGATAAGTTCCTGCTAAAGATGACCATCGTTTTGCACAAACGAAAATCATGCTCCACGTATGCAGGCCCGATATAATTGCAACGATTTAACGAAAAAATCCAGCGCAAACGTGCCATTTACGAGAAGCTAATCCCACGATTCCTAAGCTGTACGTCAGCGCATTCAAGTTTGACATTTTGCCACCGATAGAAAATTAATAATAACATGAATAAAAGATATGATATAATAAGAAAAAAACAAACCAACAAGGCTAAAAACTAATCAAAAACATGCAAAATCGCAAGTGCCGACGAGGTAGGCTATAAGTATAGATTTATTTACGTTTACTAATAGTAAGGCAGCTGTTTCCCGTAGAAAAAGTTGCTTAATAAGTCGGTAAGGTACAGGATAAAATTCACGAGTCACAATCGAAAGTAATGAGTTGTTATTTTGTACAAGATACTTTTGGACGCAGCTCGCAATTACATTACGGCAGCAAAAACGTCTCGACCGGTACGTGGAGCAGGAGCTGATTAACGATACCGATGAAGACCGTGGAGAGTTTCCTTTTCAGCTGAGGCTCCATGACTTTGAGCACTTCTTGGCCGTTTTCCCGCAGAAAGAGATTGGTCGCCTCGGCTGAGGAAAAGACAAAAGCCTAGTTGAGAGGAGAAAAAAAGGCAGTCGACTCGATGCCTGCATTATCGGCTGCAGCAGCTCGAGTGTACACAAGTAGTCGCGACCGTAAACGAGCGCGCACAGGTAATCGCGCGCGGTTCAGGTCTAAAACAAAAGTTGCCGTGATTTACCGCTAGAGTCGATGGCGGCGATGCCATCTACGAGCTCGCGCGGATATTTTCAAGCTGCAGCGGACACCGATACGCATCGTAATTTGTATCTCGTCGCGCAAAGACGCCGAGTGAAAGTCCTGCGACGCGTTACCGATCGGAAAAGTTGCGAGCTTTTCTCTGCCACGCGGCGCGAATCGCATAAATCAGACAAATCACAGGAATCATCGATCGGCGCGCCGCACAAGACTCGTAATCGACGTGGAAAAAAATAGGCTTCGGTGCCTGTGATTACGCGCCAACGTTTCCAATGTCGTTTCCATCATCGTAATGACGATCGCGTCCAGCTATCCGGCCAGAGTCCCATCAGTCACGCGACTCATTGAAAAGTACGACGTTATAGGCTGTATATAGGATGGACTTACTCAATATGCGATTATTGTTGAATATCTTGCTGACTCTCATGTGGACGTCCTTGACGCCGAGCTTGACGTCGAGCGTGTCGACTCGCAGATACGTCTTGTTGTTGTTCTCGCGCTGGTGGGTCGAGACCAGGCCCCGCACCAGTGCGCGGGCGTTACCGAAGCGGGCGTGGAAGGTTCCGTTGCCGCTCGCCGGCAGGATTATCAGGATGCCCGAGCTACGATAACAAAATAAGCATATAATAAGTAGGAAAACACTCTTTGATCGACGGCATTTTTTCGCTCGAGTACGAGAGGGTGAAAGAAGTCGCGTGCCGAGCGCGTGGGTTGCCCAAGCTGCAGAACGACCCTCGTTTCCTTTTGAGTCTCGTTTTAACGCACCTTCGTAGGTATTATACAAATGCTCGATGAATCGAGCCTACCCGTTAAATCGTCCCAAGTAGACTAAGTTATTTTTTATAGACAATGTATGTTATAGGCGTTTAAATAATGACACGTATTTTCCGCACGAGCAATCGCTCGACCAGAACGCGACAAAAAAACCTCGCGCGTACCGAGTCGTAATAAAAGTTATCGCAGCCGTTGGTGGTGAGGCTAAATACGCGTAGCGGGCTGCCTCGAGACGTACGTAATATACGCACGGGTCGCAAGAATAAGGGATAAGGGAAAAGAGAGAAGGAGGAGAAGAAGAGAGAGAGACGCACCTGGAGTACTGAGCATCAAGGATGAGCGCAGGCATCCTGATGATCGCTTCGAAGGGTGAGCCCAACTTGATGTCCTCGACCGTGTAGTTGCTCGCTCCCCTCACGTAGAGCTCGCGTAGACGCACTGTGTAACCGTTCGGCCCACCTGTCAGTGACAGCTTCAGCTCGTCCATCTGTTCGTATACACATTTACGCACACATTTACGCTCCATCTACTTTACGGCTACTCACACTAACGCGATATTTTCTACGAGATAACAGTCTCGAAATCGGCATTAGCTGGACTTTTCTTGAAATAATTTTAAAATCGTGTATGCAAATGATAATGTACCGCTTGAATGTTGTCCAGCATTATTTCGCCAATAAGTGCATACTTGCGTTGACAAATTGTCGATACTTTGCCGCGAATCCGAGTGTCAAGCGGCATGTGTGTAAGAAAAAGTAGCTTTTCGCTCACCGCCCCGTTCGAATTTGCTCGCACGCGAGCCTAGAATATTCGCCCGTAATTGACACTGTTTTTCGTCTCACCAAAAGCACCATCGGCTTTAACATTTTGATAACGTTTACTAGCTTTTTTAGTCTCATGCAATATAAATGACATCGAGTCTATTGGGATTGGACTTACGCGAAAAGGCTCGACGGCTGGCAAATCGATGTCCGGTATTCCATCCCTCAGGTAAGGCCTCAAATGATCCAGAGCGTCGAGCAGACATGGCTTGAGATTTGGGTCGCTTTTCGAGCACTGCTTTACGTATTCAGCTAGAAAAATGCCACAATTTAAGCTCTCGATGAAAAATCACACGAGTTTTCTGGAAACCGCTCAATCTTGATCGATACACGCAGTTGGAGTGCAATTCGACGGGGTAAAAGGCAGGCGTTTGTTCAAGTCAAGATTAGTCCGAATTTGAATAGAAACTCACGAGTTGGTCCTTCGCTAATGTCCTTGCCAGCCCAGACGCAGGCTGAAATAGCCAGCGAGAAGGCCAGGAGAATCCTCGAAGCTTGGCTCATCGAGTGCATCTTGATCGATCGGCGTGGAAAAAACTAATAACTCGAGTCGCGTCGCGAGCTCGATCGACTCTCTCGGCGCAGTGAGGCAACCCAGCGACGACGGAATAGAATAGACGTACGTATAGCTCGAGACCAGCCACGAGCGAGACGGTGAGAAATGAAAAGAGTCAACAACAACACAAAAAACGTGTCGTTAGTCACTTGTCTTCTCTATGAATTACTAGTTATGTACTACGGTGGGAGAAGAGAATAGAAGTTAATAACAAGTCTTGTAAGGCGCTTCGGACGCGGTTCTGTATATGCATTACGATATGTACTCGCGCTGCTCTATGTACCGCAACTGTGGCTCTAGGCGTGCGTCGTCGGATGGAGTCGGCTCGGATAGAGAGGCCATTGGCAGATGCAGTTTTTTCGTTGGTCAATGCACTTTCACTATCGGCTAAGCTCAGGAGGAGAGAACCTTCCGGAGAAATGCAATGCCGCGCGCGGCGTTATGTCGCCCGATCGCCGGAATAGGAGACGGTAGATAGCGCGTGACCGACCACCACCGGCAAGCAACTTGTGCAATTAAACCATTTCGCTGGAAAATCGCGTTTCTTCCCGCACAGGAAATCAATTGCGCGACAATGCGCATATTGCTCTATTACGACGATAGGATCGGCACGAGTCGGATATGGACTTTGAACTCGTCCCGATCCTAGTTCAGCTGATGCGACCCAAGAATAACGAAATTAGACCGTTAAATGCCATAAAAATCCACAAGACCGATCTAAATAATCTACCAACTTGACTATTGTTGTATAGAATTGTGACAATCAGTTAAACTTATCAATTACTGAAAACATTTTGGCGTAAAATAGAAATTACTTTCTTTTTTTGTGAAGAAAAAACCCATTTGTGACGAAGCGAATAATAATCGCTCGGAAGCACGACAAGGTATTAAATAATTCTACGTCAAAGTTTTCAAATGATACAAAGTTTTTCCTTCGATAAAATACGAAGAAACTACAAATTGCCATAGTATCGTAGCAAGGTCACATTTCCCAAAGAGTAAAAGTAATTTGTCGCTAGTGCACGTTCTCGAGACTTATAATCCCCTATGTAATTGCCATGCGCGTATAAAACCGTATAAAAATCCAATCTCGCGAATACATGCTGCTGCTGCTGCAGAAAAATTTGCACAGCGAATGAAACTTTCATCTCTTGAAAATTGTAAGCTGCAATTACGTAAGCTTATCGAGTGCGCGGCGGCAATTCGAGACACCTGCGTCTGAGCGAATCATCCCCGGCAAGTGTACCCTCGTACGTACTACTATCATTCCGTTGTTTGTATATTTTGCAGTAAGAGGAAAGTAAGAGTCATCGATGCCCAGTAGTGATGCAAAGATGTCGTAACCGCACGCGTATCTGAGCGCGCGTAAATTTTTCATTAAAAAGTTTGCAAAAAGGAAGAAAGAGAGAGAGAGAGAGAGAGAAAAAGAGAGAGAGACAGAACCTTCGAGTCGCCTCGAATGCAAAAGATATGTGAGCATATACAGTCGTCGACGTCTCGCGGATCGCTTCGTCGTTATTGAGAGTGAAAGTGAGCATGTATATGTGCGTATATTATACGTGTTTCTAGAGCTAGAAGGTAGTAAGTGTTATAACACCCGAACTCTGTGCCACTCGCTCGCGGCCAGTGCGTAAGGATTATTCGACCGCTGAACAAGTTTTTATTGCCTTCCTTTTTCTTTCTCTCTCTCTTTGTTTTTTTTTTTTTGATTCGACTGTGCGCCATAGATAAGTGTGCTCGATAAGCAGCAATGCAGTTACCGATATCGGCGGCTCTGCTCGCCCTCCTCGTCTCCGCTGTCGCAGCCAAACCTACCGATAAATCAGTTGGCCGAGATTTCGGTAAGTAGACGGAGTCAAGTGATCCCCTTTAAACGCGATTACTCATTAAAACGCCTCTTCTCTCTCGTTTGTTCGTTTAATTTATTGTTATTCTCGAGCCTCGCTACAGTTGTCGATCGTTTGCGAACGAGCTTGTGTTTTTTTTTCTTTCTTTTCGCGCGATAGTAAACAGAAAAAAATTAAAAGTAAAAAGTGAAATCTGTGTTATAATAAATGACTTGGATTAACTCGCAGGATTTAATTTACACAATCCTTAGACAAAGTTGCACGAACGCGCGTACGGGTTTGCCACTGAGTACACGTGATATATAGTGCAGCGGCGCAAGAAAGAGAAAAGAACTTAGTTAAAAGCATACATCACACGGCGGGCTTTTGTAACGTCCAGCAGCGAAACGAGCAAATAGAATAAGCACACAGAGTCGAAACGCGTGTCGGAAAATGATTTGGTATGCAAGTAGCTCGTCGAATACATCCGAAATTTGCATTTTTAATAAAAAAAAAGCCAAGAAGAAGAAAAATGGCCACTTGTCGCATTGGCCAATTAAGCAGGCTTTTTTGCGTCACAACGGCAGTTTGACAATATCTCGTTGAAGTGTGACTGCGCGGCCTCTTGTGCGTTCATATATATACCCGTACCTACTAACGCAATCGGCAAATGGGCCTTTTGATTTCGAGGACTTTTTCGCGTGCGTGCGTATAAAGCCGACTCGAGAGCGAATGTCCATGTGTCCTTCGTATCACATAGACCTGCGGTAAAAGTATAAAACGGCCAACTGCACAGAAGCGAGATGGGGCCAGGTTTACGATATTTTTCTCCGATCCGAATGAACGGCAGGGAGAGCCGAGCGCGTAAGTAAGTACGCGGCGATTGCGCAACGTTTCTTTTTTCGCCTGCTGCTGCTGTTGCTGCTTGAGCCTCGATTTATACATTGTGCGCGCGTGATATTTTGCCTGCGCCTCACGTGTATTCGCGCGAGCGCCATAACTCCGCATAAATACAAAACAGGTAGACGTTGTAGCATTTTGAAGCAGCATAGCCGAGCTATGGTCGTAGTCCAGTGACCCTCGGGCATTTCTAAACTGTCCCGATTTTTTGCTCCCTTTCTCTCTTTTCGCGTGTACATGAGCGCGTCGGGATTTCGTGCGGGTCGCGCGATCCAAGGCAAAGCCCGAAACGCATCTCGCGCAGCCGGCCACAATGCCGTTGAAGCGTGCAATGGGCACGAGGAAGAAAGTCCGCGTGTTATAAATGATACTTGTCCGAGGCGCGAGTTTGACTGGATACGCGGCCCGTACGCCAAAACCGGAAAGCAAAAATAAGCCTGCTACTAACTACGTGTATATAATGAAAATTACCGCCGCGCGCGCACATGTGCACATGCGCCCGTACTGTATACGAGATGGCGAACGATAGGAAAAGTCTCCCTCTCTCTCTCTCTCTCTCTCTCTCGTATATAACTGCGTACGCCAGTTGGGCCTATGCACGCCCGACTCTTACATATAGGCCTATGTGTGTGTGTGCGTGAGCGTAACGGTGTGCTTATTTCAGTCGGTCAACGGCTGCTTCGCGCGATTCCCCGCTCGATTCTGAACACTTTGTATATCCACAACATTTACTACGAGTACAATTGGACTGATTATAATATCACGCAAATATTAACTTACAAGAATCGATTCAGGATTTTTTCATACGATGACTTAATGAATCTCGATGGCCGATATTTCCGAATAAATTGCAAATACACTTTTGTTGTCAGTGTTGTGACGAATTAAACTTTTTAACCACGCAAAATGTGTTTTGATTCTCTGAACCCGAGGAGTTTATGATCTCTTCGTTAATTACTCATTCGGATTAATATTTTATAGGCGCCTGCAACTTAACATTTTTTACAGACACTTCCTTTGAATATACATGAAGAATGAATATTAATGAATGTAATTCTGCACAAATATGATCGTACACATCTTATTTTTCTGTATGATGAACTAAGACCCAATTTTAATTATGAGCAATACCATCGAAATTATATTTTAATTTAACAAAAACAAAAATATTTCGAACACCATCAAAATAAGGCTTACTAACAAGCAACTTGTGTTTTTTTTTTTTACCGCATTTCATAATTGCTTAAGTAAAGCTCAAATAAATCAATCTCTTCGGCTCGAGCTGTCGTGTTTTATAATCTGAAATCTGCATACAAATGACTAATCATTCAAAGTGCAATTCCGGGTCATACAGATCAAACGTCTATTAAAGTGAAGATAAAATCACTTTCCTCGTACATTCCCCTGTTTTGATGTACTTTTCGTGCCCTTAAAATTTACCATACAAATATACGTACCAAAGGCGCCTCTTCGATTGGCTGCGGCTTTTTCAGTCGAGTCGGCATACTCACTTCCCACTGTACCCACATGGTGGCATTTTTCAATTTTAAAACAAAAATACAAAATCGTTTTGATCATTGCCATTCTCTCAAATCGTAAAAAAATGTTTTTTGAGCAACTTTTGTAAGGGTTCTGTAAGATTTTCCACGGCAGCAATCGTTTACTAGTTTTTCTTAGCTAATGTATTAAAGAGTCAATAAGTTACCAGAATTGCAATTCTGGTAATGATTTCGTTGCGTGCGAGCAAGAAAAAAACGAGTCAAGTGAGCGTTAAAACGTTTGTCGCCGATATTTTGAAACTTGACCCGTTGGTAAATGCGACTCTAGGGGCGTTTATTACTCGTGCGGGCAATTACCAGAAATCTGCAATATTTCAAGAAAAACTCTGTAGCGATTGCGATCGTATATTTTCGACGCTATTTCGTTTTTAAATAAAAAGCAAAACTTGCGATACCAAAAAATATTTTTATTTTATTTTGTCTCTCAAATAAATCAGAAGGATAAATTTTTTGCTCGAGTTATTAAAATAAACATGCGGAAGTATGGAGTGTGCCTATGCACGCGTAAAAATCACTTATTCATTCGGTTGAATTATTTTAACGAAATTCAACCACAAAGATAATGCTGGATTTTTTTTAATGCAGAGGACCACTTCAAGGATTGTCAGCTAGGCGCGTCTGGCTTCGATGCCTGCATTCGCGAAGCTCTCAACTCGATTCGCCCGTACTTTAAAACTGGCCTGCCCAAGTACAATATCGAGCCCTTCGACCCGTTCTACGCCAAGGAGATCACTGCTAAACGAGGCTTGCCTTACCTGGGCTTCGCGATAACCTTGAAAAACGTCACCGAGAGCGGTTGGTCCAACAGCAAAGTCGTCAAGTTCGTCAGCGATTTGAAAAACCACAAGGTAACGTTGACGCGAGCCGATTGTTTGTCAGCCGACACGCTGTGGCTCTTAATGAAGCTGAATCGTTAATTGTTTGTTTTTTTATCTCACAGGTGGTTTATACTCAAAGCTTCCCGGAGAAGTATCTTTCCGGCGACTACGAGTTCAACGGTACCGTCCTCGGATCCAAGATGAATAACAAAGGAAAATTTACACTCGGCCTGTGTGCGTATACTATTTTCGATTTTCATCCTTTTGTCCGTTCATCCATGTGTCGTTTGACTTTTTTGGTCCAAATTCAAATTCGCCAGATAAATTTTCAACAAAATCATGAATATTCAGTGGTAGTTTCAAAGTTGGTAAACCGACGACATATCGTTTAAACTTAGTCATCGACTAGTTTTGTATAATTATATGCTAATGTTCAAGAGTTTTCGTCTTTGACCAGCGAAAAATCATTATTTATTATCACGTGCCGTTGCTGCGAAAATCCCGCTTCTCTACGAAGCTAAACAATATTTTTAAAAATCACTTTTTTCCAGTCGATCTAACTCAAACAACGACCATCAGCCACGAGCCTGGCGAGAAGATCAAAGTCAACGTTAACGTCCAATCGATCGGCAATCTCAAGCTCCATATTTCGAATCTGCTTCACGGCCGAGAGGTCCTGGAGGGAATCCTCGATCGCATAATCAACGGCGCTTGGCAGCCTGGCTTCACGGTGACTCGGCCGCTCATCAACGAGCTCGTCTCCACGGCCTTTACCGATATCTTCGGCAAAGCTTTTCAAAATTTCCCTTTCGAACGGGTCATACGCAAAAGCAAATCCAACAATTCGTTGTAGATTTTGGCCAACTTGACAAAGAAGAGAATGAAAATAATATAAATAGAGAGTCGTGAATGCGTGCGTCATTGAGAGTCTGAATCGATTTTTATGTTTTTCATCGCGATTCGATGGATCTGCGAATCTGACGTTTTTTTTACTGTTACTGCATGTGAGTCTGTGTGTTTTTATTGTAGTGAATAATGATATTTGTGCAATATAAAAAAAAATGATTTATTTTATCGCCATTTACACCTAAGATAACTGCCTTAATTTGAGATTTTTCTTTTGTATAATATAATTTTTCACTGTAAAGTAAAGTTAAGACGTTTTGTACAAATTAAATTGACTTATCTGATAAATCACAGATCCTTGTTAATTTCGCATTAGAGAAATGTTCATGCTTATGATGCTTGCCAAGAAAATATATAGCTTTCTTACATTACAGTAGAATCTTCACTAACTTATGTATTATTTCGGGTATTTGATCTGTCATTTTTATGTCAGTTGGTACAATCGTACTTTACAAGTACATGAAAATTACGAATATTTTCATAAAACATTTTAGCAAGAATAAGCTAATAACATCAGTCAATTCGTATTATATTCATGCTAGAAAAGTTTAGGGAATATGTTCTTTATTATGAAATTCTGGAAAAAGAAAAATGTATAAAATACGAGTGGGGGTAATAAATTTTAAATTCGTCTTTGGAAGGTTTTCACACGTGAAAATTACCACAATACTAATGATTTTTTACAGGAAACAAATATTGCCTTCGTTTTTATAGAAGTAAGACGCACTTAAGAGGTTTTACTGTATTTTAAAAATAACCGCGTAAGTCGGTCGAGTTCATTACTTTGTAATCGAGAACGTACATCTTTGGAATCAATCGGATTTCCTTCAATGACTTAATTGCCATGAGGTAAAACGATCCTAGTGCGATGATGAATTTATCTTTAATTACGCTAGTCAGATGTAAAAGCAGGTTTTAAATAATTACTGAGATCCATCAAAACAATTCAATAAACTTTTGAATATCTCGACCATCGTTTGAAAGATAAACCGTTGAGCTTGATCATTTTTTTTAAAACAACAAATTCATTCTTTTCTATTTTTCTCTTTCAAATATTCAGTCGAATATCAAGGCAATATGCATCAATATAGGGAATAAAATACATATTAAAAGCTACATCAAGCAGCATTTTACGATGAAATTACGAGTTAAAGTGCATAAATAACAGTAGGTGAGATAGTCTCATCGCATTGAATCCGCAATTCAAGAACAGTTTGATGAAAATTGAAACTCGCTCTCGCAATTCTTATCTCATCGGATCTTCTTCAATGCTGATCATTGCATACGATTAATCCAACGGTTTCAATTTTCATAGCTAATCAAAAGTAATTACAGCTTCGAATACGATGGTGTATTTGAAATAATCGTAGTCCTTGATTTTCACGACTCGAATTTTTTTCTCTCTCGTCGGTCAATGTTCTGGTCTTTGTGTGCGTGCCGCGCATCGAATGAGAAAACGAAAGTGAGAATCGCTTGGCTGTATCGCGCGATTAGAGAAAACGTCGAGTTGTACCGACTAATTAGCTGCGCGACAACGCGTGTGCAGAATAGAACTGCTAGGAAAAGAAAATTGCCGAACGCATCGTGGACGCATTATTTGCTTGCGCGCAAAAATCACACGCACACATATTGACTTTATGGCGCGTCGAGTGGCATAAAGTCGCATGGAAAAAAGGAAGACGCGCGCGAGCTTCTGAATTTGTGTACTTTGCATTTGCACAGAGACCTCGGGAGAAAAATCTGCTGGTGGCTGCGGCTGCTGCTCGCGATCGAGGCAATTGCAGCTGCCTTCGAGTGGGTGCTTGCGTGAATCAGTGTTTTGGCCTCTTGCTTGGGGGTCAAGGGTGCATATCCTATGACTGCGTAGTCCGTACCACTTTGTTATCTCGCTCTCAAAGAAAGTACTCGCTGCGACATGTACCTCGTGTACAGACATTGACAAAGCACATAAAGAGTTGCTCCTAAAGCAGCCCCACTCCGTCGAGTTGCTTCTCACCTCATCTCTCTCTCTCTCTCTCTCTGCGTCGCGGCTCTTTGCGAATGGGAAGGCTCTCGGCTTCCTCGCTTCATGTGGGGCAATGTCAAGGTGCTATAAGTCCCGAAGCATCTCTATGGAGCCGATCATTCGCGCCGCGTAGATCGTACGTTTTCAAGTCGACTTTCGACCAGCTCTACGTACTGAGCACAAACAGAAAAGACAAGAAACAACAACTATCATGAAGTCGATGTCGCTTTCCATCATTTTGGCCGTTTGTGCGGTAACGAGTTTCACCGAAGCCGGAAAGTACAAGGGACTCGAATTCCTCGAGCCATGTAGAAAAAATTCACCCGGATTAGAGGACTGTTTGAGAAGATCTGCCAATGCCTTGGCGACTAATTTCCAACGAGGTGAGCTCATTTTAGTTAATTAAATAAAAATTTGATATTCTCTGAACCAACTGTCATTCGGGTGAACTTTGTACTCGGAATTTCTTATTTTCGTAAATGGAAAAAAAAATTTTTTTAGAGAAAACTAGGGTTATCTAGGGTTATTTGAAATTTCGTTTACCAATTTTAAAATTTCCTATATGAAAATCAAAAATTTCATGTACGAAGTTCACCCGTAATAACCAGGCCCTACGTTCAAGTGCCCCTTTACGAGTATTATTAAGATAATAGGAATTATTTTACATCTATTTCACTGTTAAAATTTCATCTAAATGATAAACACTTTAGTGTTCACAATTACTATGGTATTTTTTATTACGTCGACTTTACATATTTAAATTTTACTGAAAATATTACCGTTAGAAATCGCATTGAAAATAAAAATCAATACTAATGAACATCATTACTCACTGACAAATGTTTATTAAAAAAAATAAAATAAAAAATAAGATTTTATAGTTACTGTGAATATTCTCTAACTAATAAGACTTCAGTTTGTAACATTATGCAGTGTAAATTACTGAAATATCTCAAGTTCATCTCATTCTTATACAATATATAGAATATAATGATTATAATTATTTTCCTCTTGGAGCTCTTTTAATTTTGATGATGCATCAGTCGTGATTGATCACATAATGATGTAATTAAAATTCTTGCTCTGCCAAGTGTTTCAGCATTTATTCACGTAAAAATTCAAACTATTTAATCACCTCTTCTGCTCAAAATAAAGTAACTACCACGGCTTACATCGAGTGTGTCAACGAACTATATCGAGATTAGCTGATCCAATTTTCGAATACCGGAAAACGTGTGCTGCCTGTATAAAACGTCTATCGCGTCAATCATCGTTTCAATACCGTTTCAAATTGATTCTTATTCGCGCGGCGTACGCAAAAAGTGGCATATATGTCGCCCGTATACGCGCCAAGAGATGAAGAATCACGCGAGGCGTAGAAGAAAAAAACGAGTTATAACGGTGTGACACTCGAATCGTTTTTTTCTTTTTTTCCATCCAACGTCCTACATCCAAAGCTGCGTCACAGCAACTCGTTGTAAAATGAAATGGATTTTTTCGCTTGCGCGTCAATATACAAGACATTTTTTTGGGGCCACTGTTTCAAGGCTGCACTTGGGGAATACACATACGTAAATATCTGACATGCTAGTTTCGAATGGCTTTTAATGCGATTTTCGCGGAATTTAGTAAATTTATTCGAGAAGCAGGAAATCATCATATTAATTAACTATGCATACAAACAAATTTTTAAAGTCTGCCTGAGAAAAATGTGCTTGAGAACTCATCGTAATTCTTTACTAAAGATGATAGCTATTCTCTGTTTTTTTTTAAAATCATAGGTATGATATTTGAAATCTATGTTAGAAGCAATGCAACAGAATACTTCGATAATTTGAAAAACTGAGGCTTTCTTTATTTGAAATTAAACCTGAATTAAACTGCACACGTCTCGTCATTCTAATGAAATGAAAAACAAATTTTAAAATTCGCACAATTGTGTAATGCAGGAATGCCAGAACTGGGCTACACCGAAGTCGAGCCCATCATCCTGGACGAGCTTTACATCCAACTGGGCGATGGCCCCAACGGTTACAAGGCAAATTTCAAGGACATCGAGGCACGAGGCGTTTCGGCCGTCCAGGTGACGGCTCTGCGCTCTCGTATCGACGACGAAGAGGTCCAAATACAAATGACCCTCGATATACCAACTATCCGCGCTATCGCCAAGTACCGATCGAGTGGACAGCTGCTGCTCGTTAAAGCCAGCGGCGGCGGTGACTACTGGGGACAATACGGTTTGTATTTTATGCATACGCATTAAAAATTTCAAATATTATATCGCGCCTCTTTCATTTAAAAACTGGTTTTTAAAATATTCAGCTTTGGCGATCTCAACATATATATTTGTAAATTAAATCCATATTCTTTTGAATTATAAACAATCGTAGCGTATTATCTCTTGTGGTAAGGCAGTTGCTGCATTCTGACGTTATCACTCCGGGTAAAGATGTAATCGATCGTTTTGCCCGTTGTTTTTTACAAACACTGAGCTGGCTTTATCCACTGAACTTTGAAACTACTAAATTCCATTCGAAATGCACGAGACATTTTCACTCATCGCGTGTCAGCAAATTTTATTAGAACAAGTTTAAAAAACTAAAACTCTAACTTTCAGGTGTAATTCAACATTTAATTTATCGATACTCGAGATCAGCTTCGTGATCCGTTGTACTTTTTCTTCGCTAATCAATATTCACGAAAATAAAATTTTACAGATGGAGTCAAGGCCAAAGTTTTTATCAGAGCCAAACCTTACGTTACTCAAGGACAGAAATTCTTGAGACTTCAACAGCTCAAACTCGATTTCACCGTGCGCAACATCAAAATGGGCGTGGAAAATGTTAAGGATAGCAATACTATTCTTCGTAAGTAGCGAGTTCTTTCTTGTAGCTCAATTTCAACAAACTATATCACATTTTTTTTATCGCAGAAGCGGCACTGAATCTCTTTATCAACACCAACAGTCAAGAGCTTTTGAAAGAAATGAAACCGGATCTTCGAAGGAAACTCGTCCAACAAATGTCGAGCTTCGTCGAAAAAATATTTGCTCAAGTGCCCTACGACGCTTTTATCGTGGATTAAGCTTCTTAGGCCATCGGTACTTGACGTACTTAATATATAATTATTCATAATTGTAAACGTATTGTGATATTTTATAAAAGTTGGAATCATCGCGCTGACAAATAAGATGTGCGGTTCGACGACTTTAAAATTATTTATATTTATCTGATAAATATCAGAGTTATAAATAAACTAGGTAACTCGTTTGAAAGTGCTCAAACTCAATAAAGGTCTGATAATTTTTTCAACGATTATCAAACCGTCGAATTGTAGGATTAATGTTTTATAGGTTTTATTGGTATTTAACCAGACTGCTTTTTAGTGCGTAAGAGAACTACTTGTTTTTAATAAAAAATAAAATAAAAGAGACTCAATGTTTTTATCACGTTATTCGCTCGCTGGCTGTATGCACTTTTATGCAGGATTCGACGTCACGTTTCTGCTGAATCAAGTTATAGCTATGACGCAGGAAGAGTCATGACCTGTGTTTCAAACATATACCTTCTACCAATCTTTTGGTGTTCTCTGTAATTCTATTTTCAAGAATGCACACGAATGAAATGCATTTAAATTTTTTTTCAACTTTATCGTAAGTGACGAGATCGTTTAAAAATCGCAAAATCATGTTAAATCAAATAATTTATTTTACATTTTCATGTAAAGGTCACTCAGATGCGTAATTTTTCGTTTTCATTTGCTTGTATACTCTATTGTTCCATGTCGCCAAATGCATCGTAAACACAGCGTTAAATTACGTTCGAGATTTTAATAGTTTATTTACATAAGTAAAATCACACGCGTTTCGGAGTACACATACAAAAAGACAATTACACATAAAAAAAAGAAGCACTTGAAAAGTTACTTTTGATTTCTACAAAAGAAAAACTACACAATATTCCCTATTGTATCAAAACTTATTTGCTGTTTTAACTACGATGAAATTGTAAACGTAAGATTTGTAATTAGAGATCGTTATTGTAAACACTGCATGCCGTAAAAAGACAGGGATTGGATCGTGCGTGCATCGAGATGGAATTTTCGAAGATCACAGCGCTCGTATTCAAGAAGCCTGTTATTGTTTTACAAATACATCGTGTTATTGTTTTCTTGCGCACTTGCGGATGCAAATTGCCTTGGTCTAGCGAGAGATACTTTTTTTTGCGAGCAATTAAAATTTCAGACAAAATCTGCTGGCTTTAGTGCGATCGCGTGCGTGCCACGAATTATGCAAAAATTCGCAATAAAAAAATGAATCATAGGAAAAGGCTATGTCCGAAAAATGCCTCGCGCACAAGTTCAAGAATAGTTTCGGGAAAATGCCATTGGCAGAGTCATGCATGAAATGCCTAACTTTAATTCGTACCGATGAAATACGCAAACGCGCGTAATACTTGGGTAAGGAGCAGCTGATCATTTAATTATGCAATGCTTAGTTACTTGAATGATTATATAAAAATGTCATGTAGGTCTTACAGATTTAAAGCAAGCGCAAAAAAAAACAGCTAAAGAATAATTTTACAGCGTTTAGCGATTATTTTTTTCAGCAGATGCGAAGAGAAATTGTCCTTGGCGAGCGTAAACACGTACTCCGCGAGTATTAATTGCTTCGATGCATTTAGCAATGCAAAGAGTCGTTTTCATAGCGCAATGGCATCGCGAATGGCATTAGCGGTTATTGGTCTTGAACTGCGCCTCCTCAACCTAACATTGTTTGTCATTCGCGAGTGATAGCGATCATTCGCTTTCCCACAGATCTTTTTCCGTTGAATTGACGCAACGTTTTTCCTCGGAAAAAATATCCTATCGCAACTTGAGCCATAAAAATAGTCCCAATGGGCTGTGAAGTTTGAGAAAAAAACATTTTTTTCTAACGAATAAAGGCACGTACGCGCCACCGATTTTAGAGGCACAATTACTTTTTTCGAGAGATTACGCATTGTTTTCCGATGCCAAGTTGTGTTCTCCAGGATGTATGATTAAATTGGACGCGCTTATTTCAGCCAGAGTACATAATTCAAGACCATTTTATCGTACAGCTGATGGCTAAAACTCGTTTCAAAAACAAAACAGTCAAAAGCGCAGCAGCACAATCATTGTCAAACGAGAAATTAAATATTTTGTAATTGAATCGTGCAAAATTGAATTATCACGCCAGTGATGGCTTTAATCATTACGAATTAGAAGCACAAGATTCGATGCTATTTTTATAATGTATATTTCATTTTGTGTTTGGTGACTTTTATACTTTACTCGTATCCGCGCATTTGGCTCGTGCAGGAAACGTCGCGGCATTTTTATGACGTTGCATCCTTGGAGCAAATCAAAGGAAATATACATTGATACGGAAACGAGAGGAGTCTAATGTACACATAAAATCGCTAGGCACAAGCTCGTATGTTTCACAAAACGATCAAAATGAGGACATTTTTTCAGCAGATATTCGATCGAGGACTATTTACTTCATAACTTTTTTAATGGGACATGTATTATTTTATCTTGTCGATTAAATTATGTATTCCTTTTTTTGGTTCATAAAACGAGCTGGCTAGCAAAAAAGTTTAAAAAAACTTCATAGAAAGCGTAAAAAAGCACCCGTATCGGCGTTGAAAAACGTGTTGAACTGGACTGGCGCACTTTTTAAATCCGAAGACCTCCGTTGGAAGAAGTATGTATAGATATACCAGAAGTGTCGAGAGTGCATAATGAAAAATCAATTTCGTTTCTAAGCTTGGTTGGAATCCAAATTTTATTTAGTGGAAGAAAAAAATCATTTGATGTCTGAGTCATGAGCTGTAAAGGTGCTAATTTCGGCACAACAAGCGGTGTAACGATTCGCGGAAGTTCTCGCGCTATCTTTAAACACAACTCGAATTCACCTATTTTTTTGTTCACCTTTCCGCGGCGATGTATCTTGTATTTTTCCTCAATACATTTATGCGTGCAGCAGGTAAAAGAGGAAAAATGTCCGCGTGCAAGGGTGTTTTAAAGGTGAAGGTTATCAAATGTGTATAAAAGTGGCAAAAGAGAGTAAATACGAGATTGCCCGGCAAAAAAAGAAGAGAGGTAGGTAGTCGTGACACTTGTGAAGGTGAGCGAAGGCCAAAGTCAGCCGAGTTTTTCTCTCCTCGCGTCGCGGAGACCAAAAAGTCAATGACTTTCCCTTGCGAGGAATCTGAATGAATTAAATTAAAATAAAAGGGATTAAAATAAAAACAATGAAGTACATCGTGCATTACGAAGAAAAAAAACGAATCGAGTAGGGGGTGTACTATGATACGTAAAAAGTACTCACGTGTGCGCCACGTAAATCTCGTACACGTTTTTCGATGCGCTCGAGAGAGCTGGACAATCCGCGATCGCTGTGGTGGGGCGGGTGTAGAAGGAGACGACGACAGTCATGCAAAAAAAAAAAAAAAAGAACAACATCGAGCTTGCATCTTTCCGATGCAAATGTTTGTGTATACACACACATTTATGCTCGTGTCGTCTCACACAATGGTTTCACTAAGGCAGAATCTGGAGAGGGGCAGCCTATAAGGTCCTCGACATCGACAAGATTCTATTCACTTGCTTCGAGACCATCTCGACCGAAACAATTGTCCTGCCTCTCATTACTTTTCACTTTCGAGTGTTCAATACTTTTCTTGTTTCTTCGAGACGTTTTTCATTTCATTGTACAAGTGATTGCAGCTAAGTTCCATCAGTACTATGGCTCACGGAAGAATTCTACTATTGGTTGTTTGCTCAACCATTGCTTGCAGCTTCGCCACTGATGTTCGTAAGTAATTACAATTTCTTCTTTCATCGTCATAATTTTTTCTTCTAGAACAAATTTATTGCACAGTGACTTGAAAAATTATTTGATTTGCAATTTGAACAATTTTTTTACGCTTTCTTCCATTCTTTCATTTATTATTAAATTTAAAGTATTTCCCTGCAAAAAACAAACAAAATTTTAATAAACCTCGGCACGTTTCAAAGTTTCAAGTATTTCAATCTCGTACTATAGAAAATTCAAATAATGCGATTGGCATTAAGGTAGCGGTAGCCAATCAACGAGAAATCGATGTTTGTTATGCACGATGATTCATGGTTTCAAATTGAAAAGAATAAAAAAATAACCTTTTTCCGGTCGACTACTTACACTAGTTCAACTCCAAGTATATCATTAATACATTGTCAATTTAAAGTTGGGTTCCTAGACGACTTGACAAAAAATCCTCAATAATTTTTGAAGAACCAATTTTCAAGGTGCGATTAGGTTTATTCTCACGTTCGAAATATTTTTCGTAAAAAAAGTTCTTTTGCTTTCGCTTATAAACCGCGATGACGTCGTTGCGGGATAAAAAATGCAGCCCACTATTTTGCATATAAAAAATAACTCATTGAAATTCCATTTTGGTAAGAGGTATTGGGATTTTTAAATTATCACGAATTTGAATGGTCACGTAGGTTATATCTGAGTCACTCTTTTCATTATATGCATCTAATTTGGCCAGAAATAAATTTAAAAAAAAGCCGAAAAAAAAACAAATTGCGAAATCTATAACTTGTTATTTTTTGTTTCTTCGATCATGCCCATATGCAGCTAGTTTTATCCACGTTTGCAAGCGAAATGATCCTCAAATCGAGGAATGCATCAAGAAGAGCGTCGAGGAGATCCGACCGAAGCTCGTGGCGGGAGTACCCGAATTCAACATACCGTCCCTGGAGCCTCTGCTATTGAAGGAGTTGGTGGCAGCCGAGGGCGCAGGTGGCCTTAAGGTCACCTGCCACAACATCAAAGCCTACGGAGCCAGTGACTTTGTCATTCAGAAACTCAGGTGATTAATTCTCGACGAGTGCGCGCACGAGCGCTAAAAATAATTCTTAATTAGTCTATTGTGCAAGCTTCCGTATAAATGCGATAATCGTGCGCGAGGAAAATTTTTTTTTCTTCAAATCATCCGCTCTCAAAAATTTTGCGAAAAAAAAGAGAGAAAAACAACAGAGCGAGAGCCGACTGGCGTGATCGTTAAAAGTACAAGGAATGCCAATCCGTGTATAACGAATGCAAAATGCTCGGAGTCGCCAGCATAATGTAAGCCTTCGAGCGTCAGTACACGTGAATCTCATATTGTGTGTCTCTATGTAATATCAGACCTGATCTCACTCAAAATCAGTGATAGGACTCACGTGGCGAGTCCAATTATTGCCGCGGCTCGGAGCCATTTATTACGCAATTTCGCGTTGTTGCTTTATATACTTTCAATTGTGATGACCAATGCCGAAATTTTTCTTGGACAACGTTGAAATTAAAAAATCATCACTCGACACGAACCGTAAGAAACGCGATTGTTTCCGAAGGATAAAATTAATTGAAGTATTTCACTCGAAAAAGAAAAAAGGAGCTGCGTCGGACTTCACGCTGCTCGTGAAATTATTTATAAAAAAGTAAACTTTACATCCTGCATGCGGTTTAACATATTTTTACGAAAATCGTACATGGTTAAACCGATTGTTTAGCTTTTTTTTCTCTATCCGACAGCGGCCGTCTTTTTACGACTCGAAGCTGTCTCGTAAAATCTCTGGCTGTGTGCAGCGCACGTTACACACGCGAGCCTGTATCTATTTTAATGTTAATAAAGATAATTTTAAGTTTAAACGAGCAGAAAAGTAGCCATAATATAATTGTACGAGAGCAATTTCAAATTAAACAATACGAATTCGCACAGGCGTACGGGTCAGTCAGACAAATCGCGAATGAATATAAAAGCTTAGTAACGTCATTATTGAGCTATTTTGCATTCGCTATATGTGTACGATTCGAAATGACCGTGACACATCTTGACTTCGTGACCGGATTTAATATCGGGTATAGAAAAAAAACGCACGAGCGATCGGCATCATCGTAATATCAATCCCTTAGCATCATCCGATTTATTTTTTTCTTTGATAAATAATTGCACGTTGAGGCGTGCTTTTTCAATTATTTGCCGGGTACGCAACGAGGTCAGGGGGTTAAGGGTATTCTAATCAGGCGAATACGATTTGCTTTCTGTTTCATACAACGCAGGGTCGATATAAGCACCCTGCGTTTCGCCATGGACATACTGCTGCCTCACCTGTACATCGAGGGAACGTACGAGGTCGACGGCAGAGTACTCTTGCTGCCGATCAAAGGCAACGGACCTCTTACCGGTAACTTCACCGACGCCTTGGGCTCGGTCAAAGTTCAGGGCGATCTGTTCAAGGCCAACGACGGCACCGATCATTTGCACCTCAGCGAGTTTCGCATGCGCATCGCCATTCGCCAGGGAAGCCTCAAGCTGGAAAATCTCTTCGGTGGTGACGCGACCCTCGGAACTGTGGTAAACAACGCCATCAACAACAACTTCGACGCCTTCATTAAGGAGCTCAATCCGCTCATCGAGAAGGCCCTGTCCACTGCCTTCATGGAAATCGGCAACAGCATAGTCAAACCCTACACTTACAGTCAGCTCTTCCCCGAATCGTAAAAACGCAGCAATTAGCCAAATTCTTTTGGCTCTCGAAGGATCATCGTATCATCACTTACGATTTCTCTCTGTATCTCCCTTTTTCCCCTCGGAATACCATCGTAAAGTAATTTCGTAGATGTCTTTTGTTTTTTCTTGTTTTCATTTTTTTTTACGCACGCACTTCGAGCGAGCCCGGCACCGCTGCTTGGAACTACTGAAATATACGTAACGTAACATTTTTTTTTGAATGAATCATGTATGCAAGGTATATAATTTTTTAATTGTGTGAAGTTATACTTTTTTCATGATTACGGGCTGAAGCATCCAATTTTTTTGCGAGCTGCATTATGGTACACGACCTTCGCACGACACCGCATACACACAGCCTCGATGTCGTTCTTCTTCATCTTTTTTCTTTTCTTTCGCTTCATCGAGCCTTCTTCTTTCCAGCTGACCTCCACTTGTAATATTTCCCAGACAGACGGTATTTTTTCTCAATTATTCCAACTCCGTGATAATCAAGGGAGCACCACTTTTTCCTTTTATTATTTTACGTAGCTGCGCCGTGGCGTCACTCACAAACATGTACCCAGACAAATAACACATGGCTCTGTTTGCATTGCTACGGGAAAGTTTTTTCATATTTTTTTTTTAATTTTCATACTTTAAAGTACACGACGCGCCCGTGATTAACGAACGATAATGAGTCGCAAGGAAGAAATTCTTCGTCGCTGGTATTCTTATGCGCGATTACACACGTGTGTAATACTCAAGAAAAGTGGATTCGGTGATTTGTACTTTTGCATACTTTTAAGAGAAAGAAATTTTCACAAGATTGCGTGAGATCGATTTATCTCTGCGCCCTTCCAAATGATCATAGTTTTTACGTTTTACAATCTATAGGGATAAGATTCGTATTTTGTTGATTTCCACTTTTATCATTTTTTCGGTATTACATCGATTGTGTAATAATAATAATAATAATGATAATAATATCAAATAATTATTTATTTAGAACATTTCGAAGGCAATAGTTTACTATTGCAAAGTATTAACTGTCATATTTTTACAATAATTATGTATTATTTTGTTTGGCTTTTATTTATGTAAAATATGTATAAGTGACAAATTTCTTGTATTATGTAGATTGTGTTATAGAATTATCCAAATAGATGTTTATAATAAATTGTTTTCTATTATTGTCTCATTCACATCAAGTTTGTTTCATAATATTTTGTAAATACCACAAGTAAAAATTAAACGCATCAGTTATAACGATTGAAATTGAGTGTCGAATGCAGAGACTACGATATAAAGATAACACGAATCCTCTGGCTTCTTTGAAAATGTTTTCGTTTGATTATTGCAGCCTTTAGTTTCGATTTTTTTCCACGTACCTTGCGTTGGAGTATTTGAAGCGAAATGGCTATAATTTCGTGTACCAATTTCCCCTGAATAGCCAAACCCTACTTGAAAACAAACAGCCAGCATTTTATAATTTTTTTAGAGTTTGGTGAGGAAAATTTGTTAATAATTTTAGACTTTAAACCCTTCCTTTTCTATTTACATTCTAATCATTATCGGGTACCTAATTCTGTCCATGTACCCGTATGAGTCGGGAGCTCCATTCAAAATGATAATTAAAGCTTGAATCAGCTTGTATGAAACAGCAAAGAATAATGTATCGAAAAAACCCTAGGGTAATTCATCAGATCCCATAATAATAATATTTAGTGAGCCTCAACTTGAGCTAGTGTCAACAGAAAAAATTTTTTTACTTATAGTTGCTATGGGAAGAATACATTCTAGGCATTATTTCGGAGTCTATGAAAAATTATGAAATTCCTGTCTTTAATTGTTAACGGAATTCTGATTCAGATTTCCTGTTTAAAATATTTATTCAAAATCTATAGCTAGAGTGGTTTTTGCAAGCTTCCGTGTGAAAAGCGAATCGCAATATTTTAATGCTTTATATCTAAGAAATTCCTGCTTTAACAATTATCACTCACTTTTTTTTCTCCTTACTGTAATGTTATAATCGAATACATTAAAAAATTAGAATTTTAAAAATATATTTAGTTTCTAACACATGCAATTTCTTATTTCAAAAAGATACAACACGTAAAAAACGTAAAAAACGTAAAAAAGGTAAAAAAAGTGAATTATACAAAAGCCGCAACTCTGCATTATAGACAGTCGTAAGTAGTCAGGCTCGAGTCCAGACTGTCCCATGTAAACCACAAAATCGTCTTAATAGTATACTGTTTTATCCTAGATCGATAAAATAGATTTTAAAAAATTTATTTGTTTATAAACGTATATCAATTGTCGATTATTAACTTAACTTGTAATTAAATTGTAAATCACATATAGTTGAGTTCATCTGTGTTTTTTGTAAGAAGATAGGACTCGGAAAATGATCGATAAAAATCATTGATAAAGAATCACGAGGTTTGCGATCCTGTTGTAAATTATGTGAAATCAAATCTTTGATAGTATGCTATTGAATAAAAAAAGTTTTCATTAAATTCCAAATGTGTATCCGGGCTGCACGCGCATTCGGTAAACGTCGCGTCATTGTCATTCAACTCAGGTTCCGTACGACAAAAATGTTATGACTAAAGTGGCGATAATTTTTCGTGCGTTAGAAGAAGGATGATGCAAGAAATTCAGCCTATCTAAAACGACGAATACAATTTGTTATATGTTTGCAGTGGGTGCTTAGCGCTCGTCTATTTTGACTCGTCTTGTGCACATATTTGGAGAGGTTTTTATCTTTTGGCGAGCTCGTTGGTTGTCACACCGGTAATGGGAAAATTTTGTTGAGGGAAAAAAAGAAAAAAGAAAAATACGATGTGTGGTTTGTCAAGTCAGAGATTACACAAACTCTGACCACACGTTTATTCTGAAACATTTACATATACAAACACTCACGAGCTCGATCGCCACACACAACATCACGCGAAAGCAAAATAAATTTTTTTACTCGATTCGTTCACACACGTGTACCCACAAACATAAAATTTTACATTTTTCATTCACAAAGTAGTTTCGTTTGTACAATTGACTAAACCGCTATTAAAATCTATACAAAAATAATTCAATGTAACCGTAAAACGAAGAAAGAAAAACTCATAAATGCTGATTGTTACGAGCGCGCTGACTTATTCGCGATCGGGGAAAAGCTCGTCGAAAGTGAAGTGTTTGCAAATGCGGTTGGCCACGTCGAGGACCTTCTCCGAGATTGCTTTCTCTAGGCTCGGCGTCATGCTCTCGATTATCTCTGGTCGACTGTTCTCGAGGACGGCATTGATGGCCAGCGAGATCGGATTCGTAATGCCCGGCTGGAAGTTGGCCGTGTAATCCTTGATTACGACTTTCGTCGTCATCGTGGGGAAGTAAAGAAGTTTACGGCCACGGCGCTCGACCGTTTGGAATTTCAATTGAGCTTTGGCGTGCACATTGTCTGCGAGAAGAGAAAAATTGATCATTGCAATGGCTGTCGAAGTATTATTTAGAAACTCGTCGATGATTATGAAATAGTACCGGTCACGGTGTCAATGGGTCCTTTTTCGTGAATAGGAACGAGAATCTTGGCCTTCACATCGTAATCCGAGTTCATGTAAACTTTCGGGAAGACCAGCTCGATGTCAATCCTCTGCTTTTTCAAGTCGACTTTCAGATAGCGAATTTCGAAGGTCGACAGACCCCTGAGTTTGACATTGGTGGCCACAGCCCGGAAGTCATCGAGATTAGCCAGGGCGATCTCTTCGACGTCGAGCGGCTCCAGCGATGGCACATCGAGTTCCGGGATACCCTCCTGAAGCTTTGGCATCATTTGGGCCACGCTCTCGAGTACGCATTTATCGAGATTGGGATTGCGTCGACCGCATATGTGTATGTAAGGAGCTGCAAAATCATGTAATTCATGAATATACTTGGATTCGCTCCAGGCTGATAAAAAACAACAAGTAGGTTAACTATATTTAAGGCTAAGCAGCCGTCATCGCAAACGAACACTCATATCTACTTTTTTGAATTTCAATACCAACTCCAAGCAATGTGCTTTATAGATCCGTGATTGATTACGAGCTCAACGAAAGACATTGATTTTATTATTAGTTTATCAAGGCTGATCGATGACTTCCTCACGGCTGCTACTTTTTTCGCAAATCAAGAAAAAACATTGCTTGCCTTCTTATCCCAGAAATTTGCATTCGACCGGTGCAACCAGAGTGACATAATATTTCAATAAACTTGATATATAGCCTATACATCAAGTACAACCTCGAGACTGGCTCGAATAGTCGTTTCGTGAGTTTTTCTCTCCTTGCTCGGATTATTCAACGCGCAAATATATTGTATTAGCGCAAAATTCACTCGTAGATGTGTGAATGACGTTTAACAAACCTTAAGCAAAATCCAGGCCAGTTTAGAATTTTAAGCGCGGTAGGTCGAACTATTCTCGAAAATCATTAAACGAACAAGTTGCCTTTTACCGCCAACAAGTATCGGACGGCTGGCATTAATAGTGTTTTATCCAGGTTCGGTTTGGTCTGTTAAATAATTTTAAACAATTTGATGGAAAAAATAGAGAAAAGTTTTTAATGGATCAATTGGCATTCGACTATATTCAAGTATCACAATAGACTATTTAGATGACATGATTGTTGAATAATCGGTTGTTCATAAAGTGTAATAAATGTGTTTCAAAAATCAAGCAATGAGATAAGAAAATAATTTCGATTACTCACGAACAACTGCCACAGAAAAGGCACAAAAAGCAGCCAAACAGCCAAGCACCAAAATTTCACGGGCCATATCGTCAAAAGAGAATCAAAATATTTGGAGCTAGATGAGAAAAGACTGCAGCTGAGAAACACACGAAGTAGCAGGCAACGGCGTTGGTATGGAGCTCGAATCGTTTGGTTCGTTCGAGTAAAGATCCCCTCAGCGAGCCCGAGAGATGCAATAATCTAAACCACACTGCCGACTGCAACAAGTGGTGAGCCCACATTTATACCTTCAAGTCGAAGACGGCTCTATGCACCACTACACAATAAGAGACGTGGAACGATGCGTCGACGACCAGCGGAGGTGGCCTTATAGATCGATTCTTTTGCGCTGCATATATATGTGTATATATGTTTTATTTACATACGCGACGTGCGTGTAAGTTCAAGGTCACTCATTGGAAGTGCTTGGACATCTCTCTCGCTCTCTCTCTGTCTCTCTCGTTTCCCTCCCACCACCACCACCACCATTTGGACAACTTGACTCCCACCATCGACGTTTATTTTATGTTTTTATTTTTCAATGCGCACACATCGCGTCAATGGACCTCGAGCCGATGCACGCACATACGATCTTTGCATTTTCAATGAACTGTCGATGCATGCCCCGATGAAGTAAGGTCTGGGCGCGTCGTGAGACACGTGATGCGACAAATCGGATATTTTTACCATTGGCTTGTGCTTCAATCGAGGCTTTCACTTTTCTTAAATGCTCATTTTCGCTTTTGAATAATTAATTATTATTTTGGTATTTTGTACCCATCGACGCGGAAACACGTTGCAAATGAATCGCTTCAACCAAAGTAAAAATAAATTTCCGGTTTTTTTAAATATCCTCGGGTGAGTTTGTGTTTTTATGCAAATTTAAAGAGGGTTTTGACTGAATATCGTTAACAATTTTTCATTATTTACAATCGCAGACAGTGGCTATTAGTTTTCCATAAATGCTGCAGTGCCACGAGCAAAATTCACGAGAGGCAAAAATTGAAATTACGGTCATACGTGATCATTCGGCAAAAATTTTGTGGTTTTCTTCTCTATGGCCTCTTGCTGTGAAGCAACTTGAGTAATCGCGATTTTAAACTACGCGCGCTCGTATAACGCAACGCTTAATCTCTCCTGGCAATAATATAGTAGAAAGGTACTCATTAAACAATCGTCCGTACTATTGCGCGATCGTAATCATGTCATTTATTGGCTAAAAATTCCTCTTTTTCGCTCTGCAAACTTAGATTGATCAAACTGATACTCGTTGAAATTATTTTCTTTTAACTTTACGTATTTGAGCATTTTTCGATGTCTCCGATACTTTTTCCACGAGAGTGCGAATTCGCTTTTCAATCAGTTGCATACATGATGGGAGAAAGTAATATGCTCAGTGGAGCGAATTATTACCAACCAAAGTAAATTAGTGACTGCATGTGCATGGCATCGTAGCGACAAATCAATAGCAAGTCGGTGTGTCATCTTCCTTAACTCTTGCTTTTTTGATCGAAATGCCAAGTTGAATCTTAGGATAGAGTTTGATTTTGGAAAATTCCCCGATTCTTTTAAGGCAAGTTTAAAAAAAATCATCACGTGTTTCGATCGTGCAGCATTCAGAAAACTGGTATTGCCATTATGATTTTGGAAAATTTTCAATTCACAGTCTGTTCACCTTTTGATTTTTATAAACAATACAACGTCATCGCAGAATGAGAGAAAAAATCAGACCTGTTCTTGACGTCATTGATCTGCAATGATCCTTTTGGGTGCATTCACGTTTTTTGAGTATTCCAGTTATTTATGCTGCTCTGTCACTTTTAGCACACGTGCTGCTGGTACATAATCCTGAAATTACGTGGGGTATATAAGCCGCAGAATAATGCATATTGATCGATGAAACTCTTTTTCATACTATTTCTTACAGCTGCACGAGTTCAACAAACTTTACACTCTTAGATCTAAAAAAACAGTAGTATTTTTACGAGTTTTTCTGTACTTTTCTAGTTTTCTGCTCTCAATAGTAAAAAATGTTGATGAATGATCAATTTCTGGCTTCTGAATGGCCTGTCCTATTTTTCGTATGCGACAAAACATCACCGCAAAATGTTCTAACGCAACCTTGCGGTTTTAAAATTATTTGCATTGCGCCTCGTCGCACAAAACAATCGTAGGCAATACCTGCACTAAGCTATTGATAATATTTTGGAATGTAAAATTTTATTTAAATTATATTGCACGCGAGTTTCTATAGATAGATAAGGACCCACACGTGTTTCAACATCTAATTTGCCTCATAATTTTTAAAATTAATCAATTATTTTCTTTTTTGCAATAGATTTTGAATGAAATTTCGACTAAAAAAATTTTTTTTGTATAAAAAATGGAAGGTGTGCGGCTATTCGGTAAAAAAATCGGCATGTGCATGTCTGTAACAGGTGCGTGCGTACACATATGTATATAATGCGCCTAAGCCAATCTCGTTGGCGATATAATATGAGGCAATAGTCTCAAGTGGCGCGTACGCTTGCGAGTGTGCGTGTAAGTTCTGTGTGTGCATGTGTTGTGTGTATACTTGACGTTCGGGCGCTATGGACCAATGGCTGGCAAGTGGCACGAGGCAATCAACTGGCAGTGCAGTACTACAGCCGAATGCAATAGGTTTATTCGCCGCCACGCGCTTGGCAGCCGGACCCCCGCAGCAGTAGCAACACCGGACACTTGCTGCATGTATGCGCAAGTTTATGGAATCCCACATGTGCACACACGCACACATGCCAACCCGTACGGTTTTCACCTTTAGATCGCTATAGGGCTGAGCTATTGCGACTCACTGGCGCAGTCCGTGCTGGTCTTTGTCGCCGAGTGTATTATTCATCCCGACGAGCAGCCAGCTAATCATGATCCCGTTCATTTATCGTCTCTGGTACGCATCCCTATTTTCTTTTTTAATTTTGTCTTCCTTCAAAATGTCCTTATAACTACTCCAAGTCGTTTAATTGGGCTTTAAATAATTATTATACCAACTGACGGAGTTCCTATTGATTTTTGCTGCATGCATGCATTGAGCAACAAGATTTTCAACTCTTTGATTCACCGCGAGTTTTAAGTGAACTTTTGTTTTTTATTTTTTAACCTGTGAACCCGTGGCAGTTTTAGTGCTTCAGTATGAGTTACGGGGGTGCTAAATTCGAGGTATTACATTAAAATTTTTCAAATCCGTTTTCAAAGTGATTTCTACCAAATATTTCTCTATCGAGCTTTATTGATGTTTAAAAAACGGACGTTCACATAGATTTGTAGAAAAATATTTCTCCAAAAACGCGTTTGACAAATTTGATATCTACCCTAACTCTTGCATTCCTATTTAAGATGATTTAATTACAAAATTTTACTAAAAAAGAAAAACAATCAATCGTTTTCAAATAAAGCACGCGCTCGCGAAACTAGTTTAAATGTGCCGGTAATTGCATTATGTAGCGGTTGGACGTACTTACATATTTATAAACGCGTACCGAGAGAGAATTATGCGCACAGATTCCAAACTCTCCAAAGTTAACATCGTAGAATATCGAGAGACATGCTTGAATTTTTGAGGAAATTTCTTTGGTAATCCAATATTCAAGAAAAGAAGTAAAAAAAGTATTCATGAATTTTTCGATCAATTTTCTTTGTTATCTTTGTAAAATTTCTATTAAAGGAAAAATTAAAATTTTAGCAAAAATTTGACGCCGCGTCCATAAACTAACAATCTAGTTAAGCTAACAAAAGGTTGATTTTCTGAAAATAAGTCATGGAAAATCGACAAATCAGAGTAAGCGTTAGTCGTAACCGTAGGCGCTCACACCGCTCACGGCGCTTATTAATAATAATGACTTTGGGGAAAAAGGAAAACGGCTAACGCCTCGTCCGTGTATAATTAATGTTGCAGTCTGGCAGCGGCTCTAGCGGGCTCGGCATTGAGCGCATTACGTGAGTACCACTTGGCAGCTGACGAGGCTCGGCCACATACACAGCGACAAGGGGACAAGGCGGCGGCGGCGCATCGAGGCGTCCACGCGCTGACGATGCTCGTCCCGAGGCAGGCCTGCGCCACGGCCCGCAGTGCCTCCTGGGCGCCCATGCCCTTCGTCCGCAGCGCCGCCGAGCATAACGACACGGCCTCCTCGCGACCTTTCGCCACTTTGCAAATCCTGCCCTACCTCGTCGATCACGTTTGGCAGACCCTAGCCATCGTCTATCTCTTGTTCTTTCACGTTCTGATACTGCTCGCGCTCGCCTTTGCCATCTACCTTTTCGCCGACGATCGCTCGCGATTCGCATTGTAATTTTCAGTCCATCGCTCGGGCCGACGCCGACTCTCATATGCTCTGTACGCTTTGCTCTTTCACGCGCTGTAAATAATGTACATACTAGTCCACATTGAGTTCGAAAGGGGAAAAATAAAAGCAATTTTATACAAAAGCTCATAGAAAACGTCATTTTTCCTCCGTGAACTGTCGATGGATAGGGAAAAATCATCATTTCCTCACTATATGTATAATGTCGTTTATTCAAGCAGCTCCGTACATCAAAGCCTGCAAGAGGAGCGATCCAAACATCAACGACTGCATCACCAATACGATCGAGGGCCTGAGGGAAAAATTGACCTACGGCATCCCCGAGCTCGGGGCACCTGCCATCGAGCCGCTCAATCTCGACCAGATTCGTCTGGTCCGTGGCCCCAACGGAGCTCGCCTTGACATCAATGTGACCGATCTTAAGGTGAATTCTTTTGGATACGCGCGCGATGAGAGCAAATGATAATCGAGATCTCGTCCAGAGCGGGTTATGTAAAAAAAAAAAATGTTGTGCAAAGCGGACCGCGTGCTATGCAATAACACAATAACAATTGCCCGCATTTTTGACATTTCATTGATGCTTGTAAACACGCGTTTCTTTCTTTTTCTTTTTAACAAGGATTTTTCTCAAGTATTGCGTACACCCAGTACGAGTGTGTGTTGCTCAAAATTTTAACATTAACTTGATGTTTACGACGCGCGCCGCAGCACGACACTTTTTTCACATCTTTTTTTCAATCTTACAAAATTATGTGAACGTTTCACAAGCGGGAATCTAACGGTCTCGAGAAAAAAAAAACGCAAATAATGCACTATCCAACACATGTTAATGGCCTCAAGTGTCTCAATAATGATTTACGAGCAAAATCATAAAATGCATGCTCACGCGGCTGGAAAATTGGCATTTACATCAGCTTTATATGATGCAGTATCATTGCGTTAATGAGTACTTTTCTCGATATGTTGGAAAAGCATGTTTATACGCAAGTAGAAAAAAAACCACTCTGTATATCGATACGAGCCTGCATGTAAATTCAAACAATTCATTTGCAAGACTTTTATAATGTATCGTTTAAACTGCCGCCAAGAAAATATTCATGTATGAGCATTAATACTTAATGATAATGAATAGTTGGCTAAACGCTTTGTCGTCGCAATCGTGTCGTCACAGTTTTGACGAATTTCCTTTATCGAGAAATCATCAACTATTTCGCTGCAGTTTGGGCAACCATATTATATATTGTTGTCAATAAGCTTATTTGCTTAAATTTTTACCTCCTTACGTACCAAACATTTTTGATTCCATGGGAACTAAAGCGGCGTATGCACGAGATATGTGCTAAATAAGATGTAAATCATTATTCGAACGTCAATTAATTTAAATTCTTACGAAATGAAACATTAATTTTTTGCTGAATGTCAACTGTTTCAGGCATTTGATTGAAGTAATTTGTACATCTTCCCTATTCTATTTACAGGTGTTTGGTCCATCCAAGTTTAGAGTTCGAAACTTGAAAGCAGACACCGACAACGTCAAATTCACTTTTAGGGTCAATTTTAACAAATTGTTCTTCAAAGGAAAGTACTCCATTAATGCCAGACTATTGCTTCTGAGACTTTCTGGGGCTGGCGACTTAACAGGAAACTTTAGTAAGTTAAAAATTAATCATTTACTTTTTCATGCAAACACTTAACGATTTTTTTGTTTATTTAATTTGCAGCCAATTACGAATCGGACGTAGAGCTGCGCGCCCAAAAAGTTTACCGAAACAATGACACCTACTTGAACTTTGACCCGATGAAACTGACCATAACAGTTGGTTCGGCAAAACTTCACCTCAGTAATTTGTTTGGTGGTGATCCAATTCTAGGTAATAATTAAATTACACCTTTACATTTTACATCCAATGTCAATGATTGGAATACAACTATATTCTTCATTTAACAATTGGCATTAATTTTTACAGGGCCGGCCAGCAACGACTTGCTCAACAATCACAATGGCTTATTTTTAGACGAAATACGACCAGTATTAGAAACTGCCTTATCTGATCTCTTGACGAATGTAGCGAATAAAATCACCGAGTCGTTCACTTACAATGAACTGTTTCCTTTGTGATAAACTCGCATCAGAGGAAACATAGACTTTACGGATTGAAATGTCATCGAACATCGCCTGTAATATAGTCTTTTTTACTGTTACATTTGTTAGTATAAGTTGCCATTGCTCTCGAAAGAGCTTCTCAAAAACATTTAAAAATAAACTCGTTTTTTACGTTTTCCACTTTAATTTTTGCAATCATTACCACTAGCGATACTACTGTCTCAAGTCTTGGAATATTTTCTTCTTATGTAATTGCTTTTGCATACGAATAAGAAGATTTTATGAAAAAAGCAGACGTTAAGAACGACGCTAAGACGGTCGAACAAGACGATTTTATAAAAAAAATTTAAAGGTAAACAATGGTCGTAAAAAAAATCTTGATAAAATTCAATCTTACGACTACTTAGAAGATACTGAAGTCAAGGATAAAATGAAAATTTTCAAACTCATTTTACGGTATTTCTCCCGAATAAGTTTATGTAAAATACTTAAATGTCTTGAATTTAGATACTCACGAAGCCACTTAAAAAAATTCTGAAGAATTTTTTAAAAAAATTTTTTGTCTATTTCATGTTCAGTTTGGCTCCAGTATCTTCTCAACAGAAATTATGCATAAAAGTCTATCAAACATTAAATCTCCTGAATGTGAATGATCAATAATTTTTTGGTACTCTTCAAAATATAATTTTCCTTGGCCAGTAGGTCATTTTCGTTTTAATGTGTAATTTACGACGCGTAAAAATTATAAACAAACAAGTAACAAAGGTTGATTAAAAGTAAAGTTTAACAATAAAATTCTTCAAGGTATAAGCTCGTCTTTGGTAAAAACGCTCAAAGCTCTGACGGTGAGAGCTCGGCTGATCGTCGCTGCGGTGTCCTCGATAATCGGACTCGCTATGTCCAGCACAAGTCTAGGATTGGAGTTGAAGAAAGTCGCGGCGGCGTCGGCTGTAAGAACAAAGAAGAAAATAATTCACGATTTTTATGTTTGGGGGCTAAAATTCTACACACATATCGACTGATCTTCCGAAAATTACCATGTTTCAGATTTTCAAATGGAAAATTACATTATAAAATTTGAAACGTCTTACTTTTCGTAAAACCAGTCGATATGTCGTCACTTGTGAAGAAAAATAGACTTTTTCAAAACCACTCGATTTCAAAACGACTTGGTTATTAAATTACTAGTAAACAAAGTTTTTTGGAACTTTCTCAGAAAATACGAAATATCTCAGACATTCAAGCGCAACTTAAAATATTGACTGTTTTCCAGCATTTTGAAAGTGGCTTATTTCAAGGGATTTCCGAAATGACCTTGTGTTCATTTCGATCAATTTAATGGATTTCTGTACTTCATACCTGTCAGCGTATGTGCCGGAGGTGCCTTCAACTTGATATTTCCATGGCCGACGCGAATTTTCGTTTGCAATTTATCGACTTCGATGCGCTTAACTCCGTTTTTGTCGATAACTTCTTTTCCTCGGGCGTTAACTCGAACGTTGGTATTGGCTGAGAGAAAAAAGAACGAGGTGTTTCAGTGAAAAAGGTAAGACTCTCTCATGAAGCTAGAGCAAAGTTCACTCACTGAAGTTGCCTTTGAAGGTACCAATACCAGCAAGCGGCAGCAAAAGTAGTCTACCCTGCACATCGTAATTGCCCCTGACGTGAACGGATGGCACCTGAATCTTTAGGGAAACCGTCAGCTCGTCTGGATTGGCTTTGATTTCGTCGATGATGTAATTCGAGCCACCGAACACTTGAATGTTGCTCATATTAGCTTTGATTTTCAGCGATTCAAGATTTCGGTCGATCGTGAGCGAGGGTAAGAGTAGTGGATCCAGAGCTGGTAGTTTCATGGCTGGAATTCCTTTTTTCAAGTAGGGCGTCAACACTTCCAATTGTTTCTTCACGCACTCGTTGTAATTTTCGTTGCGAGGACATACCTGCACTCCAGGTGCTGCGGAGAATGTTCAAAATTGTACATTACGTCGGGACTTGTTACCCTAAACGTTTTCAAACGTATGCTCTATTATCGTAACGCACCATCATTTTACTTACATAAACGTACAGCCGTTAACAAATATTTTTTTTTGTTACATTGAATGACTGAAATTTATACACAGACTTTCCCAAGCAAACACAATATGTATTTTTTTGATAGAAATAGAAATTGCAATACTTTTTTGTTATTTCTGTGCCGAAATCTAACGTCAAATGCAACGATGAAAAAAAAAATTGAAAGCAAAGATACTGTAGAAAGTGTAGTTTCGTCAGGCGTATATAACTTTTTCCACGATTATGTCGAGTTAACGGTTCACCGGTTGCATCGAGTATCGACTATTTAAATATTGCGATCCACTTGAATTTCTTGTCTGCCGAGGCAAGAAACGTTTAAATATGAATATTAAATTTCTCAAATGGGATTGAATAACATTCATGCATCGAAAGGTTTTTTGCCGCGAACCGGCAAGAACCGATTTGTAGTTGTGCGATATAACATGCACAATCGGCGAGTTCACGCACGTCGATAATTATTTTTTCTCTCATATTAATTATATTAATCGGGCACGCACTCCTGTTTTAATGCGATTCAATGAGTTCCACTGATAGTAGGATTAAAGTAGCTACCACAGGACTTGCGATTCAAAATGCAAAACACTGATATTCACAATGTCGTTGCAAGCTCTGTGGCAATGCTCGTCAATTTGACTTGTAAATTTTGATAACGACTTTGATAGTTGCCCTTATTTCGTAATGAAAAATTGCACTCAGAAAAATCTCGAGAAACCATAAGACATTAGTAAAAGCGCACTCACGCAATTTATCTGTGGCAGCAGCTTGCGCGAGGCTAAAAACAGCCACTATCCCCAAGTATCTCAGCATGATTGCTAAATAACCTCGGCGAACTGATCTGGTTGATGTTCTTCCGGTCGGTGCTTTGCTCGTTGTCCAGTAAGAGTGACTTTTCACGCGCCCCGTTTCACGACGACGATGCTTTAATACCGAAAGCAAAAGTGATTCTCTTTGCGATGGACTCGTGAAGCCGGGGTATATATAAACTAAAGTTGGGGACTTTCTCCCGATGCCAACGAACCCCACTCTCCACGCAATTCAACATCGCGAAATAATCACACTATAAGCGAAGAGTGAGCGAGAGACATGGCTTTTAACGCTGTCAGGGACGACTCCTCTCTCTCTCTCTCTTCGCGTGTAAGTACACACATAGACGAGCAAAATGTTATCGATGTGTTGTATTTTTTTTTTTTTTTTTTCATTACGACAAGTGCAGTCATTGTCCTCTTTATCCTTCCTCTCTCGCTCAGGCCGAGTCGGACGGGCTATTTTTTCCATAATCGCTCTTGCGGCGATGGCCTTCACTCATATGCGAGATAAGGGGTTAGAAGCGTGTGATTATTTTACGCTTTATTATTTATATAAAAGGAGAATCTTAATTGCGATGATTCGGACTTGTGTAATCAGTCGGTGCAGGCCGCATAATGGATTACGCCGTGCGTGCACCTGAGCGACGCGCCGATAGTTTTCTATTGTTTGTGTCGGCATATGCAGGGTGTTGTGTATGTGTGTGCGGCTTCTTTTGTTCGAACGCATATGTACGTTGTAGGCAAGGCTGCTCTATTTGCTCGTTATCCTTCCCATCGACGTATTATCCTACCTCCGCACGAAATGTTAATTGTGCGGGCAGAACCGTAGGAGGGAAGGCTGATATTTTGCACATGATTAGGGGGATTTAGTTGGGTAATGATCCACGTATTGCAAAATTTTCAGGTTTTTCTAAAGCAGATTATGCTCCTATCGGCACTTGAACCAGTTTGATGGTTTAATTATTATTAATATATTTCAGCGCGAGATACGTACAAATATCGTATTACGTAAGGGTACACCTATAGATGGCTTGGCGCATACTGCCAATAAGCGATCTATTCATGAAATATTTCAAAATTCATACGCATAGAGGATTATCAGATAATAGCGATTTACACAACGATTTATTAGCATAGTAGACTTAAAAATAATACATTTTTAAATTAGAGTCGAAACGGAGATTGGAACTTTTCTTTGTTCATGGTTCATACAGGGGGCAAATGAAAAATGGCAGTTGTAAGATGAAATGAAAAAAAAACATATCATACACGGCATTACATAAGACGGGCACATAATCAGACTATTTTACTCGTTATAAAACGATTCATTTTCAAGCTTGCTCGATCAGTGGCCCGTCTCTGTACATCTTGTAGATGGTCGTCTGGGCACTGCTCTGCTCGTTGAGAGTTTTACTGGCCAGATCGTCGGCGACCATTGCAGCGACTGCCTCCGCAGCCATCAGACCTGAACAGACAGTGGAAGAAAAAAAATCGTTACTCAAGCGTGAAAATCATCCTTCGAAGAAAAAAAAGAGGAGATATAATTATACTATAAGATAAACAAAGTTGTTTCATCGGCGCCTCGCGTATACAATTAATACGAGAATCGAGAGTGTGTCGATGCAATTACGAGACAATTTAATTACAATCGCAGTTGGCGCAGTGTGCCGATACTTGCGAAAAGTTCAATCGAGTGAGGGATTTTCCCGAAATTTAATCTTACATCAGAGGCAGCTTTCGCGAAATGAAAATTTCAGTTTGCAGGAGGTGGGCTTACCTTGTTTCAAAATAGGCTTGACGAGGCCCTTCTCGTCCATTCCTTCGAGTTCTATACTACTGCCGGTCGATTCGAGTCTTGCACGAGCGGCTCGAACTATCATAGTTTTGTCGTTGACTTTTTTCAATTCGACCGAGAAAACGGCTGTCACATCGACTAGGAAAATTCAATAAAAGACATTATTATTATATTCTCAGTAAGTCTCATGTGCGTGTGTGCATATTAAATGTGCGATGACGGAAGTGTGCATTACGCATTATGGCGATTATTTTTTCTTACATTTCGGTCATAACGATTTGTTAATATCGGTTATGTGGAACGTATTGACTCCTTTTTTTTTTAATTTTCTTTGCTTTCGCGTAATAGTAATTGATATTTTTCAATAATTACATTATATCGCACGTCGTATCATAGGCATGAATCGATTAATACATAATCGACTTCTTGCCTTTTTCAAGTTATGAAAATTTCCGCAAAAATATCACGTTTACGCCAACATGCAATTTGAACGAAGCCTAATGAAGCCCGATGGTGTTCAAGAATTTTAGCACGAGCATACGTTCGCGCACGCGCGAGATGCCGCGTAAGTAGGTTCGAACGCGACATAACGAGATGCTCCGATTTTGCGAATGACAGAAAAAAAGGAGAGCCGGACGAGTCGCAAAATTACATAACGAACGAGTGTATGTGCGTGTGCAATGATGCGTGAGTCAAAAAGCGCATAAGGAGGGGAATGCAAACTTTCTTACTAAAGTTTCCGACGAGTAGACCGCTGCCTCGCAGCACTTGTTTTCCGACTTTTCCCGTTAGCGCGTACATTGCATCGACGCTCACACGTGGTACTCGCACTTTCACGATCACGTGCATCAGATCCTCCTCCTCATCCTCCTCCTTCTCCTTCTTCTAAATTAATTAAATTTTTTTTTGTTGCACAGAGAATAAAATGTTTGAATGATTTTGAAACTCTCTTGATGATAACTTTAATTTTTTTTTTAATTTTGCAGTGAATTGTGAGAGACTTTGTACTCGGAAGCCGAGAGTTGCATTGGGAGTCGCGAGAGTTGCGCAATTCGCGTGCGTTTGTTGGTATAAAGCACAAGTTGTTGCCAAATATCGCATTGAGCAATTACATGCTTAATTATACAAAAATAAAAGAAATAAAAAATAAAGCGAAAAAGGTCTCGAATGATGGATCAAAAGCTTACGTGTAGGTGCTGGCGTTTTTTACGGATTAGAGTTTCGTCGTTGGCCAAGGTTGAGCTGTCGTTGCCAAAATGATAAATAAGTTCTATGCCTTCTTCGTAAAAACCGTCTTTTTCTTCGTAATTTCCGGCATATCTCTCTAACTCTTCTATTCTCTCAGCATAAGTTTCGTTATGATTCAATGGCTTGCCTTTGGTTAAATTTTGCTTCAGATATTCGGCGGCAGTGTCCTTTACAGAAAAAAAATATTCTCAGATTCAATAATTGAATGATTGTCAATTTGTTCATTTTTTCAGTTGGAGAATCGCACAAGGCACTGCACATGCCATTGAATAAAATGTGCTAAACTACCTTGAGGATTTCAATTTTGAACATTTTTGGATCATGATTCGTGGCGCTTTGGAGCTCTGCGGACTGAGTAGATAATTTACGCGATTTAGTTTTACTTGCGTATTCGATGTCGATGAAACCCGGTTGTTGCTCTATTCGAAAGGCTTGTGGATAGTACGGTGGATATACTGCATCGACATATTGCACAGGAGTTGGTTGGCTGTATCGATTGTGTAATCCAGGCGAGACTTTGGTACGTCTTGATTCTCTGCGGAGCATAAGATGTTGAAAGAAATCATCGTGAGAATCTCATTCATCGCGATTAAAAAGTTTTATTTTAATTACCCTGATTGATCATAGTTCTTTATCGGGTTTGAATTTGATCTGTCGTGTTGCGGAGGACGATAAGTGTAACCTTCAAAGGTTCCTCGTTGTGGGCCTTGATATTTAATTCCAGGATTAGTCGTTGGAGACTGAGGGCGGCCCTTTAACCCTGTATTTCCCGCTTCGAACTGGGGATTTCCATGTGAACCTTTTACACCGGCACTTATTAGTTCTTGATTATCATTATATCTGTGATTATCTGGAATTCTGGGGTTTACTACCGGAAACTGAACACCTCCAGTTTGACTTTTAATTCCTTGATTATGAGGTTTATTAATATTTGCTGGACTATTATGTCCCTTTACACTGGGTACATTTTCAGGGCGATGATTTTGGTGATTTCCAGGTTGCTGAGCGGTGGCTTCCTTGTTGTTATTTTTGATCCCAGAACTGTTGGGACGATGTGTCTTGACACCGGTAGCATCGGGAAATTGTCTCTGACTAGTTCTCACTGAAAATTGACTCGGTAGTTGGGGACTCGGATTTTCATAATAAAATCCACTTCCATAAACTTGTGTTGAAGACGGAAAATTTTGTTCTGGATTGTTTTCACGTTGATTGTTGTAATTACGAGTTTCAATTGTTCCTGGCGATTGTTTGGAGACACCGATACATGGCCGACCGTTATTTTTATATATTATCCGCACTGTTGACGGATTTCTTTGATTTGCCTGTTAATATCATAAATTGAAGTAAATACTGAAGAAAGTTCAAACAATTTATATAGTTGATATGGTACTTACGTTCGATGCGACTTTTCCTTTTCCATAATTAAATTCAAAAACTGCGTCATCATCAGATTCTTGTTGTTGTGGTTTTTCTTGACTTTTACTTCCATCTTTTTGCGAATTATATCTTCTTCTTTGCAATTCTTTCTCTGCAGCGTCCGCTACATCATCATCTTCTTCTCTCGTCTTCGTTTCAATAGGATCGAATTCCAAAAATTCTTCAGCACTCTCATCTTCGGAACTTTGAGATTTCCTTTCCTTAACTAAGGTATGAAACCTGTACCTTATAGCATCCAAATCTTTTTGCTCATTGTAACTTACATATCCAGCTTCTCCGTCGCTCAAATTTGACTTCAGTTTACCTTTAGCAATGTGAACACTTTCGATCGAAGACTGATTGAGACCAGTGATCCGCAAATTTCGCAAAAATACTCGATAGCTCGTATTTCCCTCCGTCTGATCGATCTTGACTACAGGTATAATTAATGGATCGAGTTTACCGATTCGATCGAAACCACCACTTAGTGCGCGAGACCACAACTGCCGCGACATGTCCAGTACGGAGGCATTGCTCACAGCGAAGCAGTATGTTATCAACATTATCACGAACTTCATCTTGACTTATAAACTTGCACATTTATTATGAAAATCAGATGTCACACTTAAATATTGGTATTTTTCCGATACTCGACTTGTTGCACTTCCCAAAAATGAGAGGATTCCCTAAATACAAATAACACTACTGAAATTATGAATAGTAAAATAAAAATAGTACAACTCACAGCGTAACACATTTAAAACAAAATTCTGCACTGTAAAGGATCGAAATTTTCAAAGCAAAGTAGTGATTTGTTCGATCGATAGTCCGAGTGTGTAGACATTTGATCGGTGCGTTGATGTTTTTATAGGAATGAATCTGGAAGGGTAAATTGTGAACTGGGCCACGGACCGACATGTGTAAAACAGTTGATGCTATAGTCGCCGCAGGACAGGTCTCTGCACGCATTATGGGTGAATCATAGTTTTTCTGCGGGCGATTTCCTCTTGATATAGGGGGCAAGGTCTCTAACAAGAATTATTTTTTCATAAACTGACCGACATGTGAATTGCCTCACCATAGAGTAAAAGTGAAAAACACATAAGTGAATTGATAGAGAAAACTAAAAACAATCTTATCAATAATTTTTGTGCAAAGGCTTAACGTTAAAATTGAAACAAACTTTAAAAGACACATTGTTTAAAGCATCAAATTAATCATGACGTCGACGGATGGTCTCGGTCTCGAGCATAAAGTGGGTCGATGACGGTGATCGGCGATTTTAATCGTTTTGCAAGCCATGGAATGCGAATGCGAATTTCAAGGCACCTGTGCGCGCGAGTCTACGCATGGCGTGTGTGTATATTATGAGACATGCTGCATGATGTGTAATTGTTCTTTTTTATCTAATATAGAATGTTTTTTTTGTCACGTGTGTACTTATTATGTCAATTTCTTGACCGTAAATCGGCTCCTGTTGTTCATAAAAAAAAATCGATACAGTGGAAAATAAACAAAGCGCCATAATCGATCGCATAATAACGCGAGTAAATATGCACACGCAGATGATGGTCGATACATTGCTTTGATTTCGAAATTTTAACCATAACACGAAAACTGTCGACGTTAAAAAATTTAAAGCGAGTAAATTTTCGATCCGGCAGTGACAGTATTGATCGAGCTCGCTGCCCGATCGATACACATAAATTCCTAAGCCCAAGATGATGCGCATCGGCTGTTCACTAGTCACGTTCGTCTTGGTCCTCTTCGGATCGTCCGACTCGAGCAACGCGTCAACGCCAGAAATACGTGAGTTAATTTTTCGAGTAGCAAAGCTCGATATTGAAAAAAATTGTTTTTCCTCGGCTTGCAGCTTCTTTCCTGAAAATATGCAAACGCAATGATCCACATTTAAACGAATGCATCAAGAGCAGCGTGGACATGCTCAAACCATACTTGAAAACTGGCATACCCGAACTACATATACCACCTTGTGAGCCTCTCAATGTGCCAGAGGTCGAACTCGCTCAAGCGTCCGGACCCGTATCTGTCAAATCTGCTTACAGTAATATTCGTGTATGGGGGCCGTCGGAATTTCTACTGAAAAGCGTCAAGTAAGTTCTACCATTTCAACCATTAAAAATTATTCATACAAATATGAAATTTATTGAGCACTAACTTTTTGTAAAATCAATTTTTGAGATAATATTTAAATTTTACAAATAGTGAATTTTCGTATATATATATGTGCTAATACACATAAACATAGATCGGAAAACTAATAATATGTTCTATGTAAATAATTAATTTCTTTAAAGCTAACTAAAGTTTTTTTACGATTTGTTCGCTGTTTCTTAGTAAAATAAAAATAAACATAAAAATTTTAAATTCTCAGACTTTTTACGTTTGAAAATGGCTGTAAAAAATCTGACACAAAAAATAATTCAATTGAAATATTTTGAAATGTAAAATCATTTTCAGGATTGATTTAGATAAGGACCGCATCAGACTCAAACTACACATTCCCCGATTAGAAATGAAGTGCGACTATAAAATGGAGGGTAAAATTTTACTATTGCCAATAAAAGGAAATGGAAAAGCCGTTGGAAATTACAGCGATATCGATGCCGTTGTGACGATACAAGGAGAGCGCTACAATAATCCAGTAACGGATTTGACACACTTCCAGGTAATAGAGTTCTACTGCGACTTCGACGTCGGCCACGCCGGTGTCCATCTGGAAAATCTCTTTAACGGCGACGAGACACTGGCCGACGCGATGAACCTTTTCCTCAACGATAATTGGAAAACCGTCGCTGCAGAGATCAAGCCCGCTCTCGAAGAGACCGTCTCCAAGCTCTTCAAGGACTTCTCTAACAAGATATATGCCAAGTATCCGATGGACACTCTACTGCCTCTGTAACATCCCATTGTCATTTCAGCAACTCTCTGAGACTCGGCAACTCTTTGATCGACTCTCAAACGTTTTTACTTTGTGTAATATTTTATACTGCATTTTGTACTTTGAATATGTTTTTATTAATTAAATCACTACACCGCGATAATAAAATAAAAAAAATTTACCTCAAACCGATTGCTAATTAATTTTTTTTCTACTACTATTCATCAGTATGGTCTCAAAGTGAACGATTTATGTAAGTCAACAACTTGTTCAAAGATCCCCTCTCAATCAGTCAGTTGCATGCATAAATAACCCTACAATATTTACAAACTTATATACAATCAAGTCAGAGAAGTTGCAGGATATACAGGCTTTGAAAAGACACCGAATACACTACTCTCCTGTAAAACTGTTCATCATACTTACAGGCGCAAGTATTGTAGTGAGCTGAGTTTCGAAATTTAAAATTTGCATTTTGTTACAAAGAGAAAAAAAGTTTCCCGAGATTTCCACTCAACATTTTTTTAAACATCTGCGTAAATTATAAAAAAACGACAAAATCAAGACGCCCACGTGGCTTTTTAAATAAAATGCAATGAAATTTCTAATTTATTCGAAATATATTCGAAAATAATCATTTAGGCTTGACTTCGGTTTCTATTATGCTACAGTTCGTAATCAAGGATTCATATACTTTGTTTCAAAATAAAATATTGCTGTAATGAGAATTATTATAACAACGTAAACATAACGTGAATTGACCTTGTATTACTTCAATGTGAAACTGTCGGTGATTTTAGGTAATAATTTGCCAAGTAAAACATTAGTATGCCTTTTTATATTTAACCATGCATGTGAATTAAGTGTTAAGCATGAATCGTTTCAAAAATTTAAGCTTGGTTAAGAGTTGTCAAAAAAAGTAGGTAGCAGAAAGTAGTTGTGAACGTTTCAAATCGTATGAGAAATCAATAAATATTGAACTATTTTTGTTGCAGTAGATGCCATGCTATAAAGAAAATTTTGTATACACGATTGAATCTGAAAGATGAACTTTTTGTAAGCCTTAAAAATTATTTACTTATTTTTCGATCGAAAATGCGCACGGAACAAGGCTGGACAAACGAGTTGGTTGAGCGAAAATTTCCGTTACTAATTCATACCTTGAAATGCCCATGAAAGATCATGGTAAAAAGCTTAATAACAGTCTTGATGTTTTATTTTTGAAGTATTCTTTAATAATTGACATTGTCAGGAAGTCGTAATAAATAAAAAATCGCATTTCTCTCGCAGTGTTCATCAGGTAACCTTTCACGGCAGCATCCTCATTGAACTATTATTTTGATCAGATTTATTTGCACCGAAGCAAGTAGCATGTAAATGGCAAACTAATTATATGACAACTACATGGAATTTAAATTAAAATGTTACCGTAAAAAAATGATGAAAAACTCGTTCTTCGATTCCTTATGCACTTATTGCAAGGCGATCGGGTCGCGTGCAGCTGAATCGTTTGAGCATCACGTTTCTCAATAAATTATCAAATTAGTATACATTGCCAAGGCGGAAAAATGTATTTTATAGACCGTCCCATTGAGTTGAAAAAGTCTTGCCTATTTTCGTCAGGAAATCAATGCAATTCGTCATGAATCGCTTTGCGTCATTCACCGAGTGTAATTTCGAATGTTTGCATAAAAATAATTAACGTCTTGATGAAATATTTCTTCGACGAGGAAAAGTCCTAAAATCGGACACAATCAAATTGTTAATAATGAATAGAATTCAGTCGCTATATAAGTTTACACAGTTAGACAATGGCTCGTAAGAAATTCACGATTTTTCGAATCTGCCACAGCATGAGGCGGGCCGAGGATTTGATAATGTAGCTGTGGCGATCTGCTATGCACACACGCCGGGGATACCTAGAATGTTAATTCTTTAAAACTAGTAGTTTTACAAACGACTCTGCGTTGTGCAACGCTTCACATGACACATTCTCTCTAGTGTCATATGATTTATGAAAAATAAAACTTTACAAATATACTTTGTCACATTTTCAAGTGGCTGAGCGCTGCCTATCGTGCCTCAATTGCGTGCGCGTATGTATATTTTCTAGGTGAATTCCATATTTAGCTGATACGCACGCGCGAGGTACACTATAGCGTCCTTTAGCCGCAAAGCAACCTGGCAAAAATAATGGCTATTGTCATGCTTGAAATATTTTTCAAGCCTCGCCTCAGTCACGCAGCTGTTGATTTACAATTGTAATGGCATAATTTGGGGTAACTACAAACCTCAAAATCTAGGATTCTCCTCGACCTAATATCTCACCATGCGCTACATTCAAAATGAAATTTTTTATTTACTTCTAAATAGAAAAGTTTCCACTCGGCATTGCAATCAATTATTAATGTTGATTTTGAACTTGAAAAGCAGTTTTTATCGATGCTTTTCAGTGAAATTAAAAATTTCCAGAACATAATAAAATGACTTTGGAAGCGTGGAGTATCATCATTTATCACTCGAAGAATGCAGTCCTTCCAAAAGTTCACCGCCTACCAATAAAGTATAGTCGCCCGAGTGCATTGTTTAAAAATATTCAAAGTGCATCAAAAAACAATGAAAAAAAGTAGCCGCGCGTCACCAATAGATATATTTTTAAGAATTCAGTGAAAAGCAGCATCGCTTGAATAAACATGCGTCAGAGTTAGCAGATTATTTTTTTTGTCTAAAAATTATGAAGCAGATATACGACAGAGAGAAAAATCAGCGCATCGTAGTTATACTTTTTTCTTTTGCCGCGACGGTGGCTGAACAATGTATGCAAAAAAGGTGGGAGCCAGGAAAAAGCCATCATACATCCACATTATTTTGAGACGTGGGAGAAGGGATCTCGAGAATATAAGCTCGATTGTCAAGTGCTTCGACTTTAGTTCATCAGGCATATCGACAAAGTATCCGTACGTTTTAAACTGGTGCATGTATGCGCGTGGTATATAGGTAGACATTTAAAGTTAAGAAATCGAGTTGTCATAATATAAAATAGTCCCCACCATCCTGCAAAATAAGCAACAGCAGCAGCAGCAGCAGCCCACAATTTTCCCATTACCTGCGAGCGCACATGTTTCGTGGTGGACTCACTCTCACTCTTGTGCACCTCGTCGTTCGTAAACGTCTATCAGTGCTGTGAGGGCACTCGGCTAGTGGCGTACTTTGGTTTCTGGTTTTTAAATTTATTTTCACTCTGTCGAAAAATCAAAGCTCTCGAACAACGATGGCTGGTCTACAGTGGACTTTGCTGATTGTCGCTTTGGTGAATCTAGTCAACGGACAAGTGGTCGTGCAGAGTCCTACTGCCAGTGGCCCAGGCAGCCTCGAGCCCGAATTTGAAACACGTGAGTTTTTTCTCTCTGTCTTACATCATTTTATTATAAGGATTCGAAAGGATTTCGATCTATGATTTGATTATTGGTCGGCTGAGATTTGTTTATGTTTTCGAGCGCGTAACAGGTGCCGCGTGAGTCATCGATGATCTTTGCCACTACTCTATACACTGTTGTCTCTAAGATTGTAAGCAACCTCGAAAGCGATGACACAAACTTTTTAATTTTTTCGCGGCGTTTCAGCAGCTGAAAATTGGCAGTTTGATATAAAAAAAAGTCGAGTCTGCGCCAAGTAGTTAATTCGTTTGGTTTTTTGCTCGCATATACATACGTTGGTGGAGCGTAAGCGGCGATGCAATTTAATCACTCGAATTTCTGGCTTAAGTCGAGAACGGAGATAGAAAAAATCTAAAATAGATTTAGCAATGCTTACGGGGCCGGTTTCCTAACGCTCCGTGTGTAAAGCGCCTACCTGTCGATGTTTACTTCGTTAAGCGATTTTGCGGTGAATTCAATAATCATCTATCACAAAGTTGCGAAAATTCATCGGGGGCCTTTCCTACACGTACATGTATACAATCGAGATAATTCCGCGACACGCCGATTTTCTTGCAGTAATGCACGCGAAACTCGAACCTCGAACTACTGCTACAACATGTAACTTATTCGTTCGAGTTTGCCCTGGCGCGAATCCGATCGAGCTCGCCGGAATGCAAAGCTACTCGAAAATAGTCAATTAAAACGGTTTCGCGAGTCAAATCGATGACTTAACACTGGCTGCAGTGAGAAAAAGAAGCAGCGCTGGCAGGGAAGTCGCGCGCGAATTGCAAATCAAAATTGCCACAACAATTCGTAGGATCTTACGAAGGAAGAAAGGAGACACAAGAGAGTCGGCGCAGCGCAACAGAGGCGCGTATTATAGATCATTGCGCTCGCTGGCGGCCCATCGCGTAATCCCGCGCATAGCTCGTGTCGATGTCTCCGCGCGCGCCTACCTGCCTGCCTGCCTGCCGCCTTTTCATTAGAAACACAATGCGGAGCGGCAATGCAACACTTTTATTCTCGTGTGCGTGGCTGTGCAAGCAACTTTCTCTGCAACCTGCCGAATCGTCTTCGTTTCTCAAGGACGTTAGAGCCGAGAGAAAGACAGAGAGAGACGATTGCGAAACGAGTGCAGTTTCTTGGGCGCAATTTGAATAGATCAATGGACAGAGGAACGAGTTATCGCATCTATTTGGCGCCTTTTACTTTTCAAAGCCATGCAGCAGCAGGCACGGAATATACGGAGATGGGTATCGCGAAGGAGCGCGCATATTTTCTAATTAAAATTACATAAAGGCTAATTCGAGGCGAGATTATAGGTCGGTGCCGGCGCACTAGGGTAGATTGGGCTCGGAGATTCAAATTCGTCATAGCGTGCATGCATATCAGGTACGTACGTGTAGGTACAACGTCGGCTGCAGCGCTGCAGTGGCGTAACTCGCGCAATAGCTCGGCTGTGTACGCCGGCTCCTGCGCTATGACATACGGCGAAGGTTATGTCAGAGTCCCGGATTGCATAACAGCCCCCTCGTGCTCTCCCGCGAACGAGCACGCCAGTGTAAATATACTTTCTCCGCGTGCCCACCTATTTGTATGCTCGTAAACTCTGGGCTCCGTGTAGCCAAGGATCGCTTGTATACCTATATATATGAGCTGCTGCTGCTGCTCGGCACAAGTGGCACAGCGCTCTACTTTGTCGTCGACGTCGTCTAAAAGCCCCATGCTCGGAATGATAAGCGATTTTTTTTTGCCTCGACCGCCCAATTACACGGCTTCGGCATTGACCCCTTTGACTCTTCGCGTCTTGTGCGCGTCTACTAATGCTGCGCGAAGCGATTTGATGAATTATCAAAATTTCCGCATCGAGACGACTACGATGATCCTTGCGAGTGAAGATGACGCGCTGCGACCGACAAAAAAAGGCGACTCTCGTCGGGCACGCACGAATTATTAATGTTCCTCTCTCGCGTGACACAAAGTGTGTATCTATATAAGAGCGCAAACTCGTTATAATGCAAGTCAGCCGTCGGTTTCTCTCTCTCTCTCTCTTTCGTTGTTATGTGTCAGTGGAACAATTTCGATCATCGATGCTTTCGATCCGCATCGGTGCAGTGTCATCGTTGATCATTTTAACGATTTTTCTCCAAAGAGTTTTATTGCGCGGGACCTTGAACGCGCCTGCCTGGCAGTAATAAGTGTTTATTTTCCGAGAGAATGAGACGAATGTGCGCACCTCGTCTCATGCCGAGGGAGAGATAGCTAATTGCACATTTTATTCATGTGCCTACTTGTAAGCTCTTACAAAATATGTTATATTTCATATCGCTCGAAAGCACACACACACGAGAACGAAAGGTGAGCCGCGGCGGTCTGCATTACAAAATTACGAATTAACAAAGGCGCGCGAGTACGTAAACGATGCTTCAGAACAAAACCTTACACATATATTTTATGCCAAGTTATTATGTCCAAACATGCCATAAAGTATTTTAAACACCCAGTAGTTGCACGGCTGTAAATACATTCTTGTAAAAAAAAGAGTGAAAAACATGAAAAAAAAACTCGACGCTGCCCATTTACATGTGCTAATATAAAGTTTAATATACTTTGGGTAACATTTTTCCGAGTGGCTCTTTGAGCAATGATTTTCATAATTCAAGCCTTCGTTCACGTACATAACACATATTCGTAATCTCGCTGACGAGTGTGCTTGAGTTTAGAAAAGATGCTGTGCCAACTATTTTCGCAATGACAATCACACTAGACCAAAAAATCGTATCAGAGTAATGAGCGCAAAAATGGTCGATCTAAAATTATCGTAACGATAACTGATGAGGATTTTTCATCGTAAACCCGATAATCAATCCGATGCATCAGTCGCGTTTTCTTTTTTTCTCGAGAAAAATAAATGAAATTCAAGAGAAAAACGGCTGACGAAACTCCGATGCTGCTGCACTCGCGCACACGTGTCTCGTGCACGTCTAGTAATAGATTCTCGAATTTTCAACTAATGATAATGGAAATGTTGAAAAGAAAATAGGGCTTACGAAACGACGCATGACTTGGAAATTTGCGGCTGCGCTCGAACAACAATTACATCGGCGTTGAACATGTGGCTGACGGTTTCTCGTCTCGAAAAATCAGCAAGAGGCACGAGAAAGAAAAGCCAGTAGGATAGCAAAAAGAAGAGAAAGAAAAAAGACATTTAAATGCGTGAAACGATTAGTGCATACCAAACGAATCTCATATGTAAACGTGCTCAATTTTCAAGTCAAGCAGAAAATGCTGGGGGAGAGGTAGGTCTGATCGAAGGCCGTTCAACCAATCACTACCCTTTTTTCCTTCAATGCCAAGATTATTAAGATCGGTGTGGTTAGCCACGAGAGATGCGCACATTTGACTCGGTGTGCAGACAGATTAAGATCGCGAAATTTTTCTCGGCTCGACGACAGCTCGGCTAGAGTGGCAAAAAACGCCTTGATCAATCAAACAGCACGATAGCCAACGCAATGCGCAGTATGCCCACGTACGATTGAGAAATTAATTGTAGTCTGTGCGATCCTTGGCCTTTGAGGTTTGCGAGGCGCGCGATGTACATCCTAAGTGCGTCAGTAATTATACGCGCGTCGCATCTTTGGACATTGACCAGAAAGAAGGTCGAGCGCGTAACGAGTACCTCGCCTGCAAATCGTTTTTATAGAGACTTTGTTTATCAAACATGTATCGATGTTTGATAATATGCCTGCGCGCACATAAATCAAATGGGCCAGCGAATGCGAGCCGCGCACGAGTCGACTCGTTTTCCTTGAATAAACGAGTATCGAAAATTGCCAACATTTAAAATCACATTACTATACATGCACTGGTTTTACCGATCGATATTATTGCGGGACAAAGGCCTACTATGAAGTTGATTGGATTGTAAGTGAAAAAAAGCTTAATACTTTTTCATTTTTCTTTTTCAGCCGAATACGTCATACCGTGCAGCCGAGCGGACAACAAACTAGACGCCTGCATCCAGAGGGCATTCAATCACATAAGACCGTACCTCGTGAAAGGTATTTTGACATTCCGCAAGTTAATACAAGCGATCGATTTACGCGACTACTTTCTAAAAATAAGCCTTTTTTCGTTGCGCATTTCTACACGCGTAATTCACAAGTGTGCCTTAATACTTGCCAAAACATTGCGGGCTGCATTTCAAAATTTACTCGTATAATTGTTCTTTTATAATTCGCTATTATTAGATTCGAAGAGCAGGATTGAAATTCAGTCATCCATCGATGGGATTTTGCTACACGGGTGGATTAAACTAGGTCGCGATATACGAGTGATAAGAGCGCGCCCTCTCCACAAATAGGATGAAACTTTCCAAAATACATGAATTGCAGAAATGAAATTAATTTTACAGGAATACCTGAACTGAGTCTTCCGCCGATCGATCCACTCGTGATTCCTGAATTAAAAATAGAGAATGGCCAGGGCGCGGTGCGAGTCAGGGCATTGTTTTCCAACATCACCTCGTTCGGCGCCGGCAACTACTCGATCAATAAAGTACGATCGGACTTGAGGACTCTGAGATTCGATCTGCATCTGGGCATACCGAAAATCGAGCTCAACGGACAGTACGACATCAACGGAAACGTCCTGCTCTTCCCCATTCAGAGTCAGGGTGACTTCTGGGCAATGTTTGGTAATTAACTTTGTATTTTCGTCAATCAGGAAACGAAACGATTCTTCCATCAATTAAATCTTATTGAATCGGGCTTGTTTCAAAACGTTTCAAGTAAATGAAATCAATTACCACGCGTTGGTTGTCTCTCGAACGATCGTTTTATCATTCGTCGAAGCAACAAAAGTAATTTTAACTCATTCTTGGAAATGATCTTTAATCTCATGACACGTGAACGCCGTCTGACGAACATGAACGAATTTTAATAATATGCATTTTAAATTGTGCAAAAAAGGGCAGACTCCGAAGGTGGGTGAAAACCGGGTAATCAGGTTATACCGGATTCACAGAGATTTGCAGGCGCGGGCACGTCCAAGTCGCCTCGCTTTACTGAAATGTTAATGAATTTCTTTTCTTTCCCCTACCCCGCAGGTGACGTGCACGCGATTGCTCGCGTTCAGGGAGTCGAGGAAAAGCGCAACGGAGTTCGCTACATGAAGATCGGCCGACTATTGATCGACTTCAATTTAGCCAAAGCTCGTTTCCGCATCAACGACAAAGTCAACGGTAACAACGTCATCGGCCAGGCTATGAATCAGTTCCTCAATCAGAATGCCAAGGAGATCATCGAGGAGATGCGACCAGCGGCCAGCGCCAGTATAGCCAAACACTTCATATCGTTCCTCAATCAAGCCTTCACTCAAATGCCCATGAAAGTCTGGCTTCACGACACGTAGATCACACACAACTGCCTGTAGTTTAATCGAAATTCTACGTAAGCTCGTGGAAGCTTTTTTCATTATTATAATTTCGTATCACGTGCGAAATTATTGCAATTCGATCGGAGCTTTCGAGACTTTCATGAACTACGTACCTAATTTTCTTGATTTAATCAGCTTTTAGTAAATAATTTATTAGAAATGTATCATCTCGAACGTACGTACACTGTATAGGCAACTTTTTTAATTAGATAAACAACTCGGAGCATTGAATTTTTCATCGCATAATCGGATACAAGCTTGCATCAGTCATTTCTCTTTCTGTCTCTTTCGTACTTATATCTCGCATCAAATAAGAAATTACATCAGATTTATTTGTCTCGTTTGAAGAAAAAAAATTCTCTGCAAGTGTAGATTATTTTTCGCAATTTTAAAAGTATCTAAGAAGTACATAAAATATATCTTCACGCATTAAATTTTAACGGCGTTTGCAGTATTGTTGCAGCCATAATCATTGTAATGGGGAGTTAACGAGACGATTGATTTATACTCAAGTTTTAATTTTTTCTATGCGAAACGCAGTGTCGCAATATCCATCATAAATTTCAAAGAGATCACTTTTTTTAATGTAGTATTATAACTATTATTAACAGTTTTTTGTAATTTATTCGTAAAAAATATATTACAATCATCTTTAGGACTATATATAGGTGTTTCGACTCGTGGTTTAACTTTATGGACGTTAACCCTGATCGATGCAGCATCACCAACAGTTTTTACAGTGTTGTATAAATAAGTTTTTATTTTATCCTTGAAAAGACTTTGTTGTAAATATAGATGTATTGAAAAAAATTGTACTTTTAATTTAAATAAAAACGTCGATGAAATTTCAAACTCGAATCTCAATTTCATATCAACACAATTGAAAAATTCCATCATCTCGCGAAAAAAATTACTTTTATTGACAAAGCGATAAAATTATTTTACAAATGAGTGAACTTAATAAATAAAGCTTGACTAAGATAATTAATTTTGGGAGTTCCACCCAAAATTTCCCAGGTTATACGCACAGTATTTTTATAAGCTCGTTCGTGATTGTGACATGTAATCGTCTTTCAAACAAGTGATTAATAGTTCTTAGTATCTAATTTTTCAAGGTTGTGGTTTAAGATTTTATTAAGAGAGAAAAAATAAAATTGAGTTAAAATGAGCGGGAGATTCAACTCGTGTTTGAACGTTCATGTGCATAAATTGAATTCGTTTTCTCTTTAATTTTTCGATTAAGCTACGGTAATCAATACTTTTCATAGACGATATTGATAATAAATTTGTCTATATAATAATTTAATAATTTTTGAAACTTTAGATCTAATTAAGAGAAAAGATTGTCGCTCTAAAAGTTGTGCAGTTGAGTTTTTTTCACATTTCCATTTCTAAGTAATATTTTCATTCCAATGTCAAAATATAAAAAAGTTTTATTGTGTACAGTATAACGAGTTTCGCAGTAGAAATGATAAATAGATTGAGTGCGTGAAGGAATCACTGAATGTGTCTAATTTATTGAATAGTTGTCACATGTACGATGCGACGTGAATTTGTTTACTCACATGTGTGCGTAAATACGAAAAAGCGACAATAAGTAGCTAGCACATATAGGAATTTTTCAGATAACCAAATCGTTATAATGAACTTCTTGGCATATTCTATATAATCAGTTGTGAACTTTGACATGCCTATATTATATAGATTGACATGCGCACGCACACATAACCCCAGACAAGAGTGAGACGACGTAAAAGGAACCGGTAACGTTGTTGCAGACGCTTTCTTTGATATGCTTCGGTTTTCTAGATTCTCAGTTTAGTTGTCCGCTTCAAACGATCGGAGCTTAAGAAATTTTGTGGCGAGCCGTTAAGACAGTTCGTTCCCATGGACCACGAAGAGTAGACAACATTTTTTTTTTAAACAGTGGACTTTATATTAATTGTACTGTTAAGGTTTTAAAAACCTTTCAACAAGTTGACGTACTATTTTTTTTAAACAAACGACGATATGGGTCAATTCACTAGACGACAGTGGCTAACGCTCATAGTCATTAGTATAGCCGATTTTTGCAATGCTATCTGCGTATCCCTGCAAGCTCCGTTCTACCCTGCTGAGGTAAGTTTTTTTTCAAACGATTTAAAAATTTAATTTTGAATGATATACACGATAATTTTATATTGCTGTGGTATTGGTTCAACGAGTTAAGAGTTTATAATATTTAATTACCCTGTGATTAGTTTTTAAAAATCAGACATTTTTCCATCAATATTTTAAGTTGAAGAAGTCTAAGATGAAAATAAGAGTATCTAGACAACATTAAAATAAAGATTTAATTTTAAGAAAAATATTCAGTGGGAATCTCAAAAAATGTGTTCAAAAATGATTATCTCTGCCTGGCTTCTGTTTCTTCTTAATGTGAGTCAAAATATTAGCTTGAATGAAACAGTAACTTTTGTTTACGGTCTAATTGTTCAATTAGCGAATTTATACGTGAAACATCTCGTTCAATTTGTGATCATGTAATAAAACCTATACGCGTACGTCTTGTAACCGATTATCATTCAAAATGTACATGCTCATATCTAATTTCGCCATACTACGTCTGTCTCGTTCTTCTTTGATAAACATTTATTGAGGCGTTTTGAGAATGGAAAAATAATTTTTCGTAAATTGTTTCTTTTTATAATGAATTTATAAAAACTTCAAACTGAAGCGCAGTCGGATGAACTGATTCAAGAGAGTTCAGAAAGTGATAAAATACGAAGTAAAAAGTTGATTGACAGCTGTTTACATTATTGTTACGTCTCAAAGAAAAAGCATCCGAATGAATACGTTTATTCCATATTGAATATTAATATTATATTTGCGTCATTAAAAATGATTTAACTTCCTTGGTGCGTGAAATCGTATTTGAGCAAATTTCGAAGATTAGATAAGGTTACGACACAAATTAATGGTGCAGATATTATTCTAAAAAGCCATTGTTACAGAAAAGGCCCCCATGTGAAATTTATATGTTCAAAAATATATAGGTCGGTAGATACGGAGAAGTTGGTCCATTGATAAATCGAGAATAATAAAAATCAAAAATATGTTAGATCTTATCTAACACAATTATTATGGTAGTTGAAATTACCATAAGATGACGATTTCAGGAAAACTTCGATGCACCTTTTTTAAATTCAAAAACTTGTGGAAATGAAACTCTCATATTCAAGAAACAAAACAAATCGGGCGTTCGATTTCGAGTGAGAAGATGTTAAATCTAGCTTGCTTTTGTATACACACAAGTCTGTTAATGCTGCAAGTAAACAATTGTATACACGTATAATAGTTACGTATATTAAGTAAAAATTTTAAGTAAAAGAGGCATTGCGATACATTTATTGGATTGATATTTCTTGCTACTATCTTCGATTACACGTAAAAATATTATTTCCATATTATATTTGATATTGTTTACATTTTCATCCACAAAGTGATAAGAGTTCCATACTAAAAATCTTCTAGCTTGCCTTTCGCGAATCAAATAATTAATATCCGGTATGTGCCAAATGTTGCTGGCGATTATGAATGCAAAATACGGAGCCTCAGACATCGGTGTACTGATTTCGCAAAAAATAACAGATAATTTCCCGTACGATAAAGTGGCATATCCACATGAATCACTGCTCAAACAAGACAAGCTTTCCTTAATTGTTGAGAAGAATAATTATGTCCATTGAGCAGATAAAAATGATTCACTTTAGTTTATATTTAGCCAGTGCATGCATCAAATTATAAATTAAAAAATGTCTTTGTCCGATCGTTGCAGGCTGAAAGAAAAGGCGCTACTGCAACCGAATATGGCTTGGTATTTGGAATTTTCGAATTGGTTGTGTTCATCATCAGTCCTTTCTACGGTCAACGAGTAAGTATTTTTCATTAAGACAGAAGAAAAAAAATTGCTTTTTATAATATGCTAATTCCAATAGATCAACCAAATCGGACCGAAACTTATGTTCAATGGTGGTATACTTACCACTGGAACTTGTGCCATATTTTTTGGCTTTCTCGACAGAGTCGATGGAAGATATCCCTTCATCATATTGTCCTTCGTTATACGAATTGTCGAAGCTCTGGGCAACGCCGCGTTTCTAACGGCAAGTTTCGCCATCATAGCCAAGGAATTTCCCGATAATGTCGCGACAACTTTTGCGAGTCTCGAGACGTTCTTCGGCTTGGGTCTGATCGTTGGTCCAACTGTTGGCGGAGCCCTTTATCAGGTTCGTAATCGTTGCAATCTGTGCTGGTTATTTTCAAATAAATGAAATGCACAATTATTAACGTCGATTTTATCGCCAGATTGGGGGCTACACAACACCGTTCGCTGTATTGGGTTTTGCTCTCTTCATGGCTGCTGTGATCACAGCTTTCGTACTTCCGGTTAAAAATAATACGGAAGAAACCAGTCATAACATGGAAGGTAAGATGAAGTTTTATGAATTGTTAATAAATAAACATTCGTTGAAAAAAAGGTGTAATGTGGCTCGTTAGGAAAGTACATGAAGGTACTACGGATTCCTGGAGTGATGGTAGCTTCTGCGTCGATAATCGCAACGAGCATGAGCATAGGCTTTTTGCAAGCCACCCTGGAACCTCACCTACGTAAATTCGAGCTGAGCCCGGTCGTACTGGGCATCATGTTCGTGATCAACGGAGGCACTTACGCCGTCACAGCGCCGGCCTGGGGTTGGCTGTGCGACAAGCACGCGAGGCCGAAGGTGGCCACCGTGGCTGGCTGCGTCCTCACGGTCATCGGTTTTGGTCTCATTGGTCCGGCACCGTTCATTCCCAGTGGAACCATGCTTTGGGTCACGATATCCGGCCTGATTATTCACGGCTTGGGGATGTCTGCTCAGCTCGTAGCTAGTTTCACCGATGCCCTTCGAACGGCCGTGTAAGTCCACACTTTTACAATTACATCAGCTGGAATAAAATGAGCCTCATCGTTATAACGTAATAGTCGAGAAAAAGTATATCAAGACATTTTATTAATTTAAAATGATTGAATAACAAAGTCTAAATCAATTTCTAGTTTATTCTATTCAAATCGTTGATTGACGTCTTGGCGCCACTCAAAGTTGCTCTCTCTTGGCGAATACTAGAAACTAATCTCAATGAATTGCGCATATCGCTAATCGCTATCGCGCTCCGTATAATAATTGAATTAAAAAATTATAAACGATACGTTGGAGTCACGAAAACAATCTTGGCAGCGCTCCAGGCTGCCGGCTGCACTCGCGAACGCGCGCGTACACTGGGCGATCAATGCCCAAGGGGCAGACAATTTTCTCCTCCTATTGTATCGTCGGTAGGTATAACTTTTGCCTTGTACACTTTACAGCGACCACGGATTCCCGAACAACCTCGAAACTTACGGCTTGATAAGTGGATTATGGACGAGTACATTTGCCCTGGGGGCCTTCATTGGACCGAGCATCGCCGGTATCCTATTCGATAACATAGGCTTTCGGAACGCTTCCATGTTCATTTGTGCGCTCCACCTCATCGTCGTAAGTACAACGATTTTTCGTCCGATCGATAAGTATCCAAGCGATCATCGTCATTTTCACCAACGTCGTATTTTGCACATAATAAAAAACAGGGTGTCGTGGCGTGCGTATTCCTCTGCTGCTACGAGAGGAAGGGACCCAAGCTGTACACGGAGCTGGGCATCGCTGAAAATTTGAGATCGTCGATTACCGACAGCGGTCGCTCGCACAGCATGAGCATGAGCGGCCGAACGTCCGCCGCGCGAATGGCCGCCGTCCAGAGCATGCCCGTCGACCGGCCGAGCTTCATGAACTCCCTCATCGCCTGCAACAGCTACTCGAATCGAGCCAACGCCTGGTCGCGAACCTCCTGCAGCGGACGCTTCGGCTACGGGAGCATCGAGCACAATAATAAGCGACAGACCTTCGAGAGGACAACGTGAGACATTGAGTTTGACATTTAGTCGCCAGTGAGATTGATGCATTAGAGTTAAGATTTGTCTGAATAAACCTTTCGCAGGCTGACCTTCCTATGAGCTACAGAAATGAGGATGCAAATGATGCGGGACACCAATTTGATCGAAAAGAATTTCCCTTTTATGTGATCTTAATAACTTTGGTCCGGAACCATATTTTTTTATAAGAATAGTTTTCAAAAAAGAAATCCAAAATATAACATGAGGAAGGAAAGAAAAATTTGCATTAGCCTCGAAGAAAGTCGCAAAGCTCAAACTTTTATTCAGACAACTTCTCGTACCATGTGCCAATTTCGTATCGACTTATTTTTCATCATTTGCTTTCAAACAACTAGACACAACGGAGAAAGAAAGAGCAAAAGAGAGAGAAAAAAAGATATAGAATGCGAGTAAGAATTGATACGAATTTTGACATTTTCACTGCAAAGTAGTTCATTTTCACAGATATTATCTTGACTATTATGATTTTACCGAAAAACTACGCAAACCCGTGACACTCTTAGCCTACCGCATATTGACTATTATTCGAGTCAAGGTCGGTTTTATAATTTTATATTCTTATTGTATAGTTGAAAGATACGCTAAACACCGAGAGCCTACCCGAGAGGCAACAATGGCAAAAATCCATAAAAGGAGAGAGAATAAAAGATTATATTCGTCGCTTCTTTTTACAATGTTGCTATAATGATATTTCATGTATATTCGCGAGACGTCCTGATCCTTTTTCTTCGCAGTCGCAATTTACTCGTGCATGCGTACCCTTTTGCCGACTTATCAAAAGTTCCAATTCTGCGAACTTCAAGGCAAGGATCACCCATGGCCAAAATCGATGTTTTATTGTGTCTGTCGCAGAATAAATTATCATCCGTGCCTTAGCTTCTGCATCTAAAACTAATAATAAATGTATGCATGGAATTCGGTCGAAAATATTTGCTATTTTATTTACCGTAGGTGTAAAGTTTGTGATATGTGACGAATTAGGATTCGATGTTTTTTCTTTTCTTCGGCGAATGTATATTTTATATCGATATACTTACTACCTATATATTATATTTTTAAGATTTTTATGATGTCGACTCCGATACATTTAAACTTACATAGCTTTTATAAATTTATTGTTTAACTACTAAATAACATTTATGTACAATCTGTCAAAGATCAAATGAATTTTCGTTGTCAAGGGACAGCAAAAATTGTATGATTGACAATGCGATTAATAATATGCCAAAGCCAAGGGAAAATTTTTTGTTCTCAACCTTGGCTCTGGCATCTCTTTAATACTCGCGCAAAAATTAAAAAAAGACAGATCGTTGAATCAATTTTTTTTTTTAAATTGTGAAACTTTTGTATATTTTAGGCGCATTATTTAATTTTTTCTTGCGTAAACAAATATGTGAGTTTATGCAAGGTCAACGATCGAATACAGGTCACAATACTTAGCAATCATCTCAGTCTGCTTTCTACGTAATTTAAATAATGCGAGTTAAGATTAAGCTTTATAAAAGTCATTACATTTGGCTACCAAAGTAGATTTGTTAAAATTACAGGTGCGTACGACAGATTTATAAGCGCATTTCATTGAAAATTTCTTGTCATCGCAACAATATTTGTCCTCATGAAGAAAATTGTAAATAAAATTGTTATCCATTAACAAACAATGTAATGATTTCTTTTCAAGGCAATAACAGCAAAGAAGTCTAATAGAATTATCAGAGCTCGATATCGTTAGCAGTCGAAAACGACAGCACGAGTAACCAAATTGTTTGTCCCAACGCAACGTTACACGTGTTACGGCTTATCTCTTGCCGAGAGCGAATGCATTTCAGCTCGCGTATATTAGAGTGAAAGCATTTAAAAGCTGCAGTAAGAGCTATACGAATTCATATTCAGTTGACGAATAAATATATAACTAATTATGTTGGTAGCTCGTAAAATAATAATTTAATTATTACTCTCGTGCGCTCGAGTGAGTTTCTAATTGATACGCGATGTCTGTTACATGTACTCCGGTGCGCAAAACACGTCGTCGGTTGATTTTTCTTTATTAACGAGGATTTTGAGTCTAAAGTTCGACGATCTTGGTCTGCACACGCCTGAGCGCTCGTGTTTACTCGCGATGTTGTTTCGTGGCTTGAAATTTTGTGTTGAACGACGAAGATACACGAAACGACGACGAAAAAATGTTGCAAAAAGAAGAAAACCGCATAAGCTTATCTCTGCTCTCCGAGAGCATAATATAATATTGCAAGTTCGTTCACCGATTTATCGAGCATCTTTCCAGTTCGAAAAATTGGCTTATGTAAGGGGCTCTCAATATATAATACGTATCGTAAAAATTACAAAATTTCACATTTATTAAATCAGATACAAGGGACGGCCAATACGAAGCCGACCTCGAGTCGACAAAAAATTTGCATGGAAAAAAAGAGTCTTACCCTATACGCGAGATGCTTATATCGGTGTGGTACACGCGAGCAAAAGCAGTTTAACGCAGACAAATTGACTGTCTTGAAGCGGCAGTAGGATGATGATGCTCGAGAGTACATGCGGAGGGTTTCACTCTTTCGACCACGCCAGGCAGCGGCGGCAGTGGCGCGAGAGATACATATCAAAATTCCAAAGCGATGCTGCGCACGTCTGTCTGTCTCTCGGGGAGCTGCAGCAGCAGCCGCAACTTGCATATAAACCGGGTGTGATTTCTCAGTATTAAAGCGACTACTTTTCATTTTGAAATATGTTAACGAGTTGTGCGCTGTACCGCAGTCGGGAAAATACGAATGCGCGCGCGAGTATTGCGATATGACAAATTGAAAGGAAATCCGCCGAGCTTCGAGTCGGCTGCGCGATATTTAATTCGGATCGCGAGCAGCCAAGTTTCGATAGTCATTTTTCCGCGTCATTGAGTATATATACCCGATTCACGAAAAAAGCACGGTTGAAAATAAAAATTATGTCTTGGGGATGCTATTGTTTTTACATCGTCAAAGTGTGTGCATCGTGCCAAGATGTATAATATACACGCGTTTCCAGTTAAGTGTGCTACACGCTCTTTTGCCGCGATACAATGTGGCTTTTGTACTCTCTGGTACTTGGCCACAATATGCTCCGGGGCTGTGTGTATGTGTGTATTGTATCTTACGAAATGGTATATATTTGGCATACTGCCTGTCACGAAAGTAAAAGTAATATGAATTCTCGTCACGAATGAAAATGTCATAATAATGCTGAGGCTCTGAAATCGAGCTGGCGCGCACAATGGCGCGAAAAAACGCGAGCTCCTTTCGCAGAAACAATTTGTTTCGATGTAGACGCGATTGAAACTTTGCCCAGGACTAATCGAAAAATCGTTCGGAGCATAAAGCGTCAAACGTGTATACGGCCGCGATTGTATATAGACGCGTATACGCTATAAATTCACGAAACTTTTAGCCCGGACTCCAAGTCGAGAGTAGTGCGTGCAGCAACTCCAGCAAAACTTTTCTCACCTATATGCAAACAAAAGACAGCTCTGCCGAGCTCCTACTTGAAAATGCGTTGTTGTACGTCACCGACATACAACATCCGCCGCTGCTGCGGTCAGTTTTTTAACAGACGAGCAGCGCGGAAATCCACTACTCGCTGTACTACTGCTACTCGGCAGCGCGTCACAAAGAACATACATTACCAAAGCCACCTAGATACAAATCATCTAAGCCACGTGTGTGCTCGCTCGTGTGCATCGAAGCATCCTCCAACTTGGATTCCTCATAGATTGAAGAAAAATTCGCTCTCGCCTACGATGATAAATACCTCCTCCTCCTCCTCCTCTGACCCTTTTTTTCTCCTTCTTTTGCATGTCAAATTCTTTCCCATGAAATGGATATGCGCCGCGATATTACCATAATATTTTTTTCCTTATTGGTCAAGAGTCGGCGGATTTTACGAGCTCCACCAGTATGTAGACTATTTTTGACGTATAGATTAGAATGAAGAAGATGGACGTTGCTGGACCCACAAATCGCGAGACTTTGTTTGTTCTTTGGATCAAGGAATTCTCTTCATTTTTTAAGCACAGCGAGTCTCGAATTTCCAATTGAAAGTTTGTTTATTCGCATTGGCGACAGCTGCGCTCTGCCTAAAGTCGCTAGATAGAAAAGCTAACTGATTGATTTGTTGTAAGTAGCTAAAGTCATTCCATGTCTAAATGAAGCACTTTTTTCCTAACGAGCTACTCGAAAATAATTTCTACTTTGCATTACTCGCGGACAGATTTACAAATTGACTCGAAATGTCCCGCACGGTGCAGTTAAACTTTAGCATCTGTTTAATATCAGAAAAAAATCCTCATACTTAGATATGTAGATTGAAACATGTTAATGTCGCGGAGAAAGTTTTCAATAAAAAAAAATAAACGGCAAGCAAAGTCTATCGGCATCAAATCTTATCATATTGATTGAATGTCATATTCAAGATACCGAGTAAGTACTGTAGTGATGCAATTCGATTTTCATGCGCCACATTTTTTTTTCAAATGGCACATAGAGCGCATATAATCGTCCACGTTTTATTTTCGAACTGAAAAAACATTATATTGCCTGGCAATTTTCTCGCGAGCTTTTATGTAGAGTTCTATACAGCACATATATCTAGACACTTACGTATAACAGGTGCAATTAGGCGTTAAGAATGCACTCATCGCGTCGCGTGTACATGACGAGATTCTATGTATATACTTACAAGCAAATGTGCGCATATACATAAATATGTGCATTTGTAATAAAGCTTGAAAGTTTGATAATGAGGACGCGACAATCGCACAATTCTTCGTGGTGTTAATAGCTCGAGACACAATAAAGCGAAGAATACGAGTGTAAAATATAGAGAAAAACAAATCGTGAAAATTTTGTAATTTCTGAATCGATAGGATAACATTCTTGCTGGGGAATATGTTAGTTCGAACACGAATAAAAATAGAAAGTGAAGTAGAGACAAAACTGCGCGTTTCGAAGCACGGCTGCACACGAGTGTCTGTAAATATTCTTCTATCTTGTTGACTAATTAACGCTCAATTAGATGAAATTTTCAAGCGTGTCTGCGTTTTTTTATATTTTCCTTCGTACGAACGTGCACAATCTGGCTCGTGTATGTACATTGCAGCGTGACCGTACGGATGTGTTATGTCACGGATTTTATGATACATTATCATTATTATATGTAGCTCGTTTAATATCGGAACGAGTCGGCATGTTTATTACCGCGTTTTGACTTGCGAAACGCAATATCATACATATAGATACAAAATTCGTACGACATTTGCTTTGGGATTTATCACAATTGCGTAACGGATCTTTTTTATACGCATCAACGAAAGTATCAACATTCGCAAGCTCAGGGATCGATGATGAATTTTCCCGATGGTTCCATGGTCAGTTGATGTAAAGGCAAACGCTCGGTGTATCTTTGTGGAGAGCAGCAGCAAGTAGGCTGCAGCGCCGCGATTGTAACGCCGTGACATCGATTATATATCAATAATACCGCAGAGAGCTGTTACATGCATGTAAACGACGCGAAGCCCAGCGCACTGCACTGCACACACACGCGGCGCACTTGCAATTGGCCTTACGCAACGGCATTCTATTTCATTGATAGAACGCCTATACACATACAAGTATAAATTTTCTCGATCGTCTCGCGCAGAAGAATGCATAAAACGACAAGTGTGTGTGTTGGTGCATTATTATTACTGCTTCTTTTCTTTTTATTATGTTGCTGCAGTTATAGGCTGCGTTTGAAAATGAGTGACGACTGTAGCCGGAGCTTGTAATAACGCTCGAGACGCAATATGATGATTTTGAAATGAATATGAGGTAGTTTTATAATCGTTGATTTCTTAATTGCGTCAAATTAATACATTTTTAGACCGGCGCAAATTTTAATGTACTCGGAGTATAATATCATCTTATTGAGGATTGTGTTATGTAGCTCGTGCGAGTGTAGATAGAGTCTAGTTATTCAACAAGCCTGCTATTTACGGCTTTTAAACATTTTTGCGCGAAATACCTGGATTCTCTTAAATATGAATCGATTATTCAAATATATACTACTTTACTTTCACCTTTTATATTATGTACTCGCTGCATGAATTGTACAAATAAGCTTTTATATAGAAGCGTTTAAAAATTCATATTACAAAAATGAGCTGTTGACCTAGCGTATTTCATTTTGCTCTATGTAATTGAAAATTAATTCGCTTATCGGCAATATTTTCTTTCCAAAGATAATTGCCTCAGGCAGCTGAGCCAACTTCCGAAATCTCGTTTCTTTGCCTCGCTTTATTCGAGCTGGCAAACTTCCGACGCGAGCACACGCTCAAGTGCGTTGCATTCGTTATCAACCCCGCGCCGCGCTGCATGCTAACTATTCGAGTATACAGGCCGATAAGCCGCTCCGAGAGCAAAGCGAAAAAAAAGGTACAACAACAACAACAACAGCAGCAGCAGCGACGAGGAGGCGAGGTGCGATGAACCGGCAAAAAGCCAATGTGCTAATAAAAAGGCGCGTGTGGGCGTAGCGGCGGTGGCGACGCTGGCGGCATCGACAACACACACAGAGAGAATAAAGTCTGCTCGGTGCAGTGCAGCTCTTACATGCCATCGATGCAACACACACGAGGCGGCTT